AGGAGATCCGATAAGTTTGCTTTCGTTAGCTCTTGCAAGCCAGTAAAATAAGGATCCCCAAGACATTAAAGTAGCCTTGTTTGAAGTCCAGGACAGAGACATAGGAAGTGGTTGATAGATTTTACCTCTTCTTCATCTTGGCAACTTCTCCATAATCCACTTGTTGGAGCAACTTAGGTCATAAGATTCTAGCGACCTTACAGTCTTCGCGGTTAGTTTATGGATTGATAGTCACCGTATTGATTTCCTTTATTATCCTAAACAGTTTACATATCGGTGTATGTATTTAGAGGTCGGTCTCTCCTGTATGCAGTTCAGTACCTCTTCGGGCCATCTCATCTGCTAGTTCATTCCCTTCAATATTGCTATGTCCAAGTATTCGAAATGTACTATGTCCAGCAAAGAGAGACCTTATGATGTTGGATGCCCATCAGTGAATCGCGACATTTTAATACTATCTTGGAATTTAAATTCAATTGCTTTCAGTGCGGCCTATCTACAAAAATCGTGATATTCGAAGGACGAATTGTACTTTTTTGTCTAATGTTGACCTCTTTTTCGATAGCATATATCTCGCCGTGAAAGACGCTGTAAGTAGCAGGGATTCGGTAGCACTGTCTTATCTGCATATTTTTCCCGTACCGCCTTCCATCTTTGAGCCATCTGCGTGATAGTAACTGTAGAATTACCGGTGACAGATCCAAGCTCCCAGCTATCTCTGGTTAGATAAAGAGTGGGAACCCACTAATGAAGTAATTTTCCTCAAAGAACCTTATTGATTTCGTGACCGAAGAGATAACAAATTTTTTTGATCGTTTTTGCCTATCTAATAGTTTTATCAGTTTCGATCCTTCGCCATGGATGGAGACGCAAGATTATAGAGATGCACTTGGATTCTGTGCCAGACTTCATATGAAAAATGATTGTATAAAAAGAGGAATTAGGCTTATGATGGATTATAATTTGATTTTGACAAAATATAAAGAGGAAAAACAATAACATATGTTCTGCAAGTACTCGAACATTATCATAAAAATTATCCTTCACGTAGTCAGATTTATGTTATAAAACATAATAAACACAATATATTAATTACTGAAAAAAAGGGTTTTCTTGATATTATAATTTTTTATAAATAATTAACTAAATCGTAGCATATACCTATTACGTACTTGTGCATGCCAGCTAAAAGGTATGAAATAGAAAATAGAGCACAGTCGCTCAACTAATTATTGTGTTTTGCGCATAATTTTTAACCGATTTTGCTCATTAGTATCTTATTAAAAAGATATTTCCATTGTCTATCAAATGAGTATATATTAATAACTATTGAAATAAGTAACAAAGATAAAAAATGACCTTGAATTGAAAAATTTCTGTTTTTTGTACTGAAAACCCAACTTTGCTCGAGTGGCGCAACGTCATTTTTAATCCTATTGATCCAAAACTTTGGGAATATCATTTTTTTGGTCAATGGCATATTCCTAGGGGGTGCGCTCATCAAAAATCGTATTTTAGTTTTTCTGAGCCATCCTATTGTGACATAGTACAGGGTCTGTGACACTTTTGTTACATAAGACACAACATTTTTATTTGCCAAGAGATGTTTTCCATTTTATGCAAATGTTTAACTTTGACAACAAAACTATAGTGACTGGAGATTAGTTACATCTGAGCTTATATTATATATGGTACTTTAGATATTGAGCACTTTTTTCCAAGTATTCAATCAAAAATATGTCATTGTCTTCCTAAAAATAGTAGCTATGATTACCGACAGACAGAATTTTCTTCGCTTTCTTTAGAACGCCATCAGCTTTTCCATTTAATTGTTTTTTTTTTGTGTTCAGATTTAATCGATGGACCGACGCTTTATCAAAATTTATAAATAAACAATAAAAAATTCATATTGATTTATTTAAATCAGTCTAATAGAGCCTCAGAAATATTTCAAGTTTTTCGTTTTTGGTGTCAACTAAGTTAATGCAACAGTTATTGAAAGCTATTGTATATAATATTTAAATCTTCTTGTGGTGCTCTTCAAATAAAGTAAATTGAAACACCCACCCACTTATTCAGCTCCCTAACTCGACAATCATTCAAGACCATTTGATGCATTCTTTCAATTTTGTCCATATTGGTGCCAAAAGAATCTTCTTCATAACCAGAGTTAAAGTCAATCAAATCGTAATTGAAGTCAATCACTCACTTTATTTATTTTTTAAACACAACATTTACCATATATCACAATGAACTATTTATCTGTTTTTTGTTTAAAGTCGGCCGATGAAAAAAAAAATTTTTAAAAACCAAAAAAAATTTAAAAAAAAAATTAAAAAAAAATAAAAAATAAAAGAATAATAAAATAAAATGAAATAAAATTAAAAAAAAATTAAAATAAGATAAAATAAAAAAAAAATTACTATAAATTATTTTAATAGTACAAAAATATTGAAACTAATTATAATTAAGGTCGCATTTCACCGCATTTTTCAAAAATCATGAAAAGTAGAACTTTCGACTTAAAACTTTTACCTCATGTTCGAGTGCAAAACTCATCCTACAGCCCACGTAAAAAAGTGTATAATACCGTGTACTAAGAAATGTGTCATATTATTTTTATAATACTCGGATAAACAAGATTTTACAGCTTTTAAACGTTAAAAATTTTATTGACGAATAAAGGCCGTCATTATATTAAATTATTCTCACATCAGTAATGGCTCAAGTTTTCATCCAATTCGACAACGTAACCACTTTTTATTTTCTGTAGACCAACAATTAAATGGCGCATAATTTTGAAGCCTTTTGGGTATTACATCCAAACATATCCCACCCTGCTCCCCCGGTTCATTTCATTTAATTGTTCGAATACATTTTTGATATTCAAATGAACTTTTGTTATATGTTATATCATCGACAACATTGGAAATTTATAATAGATATAGTAATGTAGATATTTGGGACAAATTTTGATACCGATTGCCTTCTATAATTATTTGAAATAATACAAGTTCAGTTCAATGTTAATGAGCAGTTAGCCCAGTCATTTGCATATAACGCTTACACGCTGGTTACTCTGCATAATGCCAATATGTACGCTGCTGCTGTTCTGTATTCTTCACTAATTGCGCTTAATATTTACAAATGTTAAAATTCATGCAAATTTATATGATAAAAGTAGAAGAAGAAAAACAAAAATGTTATGCATTTTAAATAGTTAAGTCCCAAAAATAGTAACCATCATACATTAGCACATATAATTTTTTGTGTTTTAGTTTCACCAACGTTTAACAAACTAAACCACTTTTATTCATGTGGCAATTTTTGTTGGTCGATGTTAACGCCACTGTTGTTGTAGCTGTTAATGTTACTGTTAGTGTCAGTGTCACCATTTCTGCTGTTGTTATTAGCACAATTTCACAACAATTACGTTATTATCATTAGAAATGTTATTCTATTAGCATGTTTAACTAATACAACCAACACAACTAAACAGGCACATGCACACAACACACAAACAAATTGCAATAATAATGCAAATTCAGGCATTCAAATATATAAAACAGCTATGAGCAGCATTAGAACGGTTTTGTTGTTGGGGTTAGGAAAATATATGTACAGTCGTTTGCGATTTCGCACAAAATTGTTCATTTATCCAGTTTAATGTTAAGTGGATTTCGTTATAATACGGAAGTTGATTTTAGATCATTTTTTGTTTAGTTGCCAAGAGAAAAGAGTAGGCAAACAATAATTTTAACGCATGTACTCCTTTGTAAACTTTATATAGGTAAGAGGGCTATTTCTTTGTTTTTTCAAAAACAGGCATTTGGCTTTAATGTTAGTTCAATGGTTTTGTGTTAGTATTTTATATTTTTCGTAGACTCGTGGCATTTGATAAAGCCTTTGTTGTTGTTGTTGTTATTTGTTTTGTTTTGTTGTTTGCTTTTGCAATAAAATTTAACTATTGTGATGTGTGAATTTACACACCTATTTCTCTGCCAAATATTTTTGCATTCATGTTAGTAGCTGTATGGCTGGGTTTGTATGTTTGTATGGTTGTGTGGATTTGTTGGTTTCAGTCTTGGCTATGTTTTATAATTGTTCTCTGTTACACAGCCGCACACATGTAAATTCGATAAGTGGCGAGGCTTTGTTCTCGTTCGTAGTTAAGCCTCGTTCACATGCGCTATGCGATTTTAAAAATTTAATTTTTGCTTGAACGTTAAATGTTCAAAGATTTTGAATTCATATGATTTATATTTAAGTCATCATCAATTTTTATATTGAAATTTTCAGTAAGTTTTTTGAATCTACAATATTTAATGGGAATTGATCTCTACATTATATACCTAATTATTCAAATGTTTTAAATATCTTATATGTATAGTAGGATGGGCCTTTCTGATTATATTCATTATATCATTCGTTTTCTTATTGGAAAGGAAAAATATGTGGAAAAAATTATTTAAAAAAAATTGGTATTAAGAAATGCCATAACGCCCTAATGTATGTATACTATATAAATAATTTGTTAATTTTCGTGTATTGTTACTGTTTTCCTAAAAATAACATTAAAAAATGTTCCTCGTGTTAAAATACAAACCTGACACTACTGATGGAGCGCACTAAGCTATTCTCATCATTTTAATTTCATATCCTGTTATTATAACATAGGTTTATGTGTATTTATTATCTAATGATTTTTAATATTTAAATAAAAAACCTTAAAAACGATTCACATTACAGAATAATTTACAATTTTTTTCTCTTTTGTAATAATATAATAGATAATGTTTCAAGCTCTTTTTTTCAAAATATTATGAAAAAATGTTAAGTAATTACTTTTAAATCACATAATTGACGATTTTTTTTTAAAAAAATACTTTTCTTTTTTTTTTAACTTCAATTCTTCTATAATAATCAAAATAAAAAAACACTTTCAATTGATAATGTAATTTTCCCTCAATATCTTTAGTTATTATCAAGAATGTACTTACCGACATACATGCACGTCAAAAGTAATTTTAAAGCGGGAATTGAAAATTTTTCATTTTCCAATTTTACCAAGTCTAGAGCGAGTTTTTCAATTTTCTGACGCAATATTGGTGTAACGATGCCAACACTCAAATTACTACTGTTACTGCCGCCGGCGTTGGCAATTCCGCCAGGGACTGCGCTACCATTTCCGCTGCTACCGATGACAACCAAACGTTCGAGACCCTGACGTATAATAAATAAAAGGTTGTGAATATTTAAACACATAAAAGGCTTATAAAATACATATATATATATATGAAATAATGTGTGTAAAATAATAAAATTAATAAAAATAATAAAATGCAATTTTACATTGCTTCGTATTTAATTTGTATTTAATTTCTTGGAAGGGTTATAAAATACTTAAAAATTATATTCAATTAAAAATTATTGAAGATATTATTACTTTACAATGTTAAGTCACTAAAATTGCAGTTAAATGTTTTTTAATTGCAAAAAGAAAAAAAACGAAGAAAATCTTTTTGTATGTATATATATGTATAAATTAATTATGAAAAAGTGCGTTAATTGTTTAAAACTCTGATTCGAAATAAAAAAAATGTTTTTATTTGAAGCGACAACAACAATAACAATACAGTTTCAACAAAAACAATGCCCTATAAACAATGGCCGGTTTAACTTTTCCACTCTATGTGGTTTATGTGTAAGTTTTGCGTCCGCAAACCATGACGCTGATGGGTCGTAACAACTTTTCTGTGTTAGTTGGTACCAAATTGCCAATCAGAAAACCAATTAACAAGTATGTACTGGTTGAGCTTTATCCGCTCAAATTAGGACAGCTGCAGTCTATGTATGTGTGCTCAGTGTTATATCCCAGCGGCACCATTATGCCAGCGCTGAAAAAGTAAGCGAGGAGGTAATAGCTCTTCGTTTTTATTTTTCTTTGTTTTCGACATTTGTGTTTGACATAGGCAATTTCGGGGTTGAAATTATAAAAGAATGAAGAAGAAAAGCATATGAGTTAAGAATTTCTTGTTTTGCCTACATTGTATACATTTAGTCTGCTTTTGATTTTAGTGAAGTGCGAACAGTGAACAATTTTAATTTTTAAAATCAAATAAAAAACAAAAATATAAATAAAATATAATTTGTAATTTCACATAAACTCACTGTAAGTATATGCAAAATTAAGTAAATATATTTAAAATGATAATTGTAATTTTTGTTTTGTATTATGTAGAAGCTACTGCGTCAAGAACGATTAATTGACCAATGTGCTGCGAATGCAGTCATTCTAAAGCAAGAGGTAATCAGCTGTAGTCATGTAGTCAGCTGTTTCAATTGGAAAATTTTACAATTCAAACTGAGGAGGATTTAATTCAATTTAATGAAGAAATCACTGCCGTTGAAGTAGTTGTAAGTTAAATTATATATGTTTCTTACTTTCAATTTCAACTTATTAATATATTCACATGTAACAATTTTACTAATTCATACATTTCTTTTCATCTATTACGTTATTTATAAGACTGCATCAATGAGACGCGTTATTAAAAAACAATCAATTACGCGAAAAATTTCCTGGAATTTTGGAGAATGGTACCCAAGGCAAGAAGTTCTTAAGAGCATTAGAGAATGTGACAGCAGCACTTTTTGGTATGGTATATTGTACATAATTAACTTTAGCGTATACAATAACATACTTTGTATTTTACAGATGCTTTAAGTACAGATGGTAAGCCGGAACAAGTGATCGAGTCGAGTCTGGAAATCTCTTCAAGGTGTTAGTAACAATTTCCAGAAAAATATTCATGTATATAAGTATGTTATATTTTTATGTAAATATTAATATTTAATTGTAATAAAACATAAATATAAAATATAATTTATTCAAAAAATTTATAGTATTTTATTTAAAATCAATAGCATAGGTAAAATTGAAAATTTAAGCGAACATATCAGCGCTGATATGTTGCATTACAAATTTCGAAAAAGTAAGCGAACATGTCAGCGCTGATATGTTGCATTACAAATTCGAAAAGGTAAGCGAGCATGTCAGCGCTGAAATGTTGCATTACAAATTTGAAAAGGTAATCGAACGATTCAGCGCTTGCCCGCAATGACATGCACGTGTAAAAGTAATTAGGAGTTTCATTTGAATAATCAGCGCTAGGCATTACCATTCAGCGCTGAGGGAATCGATTCCCTCAGCGCTGAAAGTCCCGCTGGGATTCAGAGTAGAACAGACAGACCATACACACACGCACGCACACACACACACACATACAATCTCTTACAGATTCCTATATTAAAAATCGCAGAAAAGAAGAAAAATGACATACACAATAAATGAAATACAGTACAAATGGGACAAAACTCAAAACTAAACAATAAACTGAAGCAAAATGGGCTCTGGTCCATTGTATTGTTTAGTTGAAAGTTGACAAATACCAGCCAAAGCAACAAGAGCATAGCAAATCATCACTTATGACTTGACTTAAAAAATATTGAATGGAATATGTGTGTGTGATTGTGGTTATTCTGTTCGTTTATGTGTGTAAGAGCGTTAATGGATCAAGAGTTTGTTGCAATTATATTCAACAAAAGAAAAAAAACACTTGATTAATCTATGGTCAGACAAGAGAAACACAATAAAATAATAAAATATAAAAAGAATAAACCATAAGTTTTAGCTCTGTTAAGTGTCACATTTGGTCAATAGGTCAAAGAACGTAAATTAACTAGTTTATTTGTTTTTTTTCAAGCAGTAAATGAAATATAATTTTAACTCATTTTTCTTATTGAGTACATTTTAATTAGCAAAATATAAATAATTTTATATAAATAATTTTGTATAAATAATTCTATATAAATAATTTTATATAAATAATTTTATATAAATAATTTTATATAAATAATTTTATATAAATAATTGTATATAAATAATTTTTTATAAATAATAATTATAATTATTTGATATAAATTGGCATAGGTTAGATAAGATTTAATGTTGTATTTATATGATACTTGGAAAGTATACAATTATAATTTCTGTTTGGCTAATATATCTCAGTACTCTCTATCTATCTCAGTACTTTATATCTATCTCAGTACCATCTGTCATGCCTTGACTAATTCAGGATCGGTCAAATACCTGTCGCCTACAAAGTTCTTCCAACGGTACTGTATGAAATATCGACAAACCTGAAAGTCACCGACCATTTTTTGTCAATAGTTTTCGATAGCCCTTCTATCCTTCAGTTCTTTGGTTATGTCAACGACTTCGACATCATTGGGTGTAGTAAATGTGTTGGTACTGCTGCTTTTGCTGCTACCAAAAAGGAATCTACAAATATGAAATAATTGGTGATGGTAAAAATATTAGTCGCTCTGATGACGGTCGTGTCTCCAAATCTGTCAAGCATTACCATTGGTAACAGGTGCTATTATGGGCTTAGTAGACAGGATTAAGGATTAAGGATTAAAAACTCTTACGCGACAGACAAAACTTACGGTTTATAGATCGCTCATTCTACCTTGTTTACTATCAGAGAGTCCCACTTGTAGTGAGAGTTGTTGAAAGTAAAGTTTTTTGTAAGATTTTTGGTGCTCTACTAGTTGGCGTGACGTTTTTGGTGTGGTTTTCATTTTTTGAAGCAGTGGCACAATCTAATGCTGTCAGAATGTCTTTTACTCGATTTGAATTTAAGCAGCCTACAATTAGAATATACATTGACCTTTGGATTCCATTCAAATTGGTAGCTTTACTCTTTTATTTTAGTGATGACCATTAAATTATTATGCCGTAGAGTAAAATTGATTTGCAAACAGAGTTATACCATAGATGTAATCAATTTAAATCTCTAGTTTTGGGTTATTACTTGTTTGTATGTACAAATCAATTTAAGCACTATTTTTTACATATGTTTCCTATATAACCTTATAAACCACAGATGCGTTTATTGAAAACGTATTTGAAAACTTTATACTGTTAATAAATGTTATAATTTTAAACTTATGTTGTTAATGTTTGCTTAAATCTTCAAAAATTGTTCATTTATTTGGCAAACTTCATTTCCTGTAATTACTAATTGCAAAACACAACAGGCTAATGAAGTATCACTACTAAATGTATAAAGATGTGGCACTTCCCATTTGAAATATATACAAACCGATTAAAACAGATTGCTATGTTATATATCTGTACGTGTTATATATCTATATGTATTTATGAGTAAATTATGTAGATATACGAAAATGTACTTTTCGACTTACATGTAAAACACACAAGTATACATCCTCTTTGTTGGTCTTTCTCAGGAAATTACTTGCCGCAATTATTGCATTCGAAAGCAAATTACATTGTGGCACAAATTTCGATGTCCATTCAATCAGACAATAGTTTAGTGTCCACACGAGCTTAGTATGCATATCACTGCACTGCATTTCACTGAAAATAGATGAAAATTTTGCTTTAATGATTTGCACATGCAGTTCAGATTGTTTGGCAAGAAAACAAATTACATCAAATGAAGCTTAGTACCGAGACAATTTACATTTAAACTGGATTAAATTTGTATTTATTTTTTTTATTGAAATTATGTGACAGCACATATGGTGCTTATAATTATAGTATACATCAACTAATCTATACAATTTTTCAATGTAATTAAAATAATAGAATTAACTTAATTAGAATTATTTAATTAGAATTACTTAATTAACTTAAATTAAATTTGTTACTCACTTTTATTCAATTATACTTCATGCAACAGAATAAAAACTTTTGTAGTAAACAAAATTTAGTTGAATATAAATTTTCTAATTAATGCTATTCAAATTAACTGACAATGAATGCAAAATTACTCGTTAAAAAGTTGTAGAATATGAAAAATTTATATGAAATTCATATTTCAAGTAATTCTAGCCAAAATTATATTAATACGAATACCTAAACTGTGCCTAATGCAAATTGCAGCCAGTGTACTCACTGTAGCATAACAACTTCAGAAAATGCTATATTACAGATTCAATGTCAATGTTCTTTAATTTTATACTACGATATATAATTCCATGTTAACTAGGTAAATTGTTGAAATACTCTTCACAGCTACCACACAGATACATAAATACATATCATAAATGCACTACACTCGTACTTAGTTCAACTATTTTTAAAAGATTACACAAACTGTTCCGCCCGAGTTATGCCAATAAAAAGCTAATATAAATTTTATACTGCACACTTTTACCTTCAACTACGAATCTGTACGTGCAAATGTAATCCAACTTTCGCATTTCCCCACTGTGAACATTGCTACAAGTATTTTGTGAAAATAAAATTTTATCAATGTCAAAACTTCATCTGCAATAATTACAAATTTTCTGCACGTCTAAAAATTTTTGCTAAGTAGTTTCCGGCAAAAACTTTCATCATTCAAAAATCCAAGACAAAGTGCAATCCTCCAGATAGGAGCACCATTCTGCATTTTCGTAGGTACAACTGTATAACTGTATAACTGTATTCTTTGTTAGCTGCAGTCCTTGAAAATTTGTACCACAACCCACAAAAGTAGGAACTTTTGTCATTAGTAAAAGACAACACTCTGGTTGGTATGCAAAATGATGCAAGTTCGATATTTTTTCTGCGAGGCAAAAAATCAATTCTTTCGTAAAAACTCAACTCAAATAAAGAAATAAAAGGAAATAATAATAAACTCAAAGTATATTTTGAAAACAAAATCTAATCAGGGGAAAAAACAAAACACTTCCAAATTGCAAAACACAAAAAAAAATAATAATATACATTCTAAGTACCAGATATGAAATGAACTCAACTAAAGACACCGAAAGACGTTTTTTTGTAAATAAATTTATGTTATAATATATAAAGATAAAATATGAAGTTAAAATTAAAGAAAGGAAATTTAGAAAAGTTGGTAGATAGTATGATGAAACCTAAACCCAAGAAAACATAATTTCCACTCTCTTAAATACAATACAATCATTATAAATTTATTATTAAAATTTCTTATAGAAACGATTTATATTGCGAACTACTAACAAAATAAAGTTGAGTGCGATAACTTTGAAAAGGTCTCAGAAGAATAGGTGAAGAATGTCTCAGTTGAAAATTTCGAAACGCGTCCTGGAAGCAAAACCTGAAGGAAAAAGAAATGCTGGGTATACAGGACTAAGTCAAGGAGACAGCGATAAGAATGAAAGAAACCATAGGTGAAATACGAAGAATATTCGCTAAACGATCGAAATAAAGAAGACTGTGAAAACAAAGTCCATTCCAAATCAATGCTGCAACAACAATAATTAGGTTTGATAAAATCTTTGTTTTGTTTAAATGTTAAGTATAAAACTATAATCATTTTTTTTGCTATACATGGTTCTGTGATTAAATTGCAATCACAGACCGTTCGAGACGGTCCAATAGTACTGACCGTCTTTTACTCTACAAGTAAAAGTATTTATTATTTATCAAACAATACTATTAAAATTTCTCTGATTAAAGTACAGTTGGTTTTACTATTATCATCGATCTTAGTAAGATCATAGATTGGAATAGGAGTTTTACACAGATTTCCCAAGTAGTATTTCGTTTTTTGGGTAAGAAAAAATGTGAAAATTGTATGAGTAAAAGAGGTAAGTCTAGCTTTCAACGATATTAACGTTCTACATTCAACTACTCCCTGAAACTATTACTTTTTATAGCAATATTCAGCATTTGGTTAATCTCTTATTTTAAAATTCACAAAGTTACTCAGTTTATTAGTATTCGTATTAGCATTGGCACCACAAAAGAAGCGGAGAGCAGAAAACTTGACTTGCAGAGACTAGAGATGCGAACAGAAAGTAACATAACATATTATCTATACACAATATAACATATATATGTAGTAAAGGTAGGAAATGAACTGAAACGAATTTGTACTCTAGAATTAGGGATTTGGGATAAAATTTAAATTAAATCTGTACCAAAGATCAGGAATATTGCTTCTTCGATCGAATAATACACAATAAGTATTCAACAAACCATAATTCAACAACTAAACCACAATCAAATGTGATGTACAACTGAGAGTATATAGTCCAGATGCGTATTCATTTATACTTATATATATTCGTTTTTAACGATAAATTTCGAAATTATTTCGAGAAAATATACTGATTTGTTAAAATTAATATTGTACATTATTAAAACTTTAGTTTAATAAACTACATCCTAAAAATTACACACACATAATATTATTTTAAAGATCTTAAGCTTCAATTTTATGCGATTTTAATTCCATTATAAATTTAAAATTATACAGAAACGTTTAAGTCCACAAGACAAGTTTATGGGAAATTATAATCCCAATTTATATTTGCTATTTTCATTACCAAATGGATTTGAGAGGAGAAATTAATTCTTATTATGCAGAGGAGTTCGCTTTTCAACTTACCTTTCATCGATAATTCCATGCCGATTAATATAGCCAACAATTAAATCTCTCAATAAAGTTAACTCCTCACTTAATTTGCCAATAGTTGTGTTGGTTTTGGAGCAGCTTTCCAGTAAGCTTAGTAGACCATTTAAGGTGGCGTTGCGTATGAAAATATGTGAACTTTTCAAATAGTTGCAAATAAGAATGCACAATTGCTGCAATTCACCCAGTGTCGGTATCAGCATGGCTTGAGTTTTACACAATAAATAGATGAGGTGCTGCAAAAAAGAGGAATGAAACTTAGATAAAAACAGGAAAGAAGAAAAATAAAAGAATGCAATTGCAATTGCAGCTTTGCTTTGTAATAGTAAAAAACAAGACAAGAATCTAGCAGAAGTGGAGGGTAAGGAGGAAATGACAGCAAAATTCAAACGTTCTTGTACAATCCTTGCTGCTGCAATTCCAAATGAAATGTAACAAAATATGTTGCTACAACTTGTCTTACCTGATGTGAAATGGTATCGTCCATTGGTATAGTTTCTTGCAATTTAAAAGCTTTATCCTTAATCCATTTGATTTGATCACGACTTTCGCAAATCTCACAGAATTTTACCAGATTTGGCAGCACTAAAATGTGATTGTGCTGTAAAGAAAAATGAAAGTGAGATAAAAACACCATAAAAAGGAAGGAACTTTATGTTCCTTAAATTTTTATAAATACCTTTAGTGAGATTTTAGATATTTTTCATGAAATTTTTTTAACATTTTTTTTATACTCATTTATATATATATATTTTTTTATGTTTATTTACAAGTATTCTTAAAATTTAATTTTAGGGAATGGTAAATTTTATTTAAGTAACTTAAATCTTACAGTTACTTAAATTTTGATTGAAGAAAAAATTAAAATTATAAAATGTTTTGAGTTGCTGTACCATTACTCAATATCATTTGCATTGATATTGGATTGTTATAGTTCTGGATAGTCTTTAACGGACATAAGAAGGTATAGAATACTAAATTAAGGTCTGACTATATTTATCAATATTGTTTCTTACATTGTTACCTTTTTTACTTGTTCGAAAGTTCTCTACTAACATTCTCACAAAACGAAATTTAGATAAGGGCAAGGTATTTCCAAACAAATGCCTCGAGATTTATATAGAGCGTAGAAAGAGTGAAAACAAAATGGACGAATATTTATTTTTCGATGAATTAAACCTAAAATTACACTGCCACTTTTGCCATTATTGAAGTGCTTTGGAACAACAAAATATTTAGCAGGAATATTTAGATTCTTAAATGACAGCCAAGTGGCTAGTATATATTTTGCTGTTTTTTTACAGCATCTGCCAGCATCTACATACAATGGTGAAGCGGAGGAGGATTATAAAATTGTAGGAACATTGCAACTGTACGGTGTTTTAAAATGATGAACCAAATATGAATACACAAAGAACACGTTTGTTACACAACATTAGTGACATGGTTCGTCTTCAAGCACAGCAAGTACTGTTAGCAACTAATAACTCTTGCTTGCTACTTACAAGCCAATACATTTATCGTACTGATGGAACACTGTCTATTAAGTATGCATATCGACTGATTAGAAGTTCGTATCAACGGTTACTGTCAGTTGTGAGTCGGAGTAGAAAAATAAAAGTGTTATTCATTGCCAGGGGCTTTCCAGAAAGCGTGCATACGGGTTATTCATTGTCGGTCACCTGGGAATCTTAAAAAGTGATGGTACTAGCTCACAAACTACCTGTTTTTCGGCAAATATCCTGTTGTTAGCTCTGGTGCATGCAAAGTTTTTCTATAAAACACTCATTGAACAATTTATCTTAACTATTTATGTACATAAAATGTTTATACTTCCAAAAAAAAAAGTATAAAATTATTTTACTCTTTTATTTTACTATTACTAATTGTACTTTATTCACTCAATTTTATTTCAGGAATTTTAACTCACATGTACCAAGAAGCAAACCAATTGTACTTAGATACATGTTTCACGTACGAGTACTCTAACTTGATTATTGTGCAATAAATTCACTTTCTGTTAACTCAATATTTTATAGTAACAAAATTGTAAAATTGCTATTAAAAATAAAACTTAAATTAAAATCATCGCGAAAAGTTCAACTAAACTTGGAAAGTTTTATTTAACCCGAAATTGACTTATATTTCATGCTGTCATCTTTCCTTTCGCTCTCTGTAAACCTTTAATAAACTTACAAATTCACTTGAACTTTTCAATATTATCAGAAACATTTTAGTTGAATCGACCTAACCGACCACCTTACAACTCAAAATGACACATAGGGGAGTCTTAAAGTAACAAGTATGACATACACTTCTTCGGTCGTTTTTCACCTACAAACAACAAAAAAAAAAGCGTTTCACCCATTAAAATGTAGGATGCGAATACACATGTGCGTCAGTCATTCATGGATGTACGTGAAGATTTAAGAGCAATTGTTGTAGTTATTTCTTATGGAAGATTTAACTGACTTAGTTACCTAAAGGTTAGCGCCTACTTCGCAGCTTTATAAAGTTTGCTGTGACAGTAAAAGCAAGCTTATACTGTCAATACGTCAGACAAAAAAAAAAATTGCCATGTAACCTACTGAATTTATAACTTATGTAAGTTATAAAACTCATAGCAGATAAGAGATACGAGTACGCAGTACACAATATACTGTACCAGTACAATAACGCACATGTCAATATACAATTACGAAGAGTATGACGAGTATGTATGGATGAAGTAGATCATTAGTGGGGAATACGCGTATACTCGCGCAGTCATTGAATGTGTAATGAATTTGAATTTTCTCGTTTTGGGATTTGATTACATATGTTTCATTAGACAACACAACAAGCAGTAAAAGATGCTGCACAAGCACATACGCATGCAAATGCTAGTTAGATAGATAGATAGATAGATAGATATATAGCTATGTTAGATAGTGAGCAGTACTGTATAATGCTTACCTCAATAATCTGCATCAGAACATCAAATATAAGCTGAGAGCTACTCTTAAAATCGACGCCTGATTGTGCTGTAAAATAACGATAATTTTTCGTTGCCGTATTTTCATTGTCAGAATTTCGTATTGCTGCTTCGTTATTTTCAGTGCCACTTGAGGCATTTTGATCAGGAAAACTGCTGCTGCCACTGCTACTGCTACTGGTAACATTTATATGCGTTGTCATTGCTGTTGTGGGTTGTGCATAGGCTTCCATTTGCTGCCATATAAAATTGAGATCATATTGATTCGCATTGAAAAGTTTCGTACCAATAACCGTATCAGTCATAAGTTGTCGTTCCAAATTGGGATGATAGAAAACATTTGATGCCGAAACAAGCAATTGTACTTTATGCAACTTTTTAAGACTAAAAATAAAAGAGAATGATTTCAATTGAAATATGAACGAACACATCAGAAACAAATATGATAAGAGATAAGAGATAAGAGATATTGTGTATGCCATGACAAATTCATTCAATAAAAAGTTCAACTTAAAACTTTAAGTTAAATGTTTACAAAATTTTGTTTTACTTTTTCGTTTCCACTTTTCAATTTTGATTTTTCTCATTTTTCTCTAAACAATGACGCAAAACAATCTATGCTATAGCATCGTAGTATCTCTACGACGAGTATATGAATGCATATGTTGGCACAAGTAGATACTTTCATGCACATTTACACACTCATGGACATTAATCCAAACAAGCGTATAAAACATGCTTACAGTATGTGACTCAAATGCAGACAAATTACGAGCTTGTTTGCTCACAAACATTTTCTTCCTTAAACTTGTCAAATGTACGACTAAAAACAACAAAACTATCATAACAGACAACAACGAAAGCAACAACAACAACAACAATAGCAACATCGATATGATATAAATTAAATTGTGCTGCATGTTTCATGGATGTCATAAAAATTACCGAACGCCAACCAAAAACTTTGGTTGGACCAGCAAAACTTTGATTGCCTCACAATAAGCTCGGCAACTAATTTTTACTAGAGAATTTGCTGAGAGAAGTATTATAAATAATATGAAATTAGTGAAAAAAATTACAATATAATTGGTTTTGGTTAGCAAGTTTATTTAGTTGCTAAAACAATATTGCAGATCTACATCTTTTATATGTAGCAAATACAATATCTCCTACCGAAATACTCATTGCAAAATTCAAATCTAAACGTTTCTTTAAAAAGACGTCAACTAAACGTGTCTTCAGTGAAGACACTGCTTAAATTAGACTCTCTTTTATGTTCTAGAGTTACAAGTGTTTGTCTCGTAAAAGCTATTAGGAAGAAGTGTCTTAATAGCTTTTCCTGGGGAGAGTTCTAATAACAACTCTACTGCTAACTTCTAGAGAGAACCGATACTAGAACATAAAACTATTGCGTTCTGTTGTTATTGGAAAAGTAATTTTATTTTTTTCAAAAACCGTCCTTAATAGTATTATTTTACTTGAAACTAAGCACTTAGGCTCCATCATTATAATATAATATAGATTGCCGTCATATAGCTAGACTTGCTTGTAAAAAATTCGATTGATTATAGTAGTAGCTCTTGGTTGATGCCCTTTTTAATATGGAAAATAAAAAGGAAATGTAAAAATGCTGTTGAAGCAACAAAAATCCATTCTATATATATGGAAAAGATATATAGTCAGAAGTCTAGTGCCAAAATCGAATTCCAAAATTTTGATCAGACAACGCTCCACAATTTTGATGTTAAAAATGCGTCATAGAATGTAAGGCTAGTTGACAAAAACCTGACAATAATAGCATAAATTGATTCAAACCGGCTGATAAGAAATCGTGAGATCACAGACTTAATTCTCAAACATTCAAACATTCTTGAACATTCGTTACGTCTAGGTTGAATCTCAAAGTTTGACATTTGGTATCATCTGTTTGTAATTTGCTCACAGACATCATAATAAATAAATATATAATAATAATAAAAATAATAAGCCATTTTTGAAACGCATCATTACTTAGAACGAGAAATGAGATGTCTGCAATAACAGTATGTAAGATCATGGAGTATAATAGATAAACTAGGTCAAAGTACCTCTGAAGCCAATTTTCATCAAAAATAAATGGTGCTATCTGTTTGCTGGGATTTTAAAGGAATCGTTTCTTTCTGAGCTTTTACCGGACAATACAAGGAACCATTTTAAACTGTACTGTACAGTACTGTACTGTACTGTTTGCCAGAAAGATGACAAAAACTATCGGACCAGAATGGACAATATATAATTTAATTAAATATACATTACTTTATTAAATAAAATTAATTTTATTAAAAGTATTAGAACTTATAGAACTTAATTGAAGCAACAATTAAGTTGAAATGTTGTGTATTAGTATGAACTCTTCAATTATGTTTTCAACCCAAATTATATTTTTTATTTTTAAATTTATACCTAATTAAAGCGTCAATAAATGACCTATAAAAATTTTAAACCAGTAAATTTATTTATAATTTTATTTAGGGTGAATTTACATTTACTCACATAATGATAACAAGAAGAACAACTAAAATTTTATAACGTTTTAATAAAATAAACATTATTTTATTTATAGCATATATTTTTAAGCGCATTTTGTGGATATGATAATGGAACAACAAACAAATAAATTTAACATTAAAATTAAAAATAATAATAAAGAAATTATCTTCTTAAGGATGTACTCGTAACTACATTTTTAGTTAACACTCAAAAAGTTGTTAGTATTATTGCTATATTTTTCGATTCCCTCCTAGCATTGAACCACAAATTATCCATAAAATACCAAAGTATCTGACTTTTATATAAAATAATTGCTTTATGATGCATGCACCATCAGAACAAAAGACGCATGAGGTCCTTTAATGTTTTTATTTTGTTGTATTGTTGTTGCTATAGAACCGTGCGTATGTCCTCCTTAATGCTCAAAATAAACGATTTAATTCATTACTGCGGTATTATTTCTGTCTGTAGGGGTAGTTGTATTGAATCTTTGTTTTATATGCGTAATTAAGATTTCTTAAGATTACCTTTTAATTGGTAGCTGGTAAATGAATATATTCACATCCCTCTGTGTTATCATAATGTGCACTACATTCTGACCAGAGTTATGAGTTTTTTACTGGCACTGGCAGGTTACTGCCACAGTTACGATAAATCGTTTTGGCACGAAGCCTTCCTATTGTATTTATTGTTGTTATGAATGAGTTAATCACCCGTGGCAATTGCATGGTTATAAACCATTATTTACGGATATCATGTCATGCAGGATTTTATTCAGTTTTTTTCTCTTCTACTAGATATACTTAACATATACTACAGTTCTTCGTTTCGATTCGAAATTCTAATATATTTTCGATAAGAGCAATTTGATTCTCAATAATATTTTATTTATATTTAATAAATATTGTATTTAAAATCGATTAACTGCGATGCTATAAACATATTACATACTATTCAGGTAGTCGTAACATCGTAACAGTTCTAATACAATACGTATCTAAGGATAATTTTTAATATCTTAATTAACAAAAACAAGGACAACAAACTAGTTGTAAAATAATATACAACTATTAGCTGAATTTTAAACTAAATATTTAGACGAGGCCCTTTTTTTCATTGTTATGCATTTAGTTTATTTAATTTATTGCTTTGCAAATCTCAAGTATTTACTACTTCTCTTGAAAGATTATTTTCATTGAATTCACATATTTATAAATTATTAATTCTCAATATATTTAACATATATTTGGTTGTTTTTAGTGTTAATAGTTTGGGATTGTATCCCTTTAACTTAAATATTAAATATCTTACTGCTATTATTGTTAATTACTTGAAAAGTGAACAATCTTAACAGTTGCGTCATACAAGGTGTTAATGTACTTTTCAACTTGCAGAAACTAGATTAGTCATACAATTCTGGCTGTGGAATAATTTGGACCATACAGAGATCTCTCATAAAAAAGCGGTTTAAAACTAGCGAAAAAAATCGCTACTGGTGCGAAATTACAGGTAGCCGGTAGGTTTAAGCGCTGGTTCGTCCAATATACCTAAGGTATGCCTCTTGGTACACCGAAACTGAGGTTATTAGCATGTTATTTGACAAGTCGTCACCGCATGTGTTAATATTTCAACAATAAGGATCTATCTGAGCAAACAGTATGGCATGGCGACTCTGCTTGGAAGCGAATGAGACTTCTAGTTATATTCTTTGTGATCTTTCAGATTTGATTTGAAACAGAAGGAGTTACTAAGCCGAAAGTTACTTATTCCATCTAATCTTATGATGCCCTTTGCAGCTGATATTCGGACTTTCATTCGCAGGACGTAATGTTTTCTGGTTGCAGTGCTCTGATACACTTGCAGCCAGTAACCTCTTAATTTTCTATTCTATTCTAGTACATTTCACTACAAAAAAATAGTGATGTGACATTGTAAAGCCGGTTTTATCAATTTCTTCAATATGCAATTTGTTATTATTCTATGGCCTATTTTAATGATGGGGAGTATAAGATTGTTGCATGAAATTTTTATATTCTATAGGTAAACCAAAAATTTAAAAAAATATTGGGATTTTCTCAATTAAAATCGGTTTTAAATGCTTTACGAATGCTTTCATTAGTGTTTTTGTTAATTCACGAAAACATACCAATTAAAAAGTAAGTTATACATAAACCGAAACTGCATAAATAGTTTTAAAAATCCTCAACATTTAAAAACCATGAAAAGTTTTGCGGTGAATAGCACCAAAATATTTAACGTAAAATTTTAAAATAAATATAAAATAAATTTTTAAAATACCTTAAAAACAATATATAAAGTAAAAATACATGAAAAAGCTAATACCTCAACTGCAGCATGACTACATTTAATATAAAAACAATACAATGTATGCTTATATTGAAATGAAAAGCATAATTATGGTGCGGGTATTACTCGCTACTGTATATGTCAGATAAATGTATATAATTATTATTTATATAAAAAAAAAATATTGCTTTACCTGAAGTACTTTTAAAATGACTTAATTTTTACAATTTCATGTTTGATGGTACTTCAGAACAGTTCATCAAAGTTGTGCCAATAATGTCAAATACAACGTTTTTGATGATTTCAAATTTATATTGCTTGCTCTGCTAATGAGCAATTTACAACGCTCTGACATTGACAACCAACTTTTTAGATAGTAGCAAAGCTTAACATTTTCCAACCTGTATTCGTGTGAATACACACTCCGCACATATTCAGCAATTATCCAGTAACGGAAAAGTCACTTACCTTATACTATCGCAATTAATGCGAGACCATCTCGTCGTATGATGGAAATAGGAAGAAACTTTATCACCCACAAATGGAAAAGTTTTGTACGTAATTAAAAGTTCTAAAATCGCTTCTAAGCAAGTGCTTTTAATTTGAAATTGTTCCTGTTGGTCCACCATATTTTCATCATAAACTTTATTGATTAACAACAGGAATGTCATGAAGTACTCCTCGAATTGTTGTCGTGTTGTAAAGCCAAAAATTGATAATCTGAAATAATAATGAAAAAGAGATAAAATGAAATTTCAGAAAAAAAATTTTTTTTTTATTAAATTGAATTAAAATTGTCACACAAGTACGGGTATGAGAAGTACGACTACGAAGAGGATTCATATGAAATTATCTGCTTCTCTCAAAAATGTTAGAGTGACTCTGTATACTCGTAATTGCATTAAAGAACTTTTGATTAAAGTAGCAAACTCCGTAAATGATACAAATCCATGGTAATAAAACAAAAGGATATGTACTCGTATGTGTAGATTAGATGTGGTTTGTTTTTCGATCAAATAGGTTACGAAGGTTGGCGTAAGCAGTATTATATAACTTTATCTATAAAATAAACAATCTAAAACTTTTATTGCTGTTGTAAATCGTTTCAAAAAAATACACAGAACAAAATATTTATTAAATTATAAAATAAAAATCACTTTAAAATATTACTTTAAATACTACAAAACGTTCAAGTTATGGAATAATCATATTTATTGAGCACAGATCTTCACAGATAAACACCACAGAAAAAAGTCTATTATCGATTAAATTTTTTACTAGTCATAGAAAGCAGATCTACCAGGATAACTAATTTCAAGCACAAAAAATGCTAAGTACTGCCCAATCAACACTAAATCCGAATATCGTTGACGCCAAGGTAACATTCCAAGTTTTTAGGAGGATCAGAAAGGTGCCATCCATTTTGAATTGTTAAAACTTATTTAAATTATTAGAGATATGGCATTCGTTTGAATAGATCTATTACCGCAAAATAGCCGGAAAACACGACCAGACACAAAATCTTTATTTTTCATTATTATTTACAAAATTTTTCGCTAACAAAAGATGGAAAATTTTACCTTACACCAACTCAGATCTTCCAATTTTCGACTAACATATATTTCACTCCATTTGGTATGCCATGTGTGGAATAGGCTTCACTTTAACTCTCGAGTTAACTCTAGACTTCAAATAAAAAACCGAACACCATATGCAGGAATATTTTAAAGCACTAAGGTGCAAATGCTACTCGTATCTATGCAAAATTTTATTTACTATTGAAATCTAGACAGACAGACAGACAGACGGACACATTACTAATTCAAATGATTTGTATTGTTTTGCTGATTGAGTATTTCTAAGGTAAACATCATCTTTGGTCTAAATTAAATGCAAACGAACGTAAGTTTCAATATGAAAGTATTACTACGAGTAATATTGGTTAAATGCGTTCAAAGTCAAATTTATAATTAATCAAAATGCAACAATTTGAAATCTTTATTTAATAAATTTTAAATTTAACACTTTGTACTTAAATATTCAAATTTAATTCAATTAAGTTTTAATAAACATTGCACATATTTAATGTTTTCATTTTAATTTAATCAATAAATAAAACGAAATCCTAACATCCCAACATTGCGTGCAACAACAGACACACAAGTGCTACTGTTTTGGTAGTATAAAATAATAAATAATATTGTTGAGGAAATTTGTTAATAAGAACTTAAAAACTCTTGTGGGAAAATCTATCACAACAGAAAAACGCCTCAAGTATTAAATGAAACACAAAATTTCTCAACTGCAGCAAAGGACTAAAATCAAGGGAAAACGCAAAGTGTGGTTAACAGACTGAAGCATATAACATCACAATAAGGATTCCATATCCTTATGTACACGCAAAGCTTGTGTTAAGCATAATCAAATGTTGGTTATTTCATTACATTTGTTAATTAAAATATTTACATTAAAATTTTAAACCTAAAATGCCACGAAGCTGTTCAGATTTTGAAGCAAAGTAATAAGTACCAGCAGTACTGCCTCAGACTGAATTGCATCATGAAATGCAAGAGATAAGTAGTAAGGTTAGTTATTATTCTAATGTGACTAACTTATATGAATTTCATATATTCAAAGTGAAGTGTAATTTTCAGTAAGGACATAAATTTGATCAAATCTGCAATTGAGTAGAATGTAATTGTTAGATGGTATTGCATTCTACTCAATTGGTTAATTTGTAATGTCTATTTATAAACTAAGAAGCTTTCTATCTAGAAAAACTTAATACAATGTCATCCAAATAAAGTTAGAATGGAAAATGACAAATTTTAATGCAAATCAACTTTACAATATTAATAGAATTGAAGTAAGGGCTTAAAACTAAATTTTTATTTAAGAAATTAATCACAGTCTAATTTTGTACTCGTAATATAAGCTTGAGTTGTATTGCTTAGTTGTTATGAGAGTATTTAAAGTCTGTACTTAAAATACTTATATCAAAATATCATGAACTAAAAAATAAAAAGAAAAATACTATTGCTTACAAAAATATCAACCAACCTCACCAACTTCTAACTAACGAAGAGGGGAGATGGCATAAAACCTTGAGGTTAAAACGCAGCATATTCAACTTATTTTTGAATAAGTTGGATCTAAAGGAGAAACGATTGTGAGGGTGAATGAAACATTGGAAAATAATAATAGTTATCAGGGAACATTGATCACATAGTAACTTATCCCAAAAGTAATCATTACATTAACTGTAGTATCCAAAACAAGATATTGCCTCACAGTATATGTTGTCCACAACACATACTTTAGAAACATAATCAAATGAGAGGTATCTTTAAATTCACTAAAAAATGAAAATAAATTTTATATTTATTGGACATATTGAATATTGCGAAAGCCTGGTCGATAGCAAAGACATTAACATACCCATAAAAGAAAACTAAAGACAGATAAGAGTTTTTCTAACCGAAAGATGAATACTTCAGCCTCTCTGAATAGAAAAGTTGTAAACTATCTTGACTATTTTATGATAGAGCTACAGAATAATGGTTGGCACCATTAATCTACTAAGATTATCTTACAAAAATACATGCATGTAAGATAGGCTAAGTCATACATACATCAAAAAAAAAATTTTAGAGTAAGTAATTTCGAGATCACAAATTAAACATATTGGTGAACTCTAATGTCACAAACTAAAAGACAAAGTTAAACAAATTAATTATTGAGATGACTAAAATTATAACAGTGATATAATAATATAAGCGTCACAAACTGGTATAGCTAAGGCCTGAGGCGGCTTTGCGTAACATTTAATCTTTGCCAATGCATGGTAATCTATTAATTAAAATTAAATAAAAATTAAGATTAAATCAAATGTGAATAACTAAAGTTTATAAACTACCATCTATAATTATAAAATGAATTCAACTGCAGAGTTTAGTATAATCAGAGCAAAAATAAATTTTTAGAAATTTGAATTTCATCTCAAAAGCAGATATTTATATATGTTAACTTTGTTATACGCAAAAGCATAAGCAGCGAACAATATAATTTCTAAAGTCATTCAAAAATGAAATTATCTTTAATTATATTTAATGGTTGAATAAATTAAATAAATAAATTTGTTATTATTTCTAAAGATCAAAAGACGCTTTGTTTTTATTTTAGATTGTATCTTTGACATATCTGTATATCTCACATGCTATACACAAATCCAAATCCGAAGTCAAAGTTATTTTTTCAACTTTTTGGAACCTTAATTCACTGGACCATAAAAATTGTGGAAACATTGCTGAACAATTTTTAACGGTCGTCGTTAACTTATGCAGTATATGTAACTATTGTTGATTGTTGATGTTACTTTTGATATGAGATATAATATTTAATACACTTTAAATCAAAACAAAAAACCAAAATTACAGTTCTTTACTAAACTTCTTGCAGTTGAGACAATCAAAAACAGAAATAACAGTGGTTATATCAAAATATCAAAATCAAACCACATCATCACACATGAATCCACAAACGAGCATATGTAGACGCATCAAATGTCGCAAGCATCACCGACGACATACATCAGCTACAAAAACAAAATAAACAGAAAAAATAGTATAGAATTATCAGCGTTAAAACACATATGTACTTCTAAACACTCCTGCATGCATATCTGAGACATTGATATGGAGTAACCTGCAAGTAGAAAGTCAAATGCTTGCAGCTTGTCTCAAACATTAAATGTTGCGGTATTTCACCACAGTGTAATAAACAAATCACATATAATACGAACAGACCCGAAACGATGAACCCCGTTGTACATGTTGCATATTGCATATGCATATTGCATATTGCATATTGCAACATAATTTACATACTCTCTATCTCTCTGTTTACCTATTTTGCAACCGAGGTGTACATTCGTACTTCCGTGCACCAGCCGCAGAAGTTATCTTTTTAATTGCAATATAAAATATTCCTAGTACTCTGCAAAGTCAATGATATGTTACTCCTATATTAATTCTATGCTACATATATATTTGTAGTTGCTGTTAATTTGCATGTGCAATACATTTTGTTATATTTATCAGCGACAGCATGAACGAGCAACATTTCACAGTAGCTGTGAATGTAGTCATAATTGACATAACCAAGTTGGCAATTATTAAAAGTTTTATCAGCAAAGATATTGTGGTAATAAAAGTTGGTTGCTAACAAGCCCAACCACATTTTATAGTTACATTTTACTAGGTTAAGGAAATAGTAACTTGATTTGCCGACGAACGTAACTACTTAAAACATCCAGAAATAAAGTATAACTTATAGTTAATAAGACAGGAATCACCAAAAACACAAGATTCTTGATTTAAGGATTTAGGAGTTCAATTGAAACTAGCCGTACGGGGCGGTATGCAGATCTTAGATCAGTCATCGAAAAATCAGCGAAGCTCGTGAGAAGTATATAAATTAGTCAAAAAGAAGGGAGGGACTCTGTAGAAATCCTCCAGCGCACTTGTACTAACCCGAAAAAACCTCAACATAAGAATTGACAATTAACAATCCATTATTTAAGATTTTATAAATTGAAAAGTGTGAGCAAGTAATAAAGCAATAACAATACCCACCTTAAATTCTTCAAATTTATTAAGTTGATGTTCTCAACATATTTTTTAAATGTAGATTGTTTTTGTAGTCTCCATAATGTCTCAGTAATAATGTTTTGAATAATCACTAAATGGACCTAGATGAGACTAAATATCATTTAAGTTTATTTAGCAGTTTAGCAGATATATAGATTTTAACTATTATTTTGTAGCGTGGGATTCTTAAAAAGAGACCCTATATGTAATATTATAAGTTATCTTCTGTACTTTTTTATAGATTACACAGTTTAAATATCATTCGTGCAGTTCTGCAGTTTAAGAGAAAATTGTATTTTAGCAGCTGTTTTATGTGGTGAGCATCCTAAATGCTGGCCTTAAGTAAAAAAATTATAGCCCATAAAGGTCTCCTTTATATAGAGACTATCGGTTGAGCGTTTTTTTGTTTATAGGATATATTAAACATATAGATTGAGTTCGATGTTTTATTTGTCAAACTTTTCAAATTTGTTTTTTTTGTTTTTTTTTTGACAGCTATGATTTTGACATAACAGAAATTATGGTTATTTTTGTTAGATCATTAATTTTTTTCTTGATTTATTTGTGTTATTAAAAATAGTTACTTTCTAGTATTATTTTGACGGCCATTGTCACTACCGATATATCCAGTGTTGTTCTCTAGCACCGCCTTAAGACTAAACCCAGTTATACACTGATTATTTTAAGCAAGCCTTACACAAAGAGGATAAATAAGGTATGTTAAATTGTCAATATGTTACTATATTATTAAAAAAAAAATATTATTATACATAATCTTCTTCTTCTTGTTCTTGAGTTAGTGCTATTACGCACTTTTATTCTATAATGGCTGGGGGGCTTATCACTACACCACACTAGGCTTTAACTAGGCTAAGAAATCAAATCATTTATTTGTCTTTTAGTTTATGACGGACCTTAAATCAGCATATCTTCCTGAGAATCCAGAAGTGGACTTGGGGATTGTTAGGGCGGGGTTAAGTAGCGTATCAACTTTAGTGAATATTTATTTACTGAGTCAATCCTAAGATCTCTATGTATGTCTGTTGATCTAATATTCCATAGAATCTTAAACAGTCTTCTTAAAGCCAGGTTTTGAGCTAGCATTCCAAATCAAATTTAAAAATATGAACTAAAAACCATTGTACGTAGACAGTAAATAATTAATTTCTTTTTAAATAATCTGTGTGAAGGATAGTAGGGCTTCGACAAAAGTAGAGTTAACCTTTTTTATTGTTTTTACTTAACATAAGTGCTTAACATAAGTATGAATGTACCTGCTTTTCTTAGCAATATAATTAATTCTTTAACTTATAAATCAATGGATTTAATATTTGTTTGCATTTTAATATTTATATATATAACGAAAATCTAGATTCTATAAGAGCTTTAACTTCAGAGCACCATAATGTTATTTTATTTGCATTAATATAATATTATATTAGGAGCTACTTACCTTTTAATAAATTTGCGTAATACGTCTACATCACTAAGTCTTTCAACGGGTATTGTCGATAAAATTCCCTTTGTGGATTGAATCGCGGTTGCTACCGAGCGTTTATGTGGTGAATCATGTGATCCACTTACATTATCCAGAGCAAGACTTTGTTGAATAATTTCATGAGGCGTAACAGCATATGCGTAGAACTGATTCATTCTTAAAATTGAAATACCAATCGATTCGATAGTTTGCTACAATAAAAATTATAAAAAATCAATAAAAATAAAAACAAAATTTTATAAAATTATAATGAAAATAAAACTATTCCACAAAAATAATTGATATCTTACTATTTAATCCATAATTTTCAATAATTCATTACAAACACTCACCATTGAAACTTGTGCACCTTTGACATCTAAACCTATAAAGTCGTTAAAGTTTCCACTATTCATACTACAATTATCTGCTTCAGCAGTTAAACTAGAACCATTAGTACCAGAGATATGACCTGTAATATAGCTTGCAGAGAGTGTGCCAGTCAATTGCTCGAAACCAAGTTTTGCTTCAATCCATTTCGCCACAAAAATAGCTTTCGGCGCAAAAGTGGCTAACATTTCCTCCGTGTTCATATCTCCAATTTCTTCAGCACTTAAGTTCCTATTTAACGTATCAGTACAATTCACAGCAATCATCGAGGTTTTATATTTTTTATAGAAAACTGTATTTCGCATAGATTTTGTCAATAGTAAAACAAGGACATCTATCACATTACACAACAGCATATCTTTGTGTGAAATGGACAAAATGCTGTCGGCTGTTGTTTTGTCAGCAGTCGTAGTAAGTGGCACCTTTTCAATTTGATTTAGCTCATTCCAAATGAGTTTTTGTTGCAGTAGCACCTCAATACAACGCAGCAGCACTCCAATACTATTTTGCTCAGTATGCCGCTGGTGCTGGTGCTGGTGCTCAGTTAAAAGCAGTCTTTTGACACGTTTGCAGCACCAGTTTAGATAGCTTAAGAGTATCGCTATGTGGTCAGGACGCAACAAGTGTTCGCGCAAAAATTTTTCCATGAATTTCGATTCGATGTAAATTAGCGCTGCCATCTCAATTTGCTTGATGTTCTCGATTAGAGCTATTACGGCATTGGACAAATGTACCACTGTTGTGGTATTAGCATCTCCAGCATCTGCATAAACATTAGAAATAATAGCCTTGACAGAGGTATTAGTAACCAGTGGCACTTCTCTGTCAATAGCAATTGCGCCAAGACGTGCCATTAGCACGGCGAGGGAAACTCTTGCTAATGGATTCGGCTGCATGTAGTGTATGTGCGGATTATGTTGCATGCAATCGTTGCGAAATGTTGTTAGCATTGTTTGCAATGATATCGCAATCGTATGCCACAGCACTCGCGGCACATCGAACGTTAGATTGTTGAATATACTGTGTAGTTTGTTTTCCGATTGTATATCGAGTAGGATTTTTGTCACTTGCACTAAATCGTAGTTGGATTGTGTTGAGAATTTAATTAACTGCAAATGGAAAGCGAAATAGAAACAATGAAATTTTACAAACAAGCAAAAAAAATAGTACGATGCAAGTAGAACAAAATTAGAATAGTAAACAAACCTGATATAATAAAAATAAAAGGGAAATACAAAAAAAATATATAAAACAAAAGCTACTAACAAAATGCACTTTCTGGTTAAAATAATAAAATCAATTGAAATGTTCGAACCCTGATATATGTGGGTGCAAAACATCTATTATGGCTAGTATTGTTTCGGTTGTTATTGTTTTGCAGATTATGTATTTCATTGGATTAGTTGCAAAAATATTTGCTAGTACAAATAAAAACAACATTTGGCGTGACATAAAATTTATCAAATTGCACTACACGTTCAAACTTGTGTGCAACATTCTAGTAAGAAACAATAAAATGTAAAATAATTTGCTTTTAGGATTATTGCTTTTTGCAAATAATTCAAAGAAAAAAAATAAAATTATATATAAATAAATTTATTTCTCTGAAAACTGGAGCAGAAGATTGATGCTGTTAAAATTAAAATATTTTTTTAAATAAACAAATCGTAGTTTAAAAATACACATAAAATAATAAGTATTTATGCATAGTCTCGCATGAGAGATTATAAAATCTGAAATTTTTATAAATTTCTATTTGAATGGATAAATTGCCACTGACACTAATGTCCTTTATATTAAACTGAAGCACGCTTACACCTGTTATTTGTCAATTATTTTATGCATAAATAGTTTGGATAATTCCGATTTACAAAATATTCTTTCAATGTAGAATAAATAATAAAAAAATAATTAATTTAAGTTTCCAAAACAATAGTATTGTAAATCAAACTCTTATGTCTTATTTGAAAGATAATTATTAGTTAAATTAATTACAAAAATATATGTATGTATACATAAACAATATCTTAATTTCTTATCTCTTATTTGTTTCTTATCTTATATGTTTCCGTCTATCAGGCGGAACTTATGGCCGTCTCACATGCTCTGGATGACTTATTGTATTGCCAGATGTATCAGAAAAAGATTCATATCGCTATTGAGCAAAACGAGAAGGCAGACATACTTGCAAAGCAAGGATCAAGCCATAACATCTGCGGCCCAAAACCCAGAATACCATTGGGTTACAATATGAGCACTTGTAGACAGACCAAACTCATGTTGCCGAAACCGTAGGTCAGAGAAGCAATAAAAGTAGTGTTTAGCTATTCGCGGGGAACCCTAAGCTGGCTGATCTCACTAATTACTGGACATGGCAACTTCAAGTATCACCTCAAAAAGATAACTCTTGCTGAGGAAGACACTTGCAGACTATGTCTAGAAGAAAAGGAGACAGTGGTGCATATATTGTGCCAATGTCCAGCACTGACAAGTAGGAGACACCAACCTAATGGTGTCTTGGGTGACCATTGGGTTGGTGATGACTTGGCTGGCAACCTCAAGCTTAATGAGCTGCTGGCATTAACAAGAGATGTAGTTCTGCCACTCCAGCTTTAACTCAATAACGACATCCGAGAATAGAAGGACGAAAAAGGACCCAAATTGTTTCGTGGTCTACTTCGTCTAATCCTTCACTTCAGTCGGGCCACTTGTTGGATGGTGCGCTGTCCCAACGTCCCACTATAAGTATCTCTTATTTGAAAGTTAATTATTAATTAAATGAATTACAAAAATATATGTATGTATACATAAAAAATCATATTATGTACATGTAGTAACAGTTAAAGCATACACAAATTGCTGAAGATTTAATTGGAGTCGATGTTCGAATAGAAAGTTGTCTGATTTTAAACAATAGTAATAATAGAGTAGAGTAATTATTACCTATTCAACTGCAAAATATATTATTTTGACAATGTAATGCATTTATTTCAAATATAACTTAAAAGCTACTTTAAACATTCAGACAAACCACGACATCTCAAAATGATTTCATTATATTTGATTGGAAGATTTCTTGTGGAAACTCTACGATGAAATGCTAGATATTAAACATCATAAAATTAAATTAATAGAATTTAATTTTGGCTTTGGTTTCGTCTAATTTTCTTGTTGTTTTATGTTATACATATAAGATCTTGCAAATCTGCTTTCTTGCCTTTATGCTTACACTAACTTAAGTTGTATTGACCTTTGGCTTTGACTTATTAAATTGATCAGGTTTCATTACCTTGCCCAATTAATACCCATCCACGACCTTATCGTTTTCTTAAACTAAACAACCCTTCCACTCACCACTCTACCTTCACTTAATCACATCCTAACTCATGTTTTAATTTTTTAATTCATTTCATATTTCTTCCTATTAAAATTCCCAGGGGTTACAATGACAATAACATATCATAAAACCAATATTAAATACATTATACATACACATATTTTTTTTAAATGAATATAAATGCAGACTAATCAATCATTAAAAGCATACATATAGTCTTTACACCGCTAAAGATTATAAGTGAAAAATATCATGAAAGCAGTAGTAGACTGTAAACTTTCAAAATGTTTAACATTAAACTAAGTTATTCAAAGATTAATATATTTATCTAATTAACTGAAAACACTTGTTTACGCATGTATTATTCAGCACGAAATAAAAAATCTTATTTTTTTTATCTGCAAAACACTTTTGCAAGTGGAAATTAAAGGAGTGAAAATAAAATATAATGTTTTGTAATCTTTTTGAAATCAATGCTTATATATTTAACTTATAATTGGTTAATTAGGATAATTAGTACAAAAAAATATTTTACAACTGTATTAATAATTTTAATAACGTTTTAAATACCAAATAAATGTATATTAAAACAAATAATTAGACTTGGATTAAAATATACTTAATGCTTAATATTTATAACAGAGTAAGCAGGATTAAATGTGTTCACTTACCTGTGCAAACAACCACTTCTCATCAATAATTTGCTTCTCTAAAGCCGACTTATCCAGTCGCGTTTCTACTCCCAATTGTAAATTTTCCAAGTCATTTAAACTGTTATTAAATAGACAAAAAATAGATTTAAAAAATATTATATTTCTGTTCTATTTTATTATATTTAATTTTATTTTATTGAAAGAATTAAATTAAATAAATAAGCTCAATTATTTTATAACATTTTCATAAATTATTGATGGCTACACTTACAGCAGGAATTCCAATTGCCCATCCAAATAGTCTTCCATCTCCTCTTCTACATTATGCATGAAACTATCGTAAATAGCATTTTTATCGTGTGTTGATTGCACTATAATGCGCCGTGCCAGACGCTCCAACTGAGCCACTAGTATTTTATCCTCACTGTGGATGCGATGCAATTTTGCCAAAAATTGCAAAAATTTCGCTGTACATTGGATGCTGCAACAGCGTCGATTCCCTGAACTTGTAATACGCAATATCAAACGTAGAAGCTTACGTATTGAAGTCTGTTCGAATTATTAAAATAACAAAAAAAAAAAAACTCTTTTTTATTAAATATTTTTTATGAAAAATATTTTTGTATTTTTGTTCTTATTATCTCTACATACTTGTACTTATTATGTTAACTTTAACTTTTCAATGTAATTATAATTGAAATGAATTTCAAACTGCATAAAGCACTCTTGAACTCACCTTTTCGAGTACCTTTGCATGCTGTAGAAGCGAATTTTGCAGTAACGAGCAAAACTCTTCGTCCACTTTGCATAAATTGCAAACAAAAGCAAAATGTTCTGCAATTAAGATATTCAGAAATGTTTCATTGAACAATTGCCGCACTTGTTGCAAGTTCCAATCCATGGGGTTTGGCTGAAATACGAGTATAGAAGTTAAAGAAATGCTACTTAAACAGCAATGCTTAAGTAGTTGCAAATTAGAAAATATTTGCTAGTTGAAGTCGCCGAAGTGGAAAATCAAAAGCCGTACTGTTTGAAAACCAAAAATAAATTACGAAGTAAACAATTATGGAAATTTATTTAAAAGTTAATAAAAATAAAAAAAAAAACTTAGTAGATTATACTTCAATGGATCATTTTTGTAGTTTGTCTTTCTCAACTTTGAATATAAAATTAAAAAACTATAAAAATAATATTCTTTTCTAACTAATAAGTATCTATGGTTATTTTTAAAAGTTTCTTTCATATACCATTACTGCTAAAAATTATTGTTATTAATATAAAAATAGAAACATATTTTGGGAAAAAAATAAATTAATATTCTTTCTTCCTACGGAAGATGAAAAAATTCAATCACTTGGAAAAGAGCATAGATTATATATGAATCAATTAATTCAATAACTACAAAATTAGCCTTATCAGATTAGTAAATAGATTTCATAAGATTAATAATGGAGGTTATAGTTCAGCTTGTCATATATTTAAATTGTAAAAAAAATATCAGATAAATTAAAATTCGAACTCTCAATAACCTTCCGATAATCCAATCAATCAATATGCCAGACATATCAAGTAAGCTAGATATTACATGCAATAAGAAAAAAAACAATATTTCAATAGTCCGGACACAACATATGCTCACATTTTTCCTAAATTTTATTTAAGTAGCTATATATATTACACATATACCAACAACATTATTATTATCATATCATGTCCTACTTTATTCATTTGCATTGCATTTGTAAGATTATTAGCATAGACAAATAAATAAATCCTTTGAACAAGTTTACCTATGATGATGTATAAATGGTGGCTAATATGAAAGGAAATGTCAATATCCTAATATGGTTGGATAAAAGAAGTGTGAAATAGTAGGGATCGTTTGGAAACAAGAGCGGTTTATATATAAGTGGAATTTTTATTGACACTTCACTTGGCCAAGGTGAAGAAACCTAGCCACTTTAATGGAAAGAAGCCAAAGATCAATTTATCAATGATTGGATAAAAGAAGTGTGATATAGTAGGGATCGTTTGGAAACAAGAGCGGTTTATATATAAGTGGAATTTTTATTGACACTTCACTTGGCCAAGGTGAAGAAGCCACTTTAATGGGAAGAAGCCAAAGATCAATTACACATTTGTAGTCAATTGTGGTTTGATTAGCTTAGTGTTATATAAAATGCTTTGACATTACTTTGGATGCATTTTGCGATTTTTTCTGTAAGATAAATACCGAAGTTGTGCATTTGACAATCAGGAATTCCGTCATTCTTGATATGTTATCATATAATTTAGACACTAGATAATTCTTATATGCATTTTATTAAATCAAGTTTTTAATTAAATTTTGTTTAAAAATTGATTTTATGATATATATTCATAGCATGTATCTCATATTACAATCACAATAAATATATTATTGGATGTGGCTATATAACATTTAAATGATGTATTATTTAAGAAAAATCTGTCAAGGATTTTGACATTTCGATAAACCGGGTAACTCATAAAATGTAATTGTTTCAATTATCTAAAGCAAACTTTACATCCAATTTTAATATATTTTCAGGACATGTTATACAGACAGTTATATGACGATTTATCACGTTAACTTTAGGCTCTCGTAACACTATCATATCTTATTTAACAATTGCCAACATAAAGAGGAGTACTTAAAGTACGTTGTTTTGTGTCTAAATTTAAAAGATATTTTTTTTATGTGGATATGCTTACATATCCGTTATATGAATAATTTTTATATTAATATATTATTTAATAAATATTTTTTTTAATATTATATATTGTATATTAATTTTAATATGAATCATGATTCCGACGAAAATGAACATTCAATCAAAATTCTTAATTTAAGCGAATAAATAAATAATTATTTTGATATATTAATATTTAAAAATTTAATTACTCTATTTTATTGCTTTTATTTGAGTTGCCAAAATGTCAATATTGCAGTGATTTACAATTTTAACATTCTTCTAAACAACTATGTTCGTATTTATTACACATAATTGTAATTAAATACTTGTTTATTTATTAAAACTTCCAAGCTTAACACTGAAATAACACAAATTAAATGTAAAGATTGTGAGTTGTTTATTTTGTGTTTGAATGACAAATTAAACCAATTAAATATGCTTCAATGCAATTCCTTTCAAGTTGCATATTTCAACAGAAATACAAAAAAAAAATAAATAAAAATATTACTAAAAGTTAGAAAGTAAAAATTATTTAAAATTTTGAAATTAGCAATAAAAACTTTTAGTTTCGCATCTAAATTAACAAAAGTAAATTGTCAAAGCATAATAAACCATAAAAACCAAATGTTTACACGCTTTACTCCAATTTAAACAAGCTGTTAAGCACAACCTACCAATCTCCGCAGACAGAGTGCACTCTACTGCAAGGATCCAAACACACTAAAATATATACTACTGACTACATCAATATGTACATACAGAACCACTCATGCCACTCATGCCACTCACGCCACAAACGTTCAATGTACAGTACAGACCACAAAATAACGACTTTTAGTTGTTGGCTAAAAACGCTTAAAACAAATTTAAATCAACAACCTTCAACCTATTAACTTTTTTATTTAGATCAACCCCGATTCAAACCAATCTGCACGATGTAACCACCAGGATGCAGATCCTAATGCAAATATACACAACACACAACATACACACATACACACATACAACATACAAATTTAAAGTTAACTAATGTGCCACTTACATTGCGCAGACAAACTTCACGCAAAAGTGTCCACTGCACGTTCCACTTGATGTCGAATGCTTGAATTTGTTGTAAAAGTACCAAAGGATCGACTAATTTCATGGCCGACAAAAGCTTAAAGACTTCAACTTGCAGAAGCATTAGAGCATCCTGTTCTAATTCATATGCTGTAGGCGTGGCAAAAGTTCCATGCATCAGTAATAAATTGTAGTATTTGTCGAGAAATTCAGATTCAGCCAAAACGTTACGAAAAATCGCTTGGAACCCATCTTTATGCAACGAACAACAACAAATATCATGCAGTGCTCTTACAAAACGCACCACAAGACCACAATATTGTGCATCATAACAGCAACGTGTGGGGACTGCTGTTGTTGTTGTTGTTGTTGTGCTTGTTGTCCCTTCAATAATATAACTAAGACAGTTTTCGAGTTTTTCATATAAAACTTTTGCAAAGTAGTTAATTTCACTGACGGTGTGGTTGACTTTATGGGCGGCGGCTGCCGCTGTTGCTACTGCTGCTACTGCTGCTGTTGATGATGACGATGGAGATAAAGATGATACTGCTGTTGATGCTGATGATATTGATGGTAATGGTAATGGGAATGGTGATAGTAACGTAGACGGTTGATTCTGTGCTGCAGCAAATGCTGCTGCCGAAGACGTCGATGGTCCATCGTGCATCCAATTTTGGGTGCCTTGATTTTGTTGCTGTTGTTGTTGTTGCTGCTTTTTAAATTCGTCTCTCTGTACTTCCGGGTTATTTTTTAAATAAAGTTTTATATGATTTACTAAATAAATTTCCTCGATTTTAAGTATTACGTTTTCAAGGATTATCGTTGTAAGCGATAAATCACTAAAGTTAGTCATATCCTTTTTTTGTTTTATTTATTTGTTTTTTTTTTTCAAAACATTTTGCGAATAGAAAAATTGTAATTGTTGTTGTTTGTTGAAATTAAAGTTGTCCATTTTTCAGGTACATGCAAAGAAAAAATATATAAAATATCAATTAGATTGTAAAGAAACAGCTGTAGAGTTTAAAACATATTTTAATAATATTTTTTATGCTTACACAATTTAAACAAGATCATAATATAAGAGTATATCGTTTCAAAGAAAGACTTTTTTATTTTTGCTTCTTAATTATAAATATTTGAATAGATATCGGTTGGACCAAACTTAAGAGTAAAAAATTTTGCAGTTCTAATTACAAAGGAAAAAAATTGGACATTTAATATAAAAATATATAGTATGATGTATAAGCTTAAACAAACCATACAGAGTTACATGTAATACATATGTATTGAAAAATACTAATTCGAATCTCTCTTTCATAAGATTAGGAAATATCTCAACTATAAATATTCCTTCTTCAGAACATTCAAAGTAATTTCTAGAAGGTTATAATCAACATAGCTTATCTTGTTTAATAGTAATAACAGTTCATTTATATTAAAATTATTTATAATATAAAGTACAATACATAGAAGTATCTACCTCTATAAATAATTAAAAAAATTTATTGCAGATATTGTGAATAAAATAAAATTAATACTTAATAACATTTACATATTTTACAGAAGAATACCTATTCAAAAATTTTTTTTAAAAGGTTTCAAGCCTTTGAAACATTTCTAACTAACATTCTTATTCTTAATTCTTCTTAAAAAAATTCAATACAATTTGTAAAGGGTAATATTTAAAACAGCTTATCTTGTTTAACAATAATAGTGCAATCATATTAATACTATTTCTATAATATATATATTAAAAAATGTATTCTTATTAAAACTGTTATCGTGAAATCGCCCAACAGCCGGTACTGCGGCCAGAAGAGTTCTATTGTACGAATTTCACTACTGATTACACAAAACCCTTTAAAGCTTTGCGATCAAAGTCCAAAGCTAAATCTTGCGAGGATCTCTTATTCTGTTCTGTTGACAGAAATTCCACATGAAATAAGTTTTTTCTGTGAATTGTTAAAACTGAACTATCACAAAGAATATATGTACATAGTAATTTCCTCATCTTCGAGGCATAATCTGCATTCCGAATTAGTAGATAATCTAAGTTTATGAAGATAATATTTCAGACCATAATTACTCGTAATAAAATCCGTTATCAAGCTTAAATCACCTTTTGAGAATTTAAGAATGTTTTTGTAAGAGTAGGGTTTGATCGGTGCTTTGCTTTGTCTAACTCCTGGGAAGTCTTCCCAGTACACCAGTCTCATAGGTGTGATTCCCCCTCTCCTTGATTATTTGTTTTGTACTGATCAAGTTTAACCCAGAAAAAGGTTGACGGCATCTAAAAGTAGTTTTTGACGCTTAATTATTTATTTATTACTCCTTAAATTATATCTCTTTGCAAATAATTTAAATTGAAATCATTAAATAAAAAATCCATTTCAAATATTAAATATGAATAAATATATAAATTAAAAATTATTTTTAATTTATTATATTAAATATAAAATTACTTCCGTTAGGAATTATTTATTGTTATCAATATAAGAAAAAAAATCATTACTTTATAACGCTTGTTATTAGAATTAATATATTATTTGTATAATAATAAATGAATTAGTGTTTTTATATTTTCTTATATATAAAAAAACAAAATATTTATGAATAAGGTAAAAAAATAACATAATAAATGTAAATAACAAGTAAAAAATTAGTTAATTATAATAATGTGATAATAAAAAATTTATACCACCAACAACGACAGAGAATTAAAATGAAAGGAAAAAAACCTTAAATCCTGCACAATGTAAATAAATTGGAGTGCAGCAGCTGCTGAGATTTTCCTTATTTCAGGGAAAAAATAAACACGGTATGAGGATTAAATAAAATTAAGTAAATAAACGAAGTTTTATTGAAAAATGCAATGTGCACAATTGAGTGGAATGGGTTCAAAGCAGAGCATTAAAGGGGATTTAATTAAATTAATGTTGCGTTTACGACGTTGCAAATAAATGACTGGTTTACTGACCATTTTGACGTGTAAGTTCAGCATTAAAATTAAATAAAATGAGTATTAAAATTGAAAGAACAATAAATAAAAATTAGTCAGTAAAAAATGTAGTATGTGTCATTTGCATTAATTAATGTTTCTTTGTTTTCAGAAAAACTATTTAAATTTAATTATTTAATTGCTCTAGTACATGATAATTTCAATCTTAAAAATCTTTAAGTAATTTACAGCTTAGTTGCATAAATTTTTTTTTAAATATAACTAGTTAAATCATTACTCAACCTCCGAAAACATGTGTGTGAAAAATGCATAATTCAAACTTCTAAACAAAAAATCCCCATACCATAAATTTTTATGAAAAAAAGTTAAAAGAGGTTAAGAAAATCATAACTTTAGTAAATGAAAATTGTTGTGAAAAAGACTATATAAAAACATTAGAAAAAAAAACAGCTTTGTGGCCTCTATGATAACTGTACAATCTACTAAATTGATGTCACAAATCTACCTAAGAGAGTAAATTATATGTTTAGCTTTATTATTGTAAAAATAAAAAAAAACACTATCGAGACAGACTTAAGTGGAGGTTACTCATTTTTGGTTGCCATTTATAACCTTGCAAAACTTGACTATTTGCTACTCATATTCTATATTTTGGTTTCTATATCTCTTTCTCCTTGCAAATTATCTCCTCGTGGAACATCACAGTTTTTTTAAATTTTATTCCTTGGAAGTTGTGCTATATACACATTCTCATGTACACGCGATGGCAAGTTTAGCGTGGATTATTCTTCTCCATCTTAGCGACTGCACAGCAGGCTCCATTTAACAACATATCGAACAAGTAACCCTGCTTAGTTTACATTGAGCATATCTGATCTACTAAAACTCACATTTTCTGACTTCATATTCTGCATACTTCTAAACTGTGCAACTTTGAAAACCCTACGAAGAGATCTGTCATGCTGCACTACAGTGGAACCCTCAAAGCAGTCGAAGACCCGGCAGACTTCATACCATAAATCATTTAACGAATTAAGATATTTAGCATTAAACAGAAATACCAGAACAGAAATAGTCTAGAAATCTAAACTTTGAACATCTCCAAAGTTATATTTTAGATATATGCTATGGTCAATAAATGTAAAGAACGCGCTTGATATGCTTATTGATAAAAACTTGTATTTACTATTGAAATCTTGCCATATATCTTTTGAGAGTTAATGTTGTTATTAAACAAACGAGATTTACTTTTAAAGCGGATATTATTGAATTTTCAAATATTATAAAACACCAAAACGCGTCTATTGCTTCGTTTATATGCAGATCACTCAGTCTAAATAGGCAAAGTATTGTACGGCCTGAATCTTCATCTCGTCTTCATCTTACATTTTGATACAGATATTTCTCGAAATATTATATCCGTTAGATATATTAACAGATTTTGTGGTATTTATTTCCAAACCAGTTAGCGTACATATCTTTTAATGCATATCTACATTATATAGAAGAGCACTGGAAATTTGGCTCATTAGACGCATGTCGTCTATGTACTCAGGGATTTTCTGGTGACAAAAAGGTGAACACTGAATGATAATAATTTTCTAAGAACATCGTGCGTGGTAAAATTCATATATATGTTATACAGTCTTATTTAAACGAAAAATAATAACATAATCATAACCAAAGTCGCATGACTAAGTTTTAGCACATCAGATAAACTTACTTTTTATTGACTTTTGATTTAATATAGAAGAATTATAAAAATTAAATGCAATTCTTTTATCAATAATACTTTGTTTTTATATATTTGACTAGCGCTACTTTTTTTTAACAAACATTTAAAAAATAATACTGTGAGGCTGATAATTAAACCTAAAGCCACACAATATAATTTAGAGTAGATATATTTAATCTATGGAAATCTATGAAATCTGACAGACCTATCAACACCGCTTTATCAAATCTCAGAATGGTTACAGGCTCCTCGGGGAGGTATGCAGATCTGAGCTCAATTATTGCTTAGTCTGATGAAGTTATAAACAATAACCTAGTCAAGGTGTAGAGAGGGGTTTTGAAGAAACCTCGAGTTAAAACACAGTGATCCGGAGAGTACATTTTGTACATTTTGTGAGATTCCGAAGACTTTATGCTATTAATAAAGTAAGGTATATATTATGTTCGTGTATGCGACATAATATTGTATTACCGATTACTAAAAACACAGTGAATTGTATTACCGATTACCAAAAACACAGTGATTGTGTGGGGTAATGTTCCATCAATAGATAAATGAGATGATAGGGTTAAGTATATATACAGTATGACTAGTGTCCGGAGAGTACTTTTTGTACTTTTGTACATTTTGTGAGATTCCAAAGACTTTATGCTATTAATAAAGTAAGGTATATATTATGTTCGTGTATGCGACATAATATTGTATTACCGATTACCAAAAACACAGTGATGTGCTTAAGTGCACTAGCTCAAAACAGCTTCAACATAATAATAAAAATAAAAATATGAAATAAAAATCTCCTTTGTCTTTCTTTCTGTTCTTTGTTTTCTTTAGAATGATATTTAAGTTTAAATTTCATTTTTTTTTATTAAAAAATATTTAGCCAATAAAGCAATTAAATATAAATGAAATATTTTAATTTCATTTGTTGAAAATTAATATCTTAAAATGAAAAATATCAATTGTAAACTTTGTGTTACTTTAAATGTTTGCAATTATTTATATAACAATATAACGCCTTTATATTGTACTTCTTTACAAGTTCGAAATTTTTAATATAAATTTACGAGATACTCTTTACCAACAAATTGTCTTTGTAATAATTTTAAAACAATACATTCATATATCATTTATTTAATTTCTTTATATAATGTCTTTAAATATCTTATCGAATTCAATTAAAATTATAATTGGTATTCCTTTAAATTTTCTCATGTGGGTATGTCATGTATGCAGATGCATATAGTCTTTAAACTGAAGTCTATAAAATTTGTGCATAGTTCTTGTTATTTGCTTATGTTTTGCTCTTGATTTGAATGTATTGTTTTCTGGTCTAAGCTGCCAATAAGCCGATTTGTAAAAAATTTAAATTCAAATTCAGATTCAGATTCAAATTTTAACAAACTCATTTGGGGGCACAAAACAAAGACAGTAGAGACGGCCGGCACGGCACAAAGCAGTAAGAAACTGGCAATAATACCAATGAGATCAATTTTAAATTGTTACCATTCTTCTGGGTGTTGGCATGCATACAACTACGTTGGGGAATTCAACTGTTGAATTGTTTTTAATATATTTCAAGTTGTTGTTCTGGCAATTCTGACAACAATGACAACAACAATTGTTGTTATGGTTGATGTGTTTGTAAGAAACAATTTCATTTTTATGTAGATAAGTGCATTTGTGAAATTTCAAAATCATTTAATATTTACGAATTTTTCAAGAATATTTGTCTTTGCGTCTCGTCTGTCTCTCTGTTGGATTACTTGTTGTTCTTTGCTTGCTTGCTTGTTTGTGTTTGTGGATTTTTTGTACATGTAAATATTTAATAAATTTATGCATTCAATTAGAGCAAAAGCATAAATGAAAATTTTGCATAAAAACTCATTGAATACTTTAAGCTTAATGAAAAATAAAATAAAAAATTTTTCAATTCTAAACGAACATTTCATATTATACAACAATACTGGATACTAGATGAAAAAATTGTCGTACAACGTTGCGTATGAGTAACATTAATTAAATGGAATACGTATTGTAGGTTTTGTATTTGTTCAATAAAACTTTTATACAATAAGGATTTTGAAAAATAAAACATTTTGAATGTCAATAAATTAATCACTTTGTTACTTATTAGCATTGTGTGTTACTTCCACATAACAAAACAACCCAAGTATATAAGCTAGTCGCAATAAACTAACCATAATCATCACCTCTTTCTCACACTTTTAGCCTTCCACTTAGGGCTGTCATTCTAAGTTAGTCAAAGCAACAGTGTATATACACGGCGCTGATTTTTTCTTGGATTTTTGTTAGTAGAACAGCAATTGTAACAACAATTGTAATAACAATAATGGCAAGTGATGTTTATATAAAAAATGGCATTGCATTCGCAGTTGTTGCAGCAATAAAAATAAACGACCTGTTGATGTTTGCAACCATTTCCAAAAAGAAATAACCTTAAGCGTAACAAACGAAACGGAAATGTGCAGAAATGTGCTTCGGCCAAATAATAAACAAAAGAAATATATTTGTTGTTTGGAAAAGCGGCTTAAAGGCTATAACCGAACTGAATGCACGGTTGTTGCACAAAAGAAAAACAACCGGTAACGGAAACGGAAAAGGTGGCAAGTGCTTATATAAAAATTAAATAAGTTAAGAGAAAATATTTTTTTAAGTAATAAAAACAAGGAGAAACCATAAGCTTTTAAAAAATGACATAAATATTTAAATACTTTGTAAAAAATAATAGTTTAAAATTAAAGATTGCTTGATAACTTTTTAAGTCTCACATAATGATGAAAAATGTTGTATACTAATTATTTGTTATAATTTATGCATCAAGGCAATTATATGTTAAAATACTACTTTCTAATTGATTGCTTTTTATAACTTAATTAAACAGTTTATTTATTTTATAAAAGGAATATTAAGTTGTGGATGAATAAATTATATCACATCGCAATAAGCATTTTGGATCCTAATTTTTTTAAAGTGTAAAACATGACTTCTACATTTCGTTATTTCATACATTATATATACGGTCATACACAAAATAATAAATATAACACAAAATTTCAAGCTGGAAGTTTAAAAAGGTCAAGATACTCATATGGACGAGCGCCTGCTGACATACGTTCCGCGATACATCCCCTGGGTGCATAACTCAACCTCCGACGTCTCAATCTCTAACACCTTTTCTTAGGAGAAGATTGGGTTAGGACCTATCACATGCGCGTCATATTCCCCAACACCACATGTTACACTTCGATGAGTGGTATTCAGATGCCTCCATCGTCATCCGCATACTTGCATAATAAACCCACCCCATTATAACTTTGCCACGCGCATGTTTTCTGGCTTAGATATATCTAGAGTTCTAGGTACTAAGCCTATTGATCGCAGCTATCTCCCCTAATTACCGAAATAATATACCCGCACTGCCCGTCGGAAGAGCGGTGCGCATATTCATCCACGTATTCATTAGAGGTGTTTTTAGTAGGTTTCAATTTCACACTGTGACTACTATTGATTTTCATCTACTGCAGAATAAGAAAAAAAACTGTAGGCAGAAAACATTTAAATGCCTTCTTATACTTATACAATTATTAAAATAATTGCTAAATAAATATACCTGAATAAGCGTATATCTCTCAATACTTTATTTGAAAACAACTTATAACAATATAATACAATAATCTCATATTATCAATTTAAAATGAAATAAATATTAACTTTGATTTTACTTTTTGAAAATAAAAATCTTACCTTCGAGAAAAATATTTGCAGTAGCGCTAAAAATGTTTTACTATCGGCAAGCACACTTTTGTCGTTATTTCGAAAGAAAGCGTTCCATAAAAAGTAGTTATGCCAACTTTGCACTGGTATACGACCTTCGCACATTGCACGGCATACAATAGCGTATAATGCGTCTGGATCTTGCAATAAGGTACTGTACATAGTATGTCCTTTCATAGCACCTTCACTACTTTTGTTGCCAATATCGAAACCGCAACCCAATTTCTCTACATTTTCCTGTTGTACTATTTCCAATTGTTGTGCACAACGCTCACGCAATAATAACAAAGCGAGTGTTTGCTGACATTCGACTGCATCGATAAATTTCTCCAACATACCCAAAACGACCTCCTTCTGTGTGTCCAATTCTCGATTGTGTGCAAGTATCATCTCCGCAACTGCAGCTGCTGCTTCAGCTTCCTCAGTTCCACTACGACGTGGTTGAGTAGGTGTGGAGATGGGTGAACGTGAAATCGGACTCTGAAAAGGAGCGCGCAAGTCAGCAGTGGAAACGGTATTTACTGATGCTGCGGCAATGTTCGGCGATATAAAAAATATTTCATAGGTTAATGCCTTCAGGGCCAGTACTGCACTTTCACGTATAGCATTGTTGGCCAATAAATTATTGGTAATGCTGATGATTTTCGGTATTGTAATTAACTTGCGATCGCTTTTATGTGTTAATTGAATAAGAAATTTTATCATTGGCGGTATGATGATGTGTGTATTTCTGAAAAATTAAAGCACAAGTCAAATAAAATATGAGAAGTAAATTAAATGGAAAGTGGAATATAAATATGCATTAAGAGAATAAAAAAAAATTAAAACTTTATAATAAATTTAATTTAAACTTTCATTCAAACATTTAAATGCTTTAAATTATTTTAAATACATGATATATACATACAAAAGTGAAGCACAACTTACCTAGCTATTCCACTTTCAATCAATTCTAGATTACTTAGAATTTGTTCAAAAATAACATTCTTTGAATCCAATATGCTATAAGTGACATTAAAGTGCAACAATTGCACTAGTAAATCCAATACAGGAGCTTGTACAACAGAATTGGATTTCATGAAGAGCTGCAAATCATCAAAAAAATCATCAAAATATTTTAGAAAATAAGTTGCAATTTTCCAATACTTATGATATTAATAACTCTTTTGAGAACAATAGTGTGTAGACCAAAGTCTACTAATACAAATTTTCTTTATCTAAAGCTACTTACTGTTAAACTGTATATAACCAATGGCTCAAAGAGTTTAATATGCCTTGAGCATTCAGTCTCATGGTCCGATTTTGAATGTTGCATATTTAAACTGGTCACAAACAATTCCCCAAACAAACGATAGTCCTGTACATCTGTTACTGATGAACTTTCTTTACAATCTGCATGCGTTGCAATTAGTTTTCCCTTATTGTGTGCAAAAGTTGACGAAGTCATTGTCGTTGGGGTCATCATTGCACTTGAATTTATTGTTTGCGTCGAGTACATTATATTCTCGTCTTTTACTATAGTTGAGCATTGTCGTTGTCCTTTGGCCTTTGCAACGAAATATGGTTGCATAAATGCACCATAATAATCCTGCTGGCGGTTGCCATAATTTTGTGCAAATAAATATTTCAACAGTTGCCTTAGACATGCAATGCACTCACAGGGGGCATAATTTATGAGTTTGGTCAAATACTGAAGAATTTCTTCAATTAATTTTAGGACAGTGTTTGATGGAAAAATGCCGACCGAAGAACTGCCCTGCTGTGGACTATGTGCACGCAGTTCAATACAAAAACTCAGTGTGTTTAGGCACGTTTTTAGTAAAGAAATTAATAAGCTGCCAGATTCCTGATTTATTGTTATCTGCAAGAACGATCGGTACAAGTACATGAAATGAAAATTAAAAGCCATTTCGAAAATTAATTATAATACAGAATGTAAGTTATATATATGCTATAAACAAAACATATTACAATGGAGTTAAAACTTTAATAATTGATGTAAGCTTAAGTACAGCTTAAGTATTCAATGTAAAAATAGCACATTTTAAAACTATATCAAGATTTTCTTTTTCTTTTAATTGAAGAATTGCTTTAGTTACAAATTATAGATTTGAATAAGAGTAATAAAGTTGTAGTATTGAAGAACTAAAGCTATATTACTGGGCTTAATATACAGTGTTTTTTTTATATTTTCCTTAAATTCTTATCGGTTAAATCAAGAATCCTGAATTCCAAGAAACAAGGGCAACGCATTCGTGTGGAAGGAAAAAAGGTCCAATTTGTATACTTATAGATACAAAGGGTATCAAAAACAAGTAAAGAAAAATTAATATATGATCAGGATTTATATACCTACAATGGTGTTATCGAACAGCGCTTGAGGAAGAGAGAACCTTCATGGATATGTGCATTTCATCTTCAAAGAGTAGATGAGTGCCCTATTTATTTTTCTGTAACTTACAAGTCTACTACAGTTGATTATTGTTTGTAATGTCTACTCATTTCACAGATTGCACCCAGAAATAAAGACAAAGTACTTTCATGAAAACCATGGAGTCTAATTTTCGTACATAATGAGATGCAGGGTATCAAAGAAAAGTATACCAGAAATTAACATGCAATCTAAGAGCCTACAATGTCTGAAAAACGTTACAAACAAGAAGCTTAGGTTGTATATTGATTTTTAATCAATTAAATATTTTTTGATTTAATTCTTAATTTGTTATTTTACCTAAATGAGCTTAAAATAAAATTTTTAGTCACATTTGCGGAAAAAATCATTTTTAGCGAAACAGTTTTTTTTTATCATGCAAAAAAAACTTCGAATCGTCGGCATTACTAAATAAAAAAGTTAAAAATTACACTAAAGCCCTTTACAAATATACAAATATTAAAATTTATTTCTATTTTTCCTTTTTCATTTTCAATTGCGATTATTTAACAGTCTTTTAAATAATAATTTCTTACAAATAATATATATATATTTTAATATACATGAGTAAAAGTAAAAATACTTAAGTTTGAATTTTGAGATTTAAAAAAAAATTGAAGTTTGAAAGAAGAATTGCCAAAAATATCCATTCCACGTACAAAATTTGTAGATTAAAGTACGAGAAAAGCAGTATTCGACAACTTTTACAATTTCATTTCGTGCCATCACGCGTCTCCAATGAGCTACACTAAGCTAGCATTAACACTAACGTCATTACACATATTGCAAGAGGTAACTCCTGCAATAGAAGACAGACTCTTACCACCGTTGCTGCTGGATTGTGTATGCAACACGAGTTGCAGGCAACAACGCTAATATACACATTCACGTTCAAGCAATCTCATTCGCAATAGAACTTGCACTAATTCACTCATTTCATCAGTTCATCATGCAGTCATGCAGTCATGCACTCACCTTGTAGCTGTCATTAGCACATCTTAAAGTGTTGTAAAGTTTAATGTAAACGTAATCGTTGCCAAAGTATCCAACACTCTGTACAATGGCCAATTCTTTGGCATTTATGAAAATATCATTTTTCTGTACTTTAGCAAACAGCAAAGGCTTCTGATTAGTGAAGAGATGATAATATATGTTAATTATTTTAAGGACATGCGTAAGCAGTAGTTCCAATTGTTGTTGGTGTTGTTGTCGATTAGGTGTTTCGGATAGCATAGCACCTTAAAGAAAAAAAATATATTTTTATTATCAAATGAAGTTAAAAAAATATACTTAAAAATATATATATAGTTTTAAAATTTACATATTTATGTTTTGGATGCTATTAGTTACTCAAAACAATACACAAATTTTAAATAAGCTATAACTATTTTTTCAAATTTTTGTCGGAATTACATTCGTTTATGTTAGAGAAATAGTGTTAGCATTTAAAATATATATATAATACAGATTTGATAGCAAATGAATACAATTGATGGTTGAGATGGGAGATACCAGTGGCAGCATGTCTTACAGGAGACACAGGCTCCTTAGGTGTTTTATATGACTCCATTGTGATACCACAGTTTTCGTAAAAACATCGCTATTTTAAAAAGGAACTCTGCTGCATTGTTGGTAAATTGCTCATGCCTATAATTCCTATGTTGGTAATATATAACAGATAGTAGAGAGCCGTTTGTGTAAGTATATGTTTTGAAAGAGTGGATGAGTGAAATTTTTTCTTTTTCCGCTAACTTACAACTGCGACAATAATCGTTGAAAAGAATAACTAATGACTTTTCATCATACCACACCAACATCCGTAGTTTGCAAACTTTTTGCTTTCTGTTTTTGGTGCATAAGTTTTGCGTATGCATTGTTGCTCAACTCAAAATACAAGACGAAGAATATAATTTCCAATAGTAACAACGATAATAACAGAAGCAGAAAGCATTATAGTTAATGAATTAAAGCGCCATTAGGCAGTAAAATTTTTATAGAAAATTTATGTAGTAACATAGTAAAAACTTCTAATATAATGATATAAAGGTATTATAGTTTTTTCTTGCTATTAGAATAAATATTAATACTTCTTCTAATAGAAGTTATGAAAAAACTCAATATACTTCTCCAATAAAGCTTAGATACATGTATAAGTAAAACATAAATGCCGTCGTAGCAATACATATGCTTTATGCTATATAAATATAAAGCTTTGAAATAATGATATTAATACTGAGCTTAAAATATTATTTCATAAGTTAAATTGTGTTTCACAACTAAAAATGTTGATTTATGTAAAAAAAAAATAAGGACTACTTCTGGCATTAATCACAAATTTTTTTTAATTCATTATTGTTGTACTTTGACATAACTTCCGAATAATATATAATAATATATCAGATTTAAACTGTATAAAATTACCGAGTATAAAATTAATATTGAAATGATGATTATATTGCACAATTTTCATTCGGTTATTCAGTATTTCTACATATAAATTTATGACAATTAAATGAATTGTGAACTCATTAAAGGAAAATTGCACACATTTGAAAAGGTACTCAGGTACTCATTTAAAATGCAGGAAACTTTATAATTTATATAACCATAAAGGTATATTATACTATTTAAAGAAATATTAAATTTAAATCAATACGCGTTATATTTTTTATAAACACTTTTAATTTTTTTGGTTTGCCTCACTAAAACCTTTCTATAAGCAGAAAATTTGGATTGAATTTAAATTTATAACTATTTGCATTAAATTTAATTTAATTTAATTAATTAGATAATAAAACTATAAATATATTAATTTGATTTTTTTGGTAAATTTATTATCAGTAGGTGTATGCAGAAAAGAAAAACAAAACAATGAAGACTTATTTAAACAATAAGTTGATTCTAAGATCTCTAATAAAGACAGGTATGTTCATAGCAAATTGAAGTTTAATTGCCAGTGTTCACATTTTTGAAATAGACTTTCATATATAAACATTTATCATATAAATTTATATATAAATGTATATATATATATATATTGAATATTTATTTTGGAACTGGTTTTTATAATTACTCAATAAAATAATTGTTTTACGAAAAACTACATAAAATTGTTTAAAAATTTAAATTTTCTATACAACTCTGCATTAAATTCGAAATTACATTTAGTTTTTGTTTACTTTTTAATGGTTTATTAATAATTTAATTACTCTCTGATAAGCATTTAATTAGCGTAATAACAGATGGATACGCACCAAACAAATGGATGAATAGACAGGAAAATAAAATCCGAGCTCATATTAAAAAGGGGCTAACGTATACTTACTTGTATAAAATGCAATCAAATAAATGAAATTGATGAAGTTTGGTATTAACTTCAGTATTTTAAATTGAATTAAAATGTTTATGTGCAAATGCAACTGTACTTTGCGGTTATTTGTGTAAATGTGGCTTTATACCAAGTTCGTATCTAAATCCGTATCTGCAGTTGCTATAACCATATCTGATACCATAGTACCATTCAAATAATTATAAGTATCAGTTTCAAATTTTTCTATTTGAGTTCAATAAATAAGTAGACAAATTTTTTTGTTTATCCAATTTACAAAATTTAAATTGAAATTAGTTTTATTGAGAGTAAAATATGATGACTAAATTAAACTAACAATGTATATATTTTGTTATTTAATCGTGGTCAACCATATTAGAAAAAAATAAAACAAAGCAAAATATTTTGATAACGAAAAATAATTGCATTCATTGGCGGTCCTATTAAATTTTATTAGAAATTAAATGGTATTTAATATACCTACATAGTTTTCATTTAATTATTTAATAAAATGAAAATTAATAAAACGAATTGTACACTTAATTTGTTGAATTCAATAATTTATAAATTAAATTAAAAGAAATGCATTAAACTAACTATTAAATTGTATTTAAATAAAATAATAATCTTAAATGTGCATTTAGTGTACATTTGTAAAAAGTTGTTAATTGTTATCTCTTAGATAGATATAGAATACGGTTATTAAAAATAAAATTCAACAAAATATCCTTAAATAATTTTAAATGTATAAATATATAAAATAGATATATAAAATAAAAAATGGTCTAATGAAAACTCTATTAGGAGGACACGGATGAGACTAGGAATTCTGTCAGATTGACACAAGTGTCAATTTAAAAGAACATACTTTTTATAATAAGGTTCGTTTCGAACCACAAGAGATCTGTATACTCTGACGACTGATCTGACGACTGAATACAATACTGCACATGGATTCGGTGCTCCTGAGCATTTTCAAATGCTAATATAATAGTAGTACGTGATTTGTTGGATGATGAATGATTTGATGATGATGATTTTGATAGCTACTTGATGATGTGCACGCTGTTCGTTGATGTGGGAGCTGTTAATATTTATATTTCATGGTGATATTTAAGATGATCAATAATATTCGAACTGTTGCATGAAACAAGTTGCTCGTTGATGTTTGAACTGCTCGATAATATTCAAGTTGCTTCCAAAACTCAAGCTATTTGATTTTATTTTAGCTGATCGACGATAATCGGGCTCTTAAAGATGTACAAACTACTCGATGCTACTTTATCTTGTTTTAGATTCTAGTTCGAGCTGCTCGCTGATATTTGAACTCCTTAATGAAGTTCGAGTTGATGGTGGAAATTCGAGTTGTTTTCTAATTTTTGAGTTGAACACTGATATTCGAGCTGTTTGATAATGTTTAAGCTACTTGATAATATTCGAGTTGCTTAATGATGTTTGTGCTTTTATTTCATTCTTATTTTCATCCTTCTACTCTACTCTATGTTTGAAGAAAATATACTGTTTGAACATTTTCAAAGGGCTGCCTTGAATGAAAAGTTTGAACGCAAATAGAACCGAACACCCAAATGCTCAATTTATATTTAAAGTTCTAATGAAAAACCAAAGAGCTATCGCTGCATTTTTTAATGAATTTTGAATTCAAAATTTAAATTTAATTCATGCAAATAAACAATACACAGAGTTTTTTAATTACTAATTACATATGTAAGATTGTTTATTTAATATATATATGTATACCATATAGCACACATAATACTGATGTATAAATTAAATGTGCAAACAAAACAATTAAATTACTTATTTATATGCTTTGCGATAACAATTCTCATAATTGAATTTCACACCGCAAAATACTTAATCTGTTGCTCTAAAAGTGCATAAATTTGTGCAAGCAATTAACAAAGAAACAAAACAATTGTTAATTTCATAAATTAAACAACAATATAAATTTGAAACCGCTTCATGTCATTGGTGATGTCACTTAGCATCAAAATACTCATTTGTTAGTAATTTATACAATTATACAATGCAAGTAAATTTCTCAAATTTTAATCTGTAAATCCCAGGCACTTACCTGCCATTAATTTTCCCATAACATCAATCAAATCATTCTGACAATTTAAGTCCATTGATGTAACGCAGTTGTAATAAGAGAATTTAATGCAGATTTCCATGAAATTGAATTCAGTCCACGCACGTTGGTAATCAACGAAACTGAAGTGATGCAGCAGCAACTTCAGTGTATAAATTATGCCAAACTGCAATGTGTATCCAAACCATCAAAAAAGGCAAAAAAACAAAAAAATTAATTAAAATAATTAACAAATTGGTTAAGTAATTATGTAATTAATAACATTTACAAAAAATGCATTTTCATTGAATTTTCTATAATAGAAGCAAATCACATGTATTTTAATTACAATAAAACAAACTCAATTCCGCATATAAAATTGAGTTCTATACTCGTATAGAACTATATGAACAGATGTGGTGCTATTAATGCTATGAGAAATTTGCTGCTAGCTGCATTAAAGGCTAGCAGCATTACGATAGGCATAAAGTCAAGTTGTATATGTATACACTAACAAAAAATATAACCAAAAATATATACATGTATACTTGATTGTTGATACTTGCATACAGAAAAAATATTTGTTTTAAAAAGATTGCAGCATTTGCATACAAAAGTAAAAGCAAACACGCTCGCTATATGCTATTCGCTACAAGCACCAAACCCAACAGATATAAAAACATTTTATTTACCTGTAAATTTTTATCATGCAACTCCATCAATTTATTTGTCAAACGATACAAAACTTTGGATAAAAGTTTTTCTTCCAAGGCCGTTTGACGGCACATTGCATACACAGCAAAAGAATGGTCAGCGGTACGAGTTCCCGTTGCGAGTGCACCACCATTTACGATGCCAGACAACGAATTCGATGTTGCCATCGATAATGTTGCTGATGGCATTGCTGTTGCCGTTGTTGATTGTAACTCCAACAACGGTGGTGCTATCGATGAGTTCACTCTACATAAATTACGAAAAGGTATCGACATGTTACAAAACAAATGATAATCCAAAAAGTCCCAGAGCAAATGCAAATTAGTGTTGTAAGTTTCATTGGTAAGTAAATTTTCCTTTTCACCACTAATATTGCTACTGCTAGATTTTTGCGTCATCATTTTATGATGCTGTTTCGCATTTCGTATGATAAACCGACATAAACATTCCGCTGCATGCTCTCTGACCCGAAAATCATCATCACCAATTAGCTGCAGAAGTTCATCGAGAAATATGTTCTATAAAAGGGAATTTTTAAAAAATTTTTAGTAACATTTTTGTTAAAGATATAAGTATATGTATATATTTCGCAAAATATGTAGTTCTAACAGCCTTATTTTGAACTAAATATAAACTAAGATATTTAAATTTAAACACAAATAAAAATTCTGCTGATTAATGAAATAAGATTAAATGATTGTTCATTCCCAACATAGAGGAGAATAACAAAATTACTATCATTTGTATTGTTAAGCTAACACCTAATCTATACGCATAAGTGACAACTACACTTAATTATTATTTTAACTCTATGATGTTTGTGTGTTGTGAACATTTCAAATGCTCACATACAAAAATAGGGATAGGCCTTTGTTGATAAGTCTCTTTAACATAGTTGATCTCTAAAAGTTACCAATGATTACGTTTACGATTAAGGGTTTTACGAAGAATACGAATTCAAACAAAAAAAATATTAAATTTGTAATATAATTTATATGATATCTTTTAATCAACATATATTACAATGTGTACAAATGGTTAGTGAAAGCTCTTTTAAAGATAGTTATCTTTAGACTTATTCTAATTGATAATACATCTAAAATTACTGTAACATATAAAGTTTAACCGTATAGGTGGTTATATATTTGACAAATACAATCTGTGACTATCTATTTCAACTTTTTGTATTTTTTTATACGATTGTATTGTATCAGATAGTTATTAGTTATATGGAGAATATATATTTGTTATATATATTAGAATATATATATTTTAATAGACATATATTTCAATTAGACATTTTAATCTTGCATACATTTTTAGTATTTGACCATCACTTTGATGACGACTTATGTCGTGAATATATCGGCAATTATTGTAACGAAAAAAACCATTTCTCCCATCTACTAGTGACAAAGGTTTCTATATTCTCACAATTATCTCTTTTACCACACCTTAGAAAAAATTTGATTGTCAGTAGTCTTTCGCCCAATATTTTATTGTCTACTTAGCACGGTTATCTGTTTAATGGATCCACTGTGCACATAAATTTATGCGTTTTTTTTCAATCCCTTTAATAATTTCTATTCCCATTCATATACTATATATTCTACTTTCGTTTCATCACATCGTTCCTTACAATCTTCATCATTTTTACTGTACTTCTTATGCATTTTTTTGTAGCAAGATTTGAACAGATTTTTCAATATATCAATTCGTACATAATAGTTGAAATTATTTGCCAAAATATTCATTTTTCAATTCAATTATGAATTTAATCCTTCAGTAAAGAAAATAAATATATGTACATATATACATATGTATTTATTAAATTCATACTATAACATTTTTAAATACGATGTAGTTACTATACAACACTATTGATAAAATATTATCGTAAAAAAAACATTAACAGATTTTTAAATGTTTAACCGAAATTCCTATGCAAATAAATGCAAAAATAACTGCAGAAATGTTCAGAGTAAAGCCGCCAACTATATTGTGAAAATGGGAAAACCTAAAAATTGATCCTACATTTTCGAAGAATAACGTATTGGATTTGGTTATGATTATAATGTGCCATAAGAGAAAACTAAAAACAACGAAATCGAGCCATAACTGAAAATTGCATTGAGTTGCGTAGAACTGAGCTGGTTGACTGAAGCTAAGGACGGAGTGAAAGACGTGTTAAAGAAATCTAATGCAGGCATTCGGGTTAAAGCTATAATAAAATGGTTGATGCATCACATGCATATGTATATAAATACATACACATGTATATATACATTTAATATATATGCATGCATCCATATTGTTGAAATGATTCCCATAAGTGTGTGAATATGCACATGAAGCTGCACTTTTTTTATTTTCTTTTTTTATATATGTAGCTATGTGTGCTGGATAACATCATTATTATGCTGTATGCAAGTTTTGACACATTTCCGTTGAAAATAGTTTTTCGATGAAGAAAATGGCAGCAGGAAAAACTAACTTATATAAAAATATTTTTAACGTAACAAAAAGTCAATTTTAAGATTACATGGAAAATTTACTTTTCAAATAAGAACTTTTTTCACTTTATTTGCTGAAGTTATATTTTTTGTTCCTTAATAAAATTACCAAAAAAAACCTGCAGATACATTTTTGTTGCACTTTTTTCATGGAATTTCAATTTCAATTTTTAAAATATATTATAAAACTGCCTTAAAAGCTTACTTGAACTTAATACAATTATGATAAAATTATAATGATCAATATATCAATATGTAATTTAAGATATATGTTTAAATACACAATCCCCAAATGTGCATATATCTCAGACAAAAGATTCTTTTTGTTCATCGAAAAAAAGAATAATTTCCGAACTTTAAATAACATGCACTCAGTATATATGAACCAATCTTGATACGAAGAGTAAAGTTTCCTATTCACACAGCTTTCGAACAACCGTTTTGACCGGAAAGCAAATGTATTGACACCCATTACAACGGATCTAACATCAAAGCGGTCAAATAGGATCGAGATTTAATTACTCTATAATGAATTCTATCTACCTAATTCTTTGCTCTTGTAATGCACTATATATTTTTAATTTTTATGTGAGTTAACACTAAAATCAATTTTAAAGTTAACTAAGAACAAGGAACTGAAGTACAGTAAAGTTATTAAACGCCTCCAAAATTATGAATAATATATTAGCTCGCTTAAGGAAAATTTCTATATCTACAAGAAATCGCAATGGAAGAAGTGTAGAAATATTCTTGAGAACTTACTCTTTCATTTGATATAATATTATAAAAAATTTATCATGGGACACCAAAGTTATGAATAAAATATTAGTTCGCTTAAGAAAATTATATTTTCAAAACCTTGTAAAAAACAACCCGACAAGATATCGTAATGAAATAAATGTAGGAATATTTTTCAGAACTTACTCTTATTTTAAATATAGAGTAATGAAAAATATAGGACAGGATACCAAAGTTATAAGCAAAATTTTACCTTGCTAAGGGAAAATTTTTATAGATATATATGTTCAAAACATTGTAAAAAAACAGCTCGAAAAAATATTGTAATGAAATAAATGAAGAAATATTCTTTGAAAATCGCTCATTCATTTCATTAAAGGATATAAAGTTTTGAACGAAATATTAATTCATTAAAGCAAAAATTTTTATAAAAAAATATTTTTTTAGAAATTTTACAAACAACTAGACTAACGATCACAAAGCAATGAATATAGAACTATTTTTCAGAAATTCTTAGATTTTTTTATTCGACGCAGATTAATGTCAATTTGCACCTACCCGCTCCTTCGCACCTCCTTCACGTCACATAATTCTCTATTTTCTGTTTATTTTCACCCATTATGTCTCTATGTTATATATAAATATCTTTCATAATTTTTGCTCAACAAACAACATGTTTGTTTATAAAGAATGTACAAGATTATGATGGAAGTGAGATATATGTTTTTATAAAAAAAAAATTTTTTTTAGCTATATTTTATCCTTTAGTTGTTTTTTAATAATTACAAAGCTTATTTAATCTAACAACTTTACTGAGTCCTTAGTTAAGATTGTCATAACTCTAGTTTTTCAATAAGCAAAGAGAAGCAATCAACCTTTCAACTTAAAATATCAATAAACTGAAACTTGACAAACAATTATTTAAGTTCCTTTCATGAATACCATATACCACAAAATAAAATAATTGATTTTTTTTAAATTTAACGACCAAGAAATGCTATGTTTGAATGAAAATATTGCTTAAATACTTACTTCATAAGTGGAGACTACATCATCATCAGGAGAAGTACATGGAGCAAAGGAATTTAGACACGACTTTCTATTGTCATCAAAGTTGTTTTCAGTTCCGTAGTACGAACGCAGCATGGAGTAATTTAAATTTGAAATAACTTCGGCATATTTATTTTGTACCAACCAATATTTATTGTGATAACATAGTCGAAGTTTATCCAAAAGCAATTTTGGTGATATGAAAAATGTGCCATCAAAATTACCCATACCCATGACAACACCAGCACCAGCACCAGCACTAACACTAGCACTAGCACCATAAGCACTACCACTAACTGAACAAGATGCCTTAGTAGTAACTGAGCAAGTTCCAATGTCGACATCAGCATCAATAATGGTACTTTTAACGAAGTGCTCATCAGTAGCAGACGAAGAAGGTTGATCATTATTGTCATCACAATTCGATTGCAATTGAAAAGCATTCAAAAGCGCAGCTATCAGCTCATCATTATCAGTGAACTGTTTTCTTGTTGCAGCAGCACGAGACGATGCTGTAGCAATTGAAGTTGTTGCTGAGGGCGCAATGTTAGCTATTGTAGCTGCTATTCCTTTCGTTGTTGTTGTTATATTTGTTTTTGTTGCTTTTATAGAGTATCCTTGCGTAGGATGCTTAACATCGTTAGTGCAATCGTGCTGATTTTGGATAAAGACATTATTTTCGTATTTTTTTTCCATTGGTTCTTTTTCAGTTCTTTGTTGCTGCTGCTGTTGCTGTTGCTGCTGATGCTGCTGCTGCTGCTGCTGCTCCTGTGGCCGCTTCTCATGTTCTTGTTGTATTTGTTGATTATATGGCGGTATTGTCAAATATTTGGTCATCACATGAGGAAAAATTTTATTTAATGCATTCAATGCTTGTATGACCACTGTGTGTATGTCATCTTGTAGTCCCTGAAATACATAAAAAGAATATTGTTTTTTTTTTATTTGAATTTGCGTTTCAGGGTAAATGCAATCAAATGCTTAAATTGAAAACATAACATACATAAAAATATACTTATACAGGGTGTTTTTATAATAGTAACTTATAGTATTTAGTCATGATACCAATTAACAAAATAAATTAATAATGTGCATAATATATATAATTAACGCAGATTTAACTGACATATTTTTATAATTCAGATGTAAATATTTCAATAATCGGTTTTTTATTCTTTATGTTCCCCTTTTAGTATACATATGTTTATACTCACTTGAATATGCACATAATGATAGTGTAAACATACTAACTAAAGTAGAAAGTATTTATGTACTTGATGGAATTTACCAGGACTAAATTCACATACTTAAAAATTTTATTTTACATTGAAGCGTAACGAAATTTTAACAAGATTTTTGCTTTGTTAAAAGTTTTAGCAATTGTTAGTAAGAAAAAAATGTGAATCTCGTTAAGATTGGTGCTATACAACTATATAAACTTTAATGGGATTAGTAAGAAAAATATTAACGAAATAAGTATAAAACTTTCACAATGACAAATGTTGGTCTTTTAAACCAAACTCTTAAGAAAATCTTTTTAAGAATAGCATTAAACTGAAAAAAATGTAATCCAAAGATTGATTTTAATGTATTCCGATAAGATTTCTTAGATAACTTAATTTCTTTATTTAAAAATAAATTAAAACATAAATAAAACATAATTTTTCATTGAATTCAGAATGTTCTTCATTTCAATACAAGTGATATATAAATAATTAAGCATTGAAACTATTATACTGTTAAAGATCTTGCCTTGAATAATTAAAAATGTAACTAACATATTTAAAAAAATTGATTTTTCAATTTTGTTTATTAGAGGCTTTAAAATATATAAACTGAACAAAATTTTATAGACAATTATATATTAAAACTATAACACAATCTATAAAACAAATATAGGTACAAAACTCTGATTAGAGCATATAAATATATACACATATTTGGAAAGAAATCTTTCAAAAAGATTACGACAAAACCATCATAAGAATCTGTTATGTTTTAACAACTGATAGATGGTACTAATACAATAATTTAAAATATTTTTTTCTTGTCCACATACTAATTTGATATTTACCTTAATCAATATCGCTAATAAATGTTGCAAGTTTATTTCCATCTTTAAGTCTATTCCAGCTGCTGTTGATTGTATAAAGTTTCCAATAATCTGTTGTACACCACCGCGTAATATCGGATCCAAATGATTGTAATATAGCAAAATATCTCGTATATATTGTTTTTCTTTTTTATTCCCACTTTGAGTTCGTGTTTCTACTGTACAAGGAGCAACATTGGTGCCTTGAAGTTCTGTCAGATTAAGTCCAATAGATTTCCGCATTGATTTTGTACGTTTTGGTGGCCGCGGTGGCAACATAGAAGGTGGCGTATCTTCAACGGCTTCGGTTATTTTAAATGTGCTACTTTTCTTATTATTTGAAGTTACTATATCTGACTTTGATAATTCATTAAGATTATAATTAACTTTTTTATTTGAAGTGGCGGGGCGCTGTGACGTTATTGGTATAGTAAACAAAACTGGGTCTGCGCTTTTACTCAACGGTTGATTAAGTAAATAATCACAAGTACTTTTACCAAAATGATCATCTTTGATTTCCAAAAGCAGTGATGAACCAAGCAAATCACTTGGATCATCTGCTGCAGAAAACTTATTAGTAAAATCAACTTTATCACCTGAAAGCAACTCTTCATAATCCGTTGCTATATTGGAACTGTTGCTTGTGGCACTTGTATCTTCATTTGGGCTACCACTGGTACTTGAACCTTTAGAGTTTTCTTCCGTAGTCATGCTTTGTGCAATTTGTTCGAGTAAACTCAGTTCAGTTTCTGTGATTTCTAATGAGATTTGCAAAACAATTGGTTGCAGGCGCACACATTGTGAAATCACACACAATGCTAAGTTTTTAATGGAAACACGTATATTGGTATCAGATTGCAGAGTTTTTACATCACCTGTCAATAAAAAACGAGCAGCTATAAGACGCGCTGTGTAATATATTAAAGACTGCTCATAAATAGTGCCAATTTTTATGGTAACCAAAGGTGGCCCAAAAATTGTCTGCTTAAGTGGTGAATTTTCTAAAAGAAACGGATTTGCTGCAATGGAAATAAATTATTTTTTTTTTTTTAGTTTCGGTTTTGTTTATGTGCACAGTCAATAACAAGCACTACTCACCATTCGGTTTTCTTCTTAACTCCACTTCTGGCTGTGCATCAGCATCAGCATCCGCAACATCTTCTGTTAACTGACTATCAGTTGAATTTTTGCTTATGTCCTGTAAAACTGCTGTGGACGCTGTTACTGATGGTGTTGTTGCAAAGGTATCATCATTTATGCTTGGTAACGATTGCTGTCTAGAAAACTTGTCCGGTGTTGCTGACAATATGTCGTCAACATCAAAATTTTTATTACTACTAGTAGTTGATATAAACGATAAATTATCTGCTGCAGACATTGAAGTAGTAGAAATGGCATCTGCTTTTTCAGCTTGTGGGTTGATTATAGAACTTGACTTCGTTGTTGATGATTGACGAAAGAGTTTACTTACAGATTCTGACGCTATTAAAAAAAAAAAATAGTGTGTTGTATATAAATATTTTAAATTAATTTTATAATATCCGTATTAGATTATTATAATTAGCGTAAATATCAATATAAAATTATATTAATAATATTAAAAAACAGTAAAACTCCTATAAAAAAGATTCAAACTGATAACACATTTGCAGTCACTAAATATAGTCTATTTACTTTACTAATTATAATCACTTATAGTATATTACTTTATATACGTTATGTACACAAAGAATGCTCTATCAAGTATGATTGTATTTCACTTTTAGGTAAAAGAGTTATTAATTGCTATTCAATTTATTTGGAGTTTATTTAAAATGGTGTTTTGGTTATAGAAATCTACCAGGTGTACCGGTATGAAGTGAGCGTAAAGATACAAATGTTCCGACAGAGAACATGCACCTGCACACAAAGCAAAACGGGTTCAGGATGCAATCAAAACACTTGGCTGGGAGCTGCTACCCCACCCGCCATATTCACCAGACTTGGCTCCTTCCGACTACTATTTGTTTTCATCGATGGGACACGCATTGGCTGAGCAGCACTTTGATTCCTACGAGGAGGTCGAAAATTGGGTGTCTGGTTGGTTTGCTTTAAAAGACGAACAATTTTTTTGGCGTGTATCCACAAATTGCCAGAAAGGTGGTCAAAATGTGTAGAAAGCAATGGCCAATACTTTGAATAAAATGTTTTTTACTTTTCTATTAATAATTAGTGTTTTATTTTCACTAAAAAACGCTCATTTCATACCGGTACACCTAATATAAAACAAATATTTTGTTATGTACATATGTAGGAAATTTTTTCACCCGATGAGTACCAACGTTTCAGTTTTCCCAAGAAAATGAATGAATATCAATTAACTCATATTAATAGTATGATTGGTATTATAACTCATTGTTTTATTTCAATTATTAACTACTAGAATCAGTGCAGCTAGAAGAAGAAGTACCAAAAAGATATGAATTATATTACCATATATCCATATAAAAATAATTATCTTTTGAATTTAAGCACAAAAAAACGTATTAATAGAATAGAAATGATAGAAAATTGGCAACTGTGATATGATTTTCTGTATAAAATGCCAGAGAATTTTTGTTATCAACTTTGGTTAAGACCAAAGAGCGAGAAATTTCCATGACCATTTGTAATATGACTGTCTGTATAACACGGTCCTTAAACAGCTTGATAATACGCATCGATCTGGCGACGTACGTCTGTCTTCCTTTTTATTTGATTGTCTATTTAAAATTTGTATTGGAATTTGTTGTGCAGGCAGATCAAATTTGAATGAAACTGGTTGAATTTATCATACAAAACTCATTCAAATTTATAAATTCACTGCAATAATTTAGTAAACGCTTTATAACAAAACTATTTTATAAACGATAGATAAAGCTATTCAAAACTAATTTTTCATTTATGTTATGTTATTTTTTGTTAGACTTTGCTATATTTTTAATGTAATAAAGTAAAAACCAATGATAAATTTTAATCTTACACATTTGCTTGTAAAATAAATCATTCACAAATAATAAAGTAACAATTAAATAAAGAACAAAAACATAAAGTAAATCATTTATCTTAAAATCAACTTTTAAAAGATATTCATAAGTGTTACTAAGACTTAACTTCTTAAATCACAATTCTAGAAAGTTGATATCATTTTAATAGCACAATTTAATACAAACTTTAAATTAAATGTATTTTAATAGACTTTGGTACTATTAAATGAATTCCTTTTATAATGCGAACATGACCAATGCAATCAGTCTACTTTGACACTAATCCAAGTAACCAAGCAACTTGGGTTTTGTAAAAAGCATGAGTATATCCACAGCATGTTTCATCTTGGCCAATTACCAAGTTGCATGCAATACATTCAAAACTAACTATGAGCTGTAGTTAAAGTAGCATTTAACATTTACAAAAATTAACACACAAACAATTGCACTGGAAACTTTAAAAATGTATCTCTGCATCTCTGTATCTATGTATCTATTGTGTGTGCATTTATAAAAAGAAGAAAAAATGGCATAGAGAGAAACTTTGAAGCCATTACACGACCCCAAACACCGCAAATAAGCGTTGATGTACTTTAGATTTTTGTTTAAGTTGTTACTGATGCTACGGTGCATCGTACACTTCCTAATATTGGTGTTGTTTCACAATTTTCAAAAACTTTTTAACGCGCGCTGTTGAGAAAAATGTTAAAAGTTTCTAAACACGATAAGGCAATAAACATGGGAAAATGTCTTGTATTGAAAATTAATTTCGAACTTATTTTTTCAACCGCTAAAATTCTTTAAACAACATCTATTCATGTTGCAAATGCAACAGTGAACAACATCTACGCCAACAACAAATAAAATATCCAACATTTTTATAACGAAGAGTACGTACACAGGATATACATTACAAATAATGGACCCGCAGTATTTATACATTTATTTTGTGGATTTTGTTAAACTTAATTTCAAGCAAAACAACAATTTGTTGATGTTAATAGATTTTCATCCAACATGCAATGCCGCAAAAATAAAACAAAGTTAACATGTTATCTTCATTGTTTATATATTGCCGATGAAATATATCGTATAGTACTCGTACGCATATAACGTATGGTAAATACTGTATTTTTAAACTGACTATCATATTACAGTGTATATTTTAATGTTTCAGGATTAAACTCAGATAACCGCACTCAATATTTTTGAAAATATTTTTAATATGCAAAAATATACTTATGCTTTTAGGGTCAATGGTAGCAGTATTAAGACTAATTTTCTTCAAAACTATGGTTATTATTACTTAAGAGCACTCATTTTATTAGGTAATAACTCAATATTACATACAAAAGTAGATACAAAAAATGTGGATTGATGTGATTAAATATAAAATGCAACATGAACATGATGAGATACAATGCAAATACTCGTCTATCGTATTTCGTATATCTAAGTAAGTCAAAGCGTTCAGATGCGCGTAGGTATATGCCGATGCAACTAATGCTTTTAGGTACTGCACTGGACGCTTACATCGAGAAATGTGCAGAAAACTATTTGAAGAGTTTATGTATAAAATATTTTACTTTATTAAAATGATTTTTAATATTTATTTAAAATGAAGCAAAGTAGATTTGTTTTATTTTTAACATTATATAAGTATTTTAAAATAGAGAAATATGTTATAATTATTTTAAACTCTTGCTACAAAAATGTAATATGCATTAATTTTGAATTCGGTAAAATATAAAATGAAATGAAAATGGAGCATCTCTAGAAAAGATGTTGATCTAAATTATTTTATATTGTTAAAATATGTAAGAGAGTATGAATTGTGTAGCAAATTTTTAGATGGTATAAATAATATATCAGTAATTACCACCTCCATAAGTCAATTGTATGCAAGCAAAATTGTATAAGAAAATCGTAAAAGACTTTACGTAAAACCAACATATGCAAACAGTAGTATCCAATTAATTAAAGAAAGTAACATTTTGGGTTGAACTCATGGAAAGTAGACACCTTTAATAATCTTGAAAAGAAGTAAAATGTTGAAAACTAATCTAATAGCGTAAGCAGACGTGGGACAGTTAAAGTTAAGATACAGTATAAGAAAGGGCCATGTTATACAGGTAGTCATATGACAAATATCCACAGCAATTTTACGCTTATTTTGGTCATGACAAAAAAAAACATGTCATACAGAAAGTTATCTCACAATTGTCATCTTCTTACTCCTATTTATATTTTGGCACGTTGCTTTTGTGTCTAAATTAAAAAGCTTATTATCTTTGTGTGGATAACCACACAAAAAAATACATATTTACTCCTAATAGGTACAAATTTTAACATTTATCACTGCACAATGCCCTTTCGACCAATCCGGTTCGCAAAGAGATTGTCTGTTTTTAGGGAATATACATTCATTCTTCTACAAAAGAACTGGGTAACTCCAAAAGTATTTTTATAGTTAAAGGTTCAAGTAGGTTTATGGGGTTCGAGAAGTATTATTATTGCTGTTATTCATAATTTATTCTACTTTTAATTCATTCTTCTTTATTTTTCTTTTCTTTTTAATATCAGTTTCAAAATCAAAAAAAAAAAATAAACCATGAACACCTATGACCTATTTGGTCGTCTGTCGGAGTTTTGATAATTAATAGTAAAACTAAATGCATTCTGCATTCGACTATAGTTGTAAGCTATATTTAATCATCGTTCGGAAGTGAACCAATTCATATGACCAATCATTGTTTTTATAAAATTCTTAACTAATAAAATTATAATTAAAAAGATATATTTACAAACACTATCAGCAGTGATTTGTATAATATTCTTTCAATTTTTTTTCAATTTCCTATTGACTATATATATCGGACATACATCATAAAAGGCTCCTACCGAAATTTGTCAGCAGACATTGGTATACAACCCGTAAGGCAGCAGACGAAGAGTTCGTTGAAATGAAATAAATACCGTTTTGCAGCCCCTAAGAAGAAGAATAAGCAACGTTACTGATATAAAGGACGTAGCGTTGCGGCGCGAAAGTTGGAAGCAACTTATAGACAGCCTATTCTCAGTATAAGAGGCTGCTTGAAATTATTGACGTCGAGCAAGGCTTATTGTTATTATTATTCACCATAAATAATTTTCGAATTTTATAGAAAACATTTTATTTTTGAATGAACTTTTTTAAAATATTTGTTCTAGAACTACCATCTTGGAATTTCATTATCTCATTGTTTAATCATTTTTAATCGTTACAATTAAGATGCAAAATATGTCAAGGTAACATACATAAGATATGATATCACAAAAATAGCACATGTGACTTTCTCTTAACTAAATTAAAATTATATTTTCCAAAAAAAAACAGTAAAGAAAATAAATTAATAATAACTACATAAAAACAGCAATACGTGTATATATATATATATATATAAATTAGGATATAGGACAGTCATTGTTTTGTCTATTATTTTGTAACAAATAGCAAATATGCACTGCAAAAAATACAGCAGCAAAACACAAACAAAGTGTGCAAAGATAAAAACTAGCAAAGCCAAAGAACAGGGACAGACCAAGTCATTTCACAATGCTATTAAAAAACTACATTCATATGCATGTGCACTTACATTAACACATGTAAAGGAAGCATATGCTTACACTTCTACATACTTCTAGTATAATACACTCTCTCTCTCTCTTTCTCTCTCACACACACACACATACACACGCGACTTGAGTAACCACATTTTATCACGTAAACCATTTGTCTTATCCACTTTGTAACTATTACAATGGCTTTATTCAACGACAAAAACAATAACAACAACAAAGTATTATGTTTCAGGTTGAGCCCAACAACAATTGCAACTACACTAACTACATCAAATACAACAATTACAACAAATACAGCAAAAACAATAGAACCAACACAAAGTAGAAACAAAAGCATCATCAAGTGGAGCAGCAGCATTAAGACATGCGTTGGATTTAAAGCTGCATTTGCCGCGCCAAGTTGCCATTATACGAATGCTTTAAGTGCGCTTTTACAGCGCTACTCCTGCATGCATTCTCCAGCTCGCGCACTTAATCCCGTTTTTTCCACTGTGTTCCACTGTGTTTTTGTTGTTAATATTATGTTTTATTAGCGCTTTCATTGTGTTTGTTGTTATGTTTAATTAGAGTACTTCCGCTATTTTATTGTTTTACTTCAAGGAAATTTGTTTTTCTACCCACTTTTCTACATTTCAACTCTGCACACAAATGGAAAATGGAAAATGGAAAATTTACAGCACGAACATGAAATTGAATTGTAAATTTTTTGTTGCAACTTTTGAACGATAAGAACAGCTTTTTTCAGGAACGCGGCAGCGGATATGGGAAGCTATCATGTATTAATTCATTTTTATATGGTCAATAAAAAAAACGTATATACACAAATATACAGTTGCAATTGATAAGGACTTATATGTAATAGTATGTGTCTTAAGCCTTTTTTTCAATAAGTTTAAATGAATTTCCAAAATTACTTCTTAGATCGACAATGTTTTATTATCAAGAACCTCCATCTTGTCCTTATATTCAAAAACCTTATCCTTAAAACCGTATAAACCCAATCAAGTGCAAGTAATAATAAAAATAAATATTACTCGTCGTCATTGATTCAAGCCACCTATATACTGGACACACGCAGTCCATAAGTCGTTCCCACCTTTCTCATTGCCACACCAAATCCTTTAACTCGCCAATGTAATTAATTCTTTTGTTCTAACATGACAATTCTGGCAAAGATCTTTCAGCGGTCTTTTGCCAAACTTTCAGCGGTCTTACAAAACTTGCGGTCTTTTCTTTTTGGTATATACTAATATTGAGCTTATCAGTGTTTTGATATATATATAAAAATTTTAAAATATATATTTCATATATTTATAGATAATATACATATTTTTTATATAGAGGTTTTTCGAACATTAGTGAACTACAACAAAATTTTAAAATAAAATTTTTATAAAAATTTATAAAAAATTCTTTAAAAAAATTTGAAAATATATATTTTTATATATTTATAGATTATATACATATTTTTTATATAGCGGTTATTCGAACAGTAGTGAAATACAATAACAAAAATTCATTTTATATTATTTTAATTAATTGAATTTTTGACTGACCATATAGCTGCTTCAAGTATTACCAAAAACCCATTATCAGTGGTCTTGGAAATAATTCTTGTATTTAATTATTCGTAAATAATTTTTTATTACTACTGCAAGTCGCTCAAAATTCTATAATAATAATTATTTATGTAAAAATAATAATAATAAAGTATATATTTCGCGGCTTTCCATCACAATTGTATTAAAATTTAATTGTTTACTTGCATGCTGTACTTGTGGCACTTTGCTCCTCATAGGATCTATTGGAATTGAAATATATATGCGCTAACGAATACGTAGTAGCTGTTTTATGATTTCACCACAAAAGAAATAGAACAAAACAGCTTTCTACCATGAATTACAAATGATAAAAATTTTTTAATAGACTTCTGGGCCAGAATAGCATAAATCTTTCAAAAGGTCTTTCAGAAGACTAGTCTGAGATCTAAATCTTACGCCAGGCTTTTAACAATTTTTGCCAGAAATGCTCTATAAATGTCATCAGTCCTGTTTAGTTTTACAGGTTTATCAATCTATTTAACATCTTCAGGATAGAGCCCTGAAATTATTTGCGAAATGTGACAGACTTACTAACACCGCGTTATCAAATCTCAGAATGGTTACAGGCTCCTCGGGGAGATATGCAGATCTAAGGTCAATTATTGCTTAGTCTGATGAAGTGATAAACAATAATCCAGTCAAGGCGCAAAGATGGGTTTTGAAGAAACCTCGCAGTTACTAGAGAGTAAAAGTGCTCAGGTGCACTGACTCAACTCAACTATCCTCAATATATTATTATTAGCTTCAAACTCTAATACTAGATGACTATTGAAATTAAATGCTAGACTAGAACTAAATGACTAATGTCACATTAATGCTCTTAACGTCTTTATCAATTGTTCATCAGGCAAAGACAGTTAAATTACTTAATAGTTAGGGTCAGCTTTCTGTAAGTTTTTTTTTACATTAGACTGTTAAATTTCTGTTCGATTTTATTACATAACTTTTTTTTTTTTAATAATTTATAACATATTTTTTGAAGTTTGAAGTTTATAAGCCTTTACATATGCTGTTGAATTCTTCCTCTGACGTTTAATCCTATAAGACTACCGACTCTTTTCATAGTTAATGTTAATGAGATCTGTTCCATCTATTTCTATTGCTTAGCAGCTCTCCAAAAGAATAATAAGAAATTCGTATATGATGTAGCAATAATAATGACAAGAAAAACCTTTGCTTACTCCCCTTATTTGTGTTCTATTTAACTAAATAAAACGAAAATGACTTTGAGAGTTTTGCAAGATAATATTAAAAACTCCAGTAATCATTTTAAATAGGTAAGTTTGCATTTCACTTATAAATTGAAACAGTTTTCAATAAACTTACAAAAGTTTCGCTTATTAGAATAATATATTTAGTTTCACGAGACGCCTGCTTCATGTATTTGCTCTTTTCAGGAAATCTGAATATTTAAGTAGATACTTCAGCTAGCTGAATTGCACTCAACTGACTTAGAACATTAATAGAAATTATTTTCCTACGAAATCTATATGCTAAGGAGCACATATCCATTCTACACATTTTCTTTCATCGAAATGCTTCATTAAGTTTCAAACACTGCATTTACTCAAGTTTAAATTGGAAGATTGCGAAATCGTGACTTCCAGCCATTGCATTAGTTTTGGATGAAATGTTCAGTAAACGTTCTATAAACAGAGTGCATTGCAAGTATTTACATTTTTAAATGATTGTAAATAATCAACAACGAATTGGTAAGCATATCAGTACATTCACTCGGCATATAGTAAAATAAAAGAAATATTTTTAATTTAATAAATATTTAATGTCGGCATTTTCAAGCTTTGAACTATACGTATTTTCTCACTACAACAAAATCAAATATTTTATAATTAAACTCAATGTTTAAGCAATGTAAGTAAATAATCTAAAATGTTTAAGAACTTAAATGAAAATTTTAAATTAAACTTAAAGATTATGTATCTACCTATTTGTGCAGTACAAACATTCTAATACTTTTATATCTCAACATTAAATTTTAAAGCAGCTTATTTCAATTTTTAAACCTTATTATATATTTTATGAAGTAAATCAATTCCATTCAGCTATCATTGAAGATATCTTAAAAACTTAAAAATCAAATAAAACAATTGAAGCTTACCTGCACTTGAATGTGAAATTAGGTTATTGAAGAAAGAACCAATTGTGTCGCCGCTTCCCTTAGAGCCACTTTCAGCATTAGCATCTGGTTCTATAGTTTTATTTACACCAGCATTCAATGAAGTTGAAGTATTACCAGCAGCACTGCCATCTTTGCCACCAATTCTGATTTCTGCTTCAAAGTCAATGCTGTTGAAAGATTCATTGTCGAAGTCACTCAGAACCTCTGATTTTGATTTGTCATCGGCAGCAGCGGATGACAAAAAGGCGTTAGCATTGCTGTTAATGGCGGAAACAGTAAGCAAATTTTGTGGTGGCGAATGTAGATGCTCAGCACCACCATCGCTCTCAGCCATACTATTTGGATTATATTTTGTGTAGTTGGTGTTGATGCTAATACCATTGGCAGAGTCAGTATTAGCATCGATTGCATCAATCAGATTATCAACATCGATTGTTGTTGTTAGAGCGTACGTCTGCTTCGGTTCACTTATTTCAGACAGCGTTGTAAAATCATCTTCATCTTCGTCTACACCCGCTATTATACCCGTTGCATCGTCTACTAGTGCAAAGGCATCATATTCTATACATTCGCTAATACTACGTGCTGTGCTTCGTATGTGATGTTTAGTTTGTTCTGCAGTCGTTGCCATATTTTTTGCTGTTTGTTGTTCTAATTTGTGAACAAAAAGAAAATATCTTTATTAATGTTTTTTTAGTTTAAAATAAATGGAGAAGTTGCAATTTTTAAATTATTTTGCTATGCATAATTTAAACACAATTTTAATTTTTTTTTAATGAAATTCAAAAATTCTTTTTTTGCGAATTGCGTACACATTACGTAGTAACTCAGTTGTGAGAACGTCTTCTGCATCAGTTCGTCACACAAAGAAAATAATAATAATAAACACAATTGCCACATTCCCCAATGTCGTTTCTAATATTTACTTTACCTTCGTCATGATTGTCAACATCTGCATCCATATTTTTCTCAACAGCAACAAATGCAGCCATTGTTATAGGAGCTGAAGCAGCAGGACTTGAAGTAGTTTCACTTGTACCGGAACCAACATTAATTCCCACGGCATTCCCTGGCGACAATGACATAACTGCGACTTTATGTTGATGCTCCTTCTCCAGCTCCAGCTTCAGCTCCAGCTTTTGGTTCTGATGTTCTTGTTGCTCCCGAAGCAACATTTTTGCATTTGCAATTTTTTGCATATCTAATTTGTATGCAACTTCTTCCGACACATTCGCATTCAATGTTTCCTGATGTTCACTTATAATTCTCAAATTTTTCAGTAACAATTCCGCTTCAGCAGCACTGCCACCAGGAGTATCAACTGCAACTTCAGTATTAGCACCTTGAGTATGTTGACTTGGTGTTGCCATTGTCGGTGACGCTGTCGTTTTCGCTTTCGCAGCGACTGTCGTTGACACTAGAATGCCAGTGTTTTTTGCCGCTGTTACTGGTAATGTTGGTGCTTCCGTTGTTGTCACTTCATAATTTTTCAATTGGAATATTTGATTTTTTAATGATTTCCTCCTTCTTAGAAATTCATTGAGCTGCAATTGTTGATTACTCAGTAGTTGCTGTAAAGTTTTTGCAGTTGCATTATTAGTGGTGTTGCAGCAGCTGTTGGTGTCAAGTGCTTGTAGTAAGGCATTGATGACCTCAAGTGCTGCATTTATAATGGAATGATTTGAATTGTTGCTAGTGCTTAACAAATGCAAACAATAATCATAAATTTCAACAATTTTTTTTATTTCACTCGTCATTGGTGGCATAGGACTTCCACCAACGAATTTGTTTGATTGTGTAGAGTAAGCGGAGCTTCTTTTATTAGTAGCTGTATGAGAGTCATCATCTTCTACATACTTTTTAAAACCACGTATGATCAATGGAACTAACAAGCGCAAAAATCCTAAGGCACCAAGCACAGTGTTGGTTTGTTGATCAGCCAGAAGCAGTTCTGTAAAAAAATATGAATTATATTTTTATTAATATTATATTATAAATTATAACTGAATATTTCCAATAGAAAAAAGAACACAAGAGATTAAATATTAGTAGTGAATATCCAAGATCAATTAAAAGACCTAATCAATGCGGAGATCACACAGAATGCGTACTGTTAAGAGAATCATAATTTAAGAGCAGTTACATCATTTAATAAATATGTAAAATTCATTTTGAATCAAAACTAATTCATATTAGCTAATATTTTATGCAGCGAACTGAACTTAAAAATAGACACCCAGTCCTTAGGATAAAGACCAAAATGTCAGCTGTTAAGATCATCTTAGCATTGGACAATGATATGAACTGTCACAGTGATGCAGTAATCTTCTCTTTGCCCATATCAAAGTCGAACAGTCACAAGGAATGTGCCTAGAGATAATCTCCGCCTGCAAACAAAGCCAACATTCTGTTTTTGAAAGAGAATTTTTTTAAAATAGAAACACAGGCCATAATAACCTATCAAATAATCTATCAATAACCTCAGCTCAGAGGGGACACTCTATCGTAGTTATACAGACAAATCAACTCGTTACCATGACTGGATAATCATAACTGGAATTTCACTTCGAAATGATTTTTTTCGGTAACTAGTAACTACTAGAAACTACTTTTCTAACATAAACCATGTTGTAGGCCAATTTAATTCTGGTCCACAGAATTGATTGGTTCACCCAGACAAGGTACTCAGGAAACCACCACTCCACTTTGAATAATTGCATACTTTTTTGAAAAAAGTTCTATTAAAAATACTTCACATTTACTTTTTGATTTTTTTTTCTGTCTCGTTGGTAATCTTATAGAATACGAAACTTTTTCATATTATTTTTTGTTGTTGGCAATGCTGAGGTATTTTTTTTAAATCTATAACCTCAAATGTCAACGAAGAAATCAAGAAATATTTTAGTCTCAGTAACATTGCAAATCTGAAGAAGTGTCATTAAACTAATAAAAATAATATATTTACTTTTATTAGTTTAACATTTTCATATATTGCTAAAATGGACTCCTTCGTCAAAAATAACCATCGCTTAGAAACTGGCACTGAAGATTGTGAAGATTCGCTTAAAAAGGGATTAAAGCAGTTAAAAAAAGATAGCGAAATCAGTAATCTACGTAGACAGTTAGCCATTAAAGAACAAAGTAATGACGCTTTGTATATTGAAAATATTAAGCTACGTAACAGTGTTGCAAGTAAAATTAATAAGACAAAAGGATTCATTGAAAACAAATATATGGAAGAAATTTGTTCACTACAAAATAAAAATCGCGATCTCCTTAAGAAATTGGAGGAATGTGAGAAATACAATGTTGAATTAACACTTACTCTAGATGACAAAAATGTGAGTTTCTTGATATTAATTATATATATTTTTATGAATATTATAAATATATTCACAAACGAATATTCACATTATACAGAAAAAAATTCACAACCTGCAAGATAAAGTTAATAGCTTGGAAGTTAAGATATATTTTATAAAGGAAGAGTTAAAAAATAGTTCTCAACTTTTGGAACATACTAAAAAGCGCTTGAATGAGATCAACGCAAAACTGATTAACTCTTCATCTGCTCGAGAAAGTGAGTATTTTTTATATGAATGTTAATATGCATTTTCACCTTTTTCTTCTCTTCTCTCTTCTCAAGAAGAAATACGAAACAGTGAACGCGAGAATACCGCATTACTAACAGAAATGGGTTATATTGTAGACAGTTTTTACAAAGCAGAGTCGACATACCAAGGTATTTATTTAATATAGATTTCGTTTAATCTTTTACAATTATGTATTAATACTGCTGACAATACTTGTAGAAAAATTAAACAAGCGTTTAAAGAAAGAGAAAGGCGAACTCGAGTTGAAGTATGAAACGTCCCTAAATGCGTTAAAGAGCTTGGCTCAGGAAAAAGGACTCGAGTTCGCCAGCGGTATGATCGACTTCTGCAAGTATGTTTTTAGTTATAAACATAAAATAACTAATATATAAGCTATATGTTTGTGGATTTATCGTATTTATTATGTTTCGTATTATTATTATTTTTATATATATAATACATTATTATTTATCTTATTTATCTTATTATTACTTTTATATATATTATACATTATTATTATTTTATTATATGATATTTAAAAGGATTACTTTTGCTTACAATAATGTTTTATTTTTAAGAAACGAAATCGACAACCTTAAAACTCACTCATGCAGGGGAGATAAAACTACGTACGAGCTTGAACAAAAGCTTTTCACTAAGGAACACGAAATAGCATGGTATTACTTTTTGGCCTTCCATTTTTTCATTTAACAATAATATTTCTTATATTTATTCAGTTATAAGATGGAAGTTTTAAGGTATGAATGTATTTTGAATGATCGTGAGAACAAACTTAAAGAAAACAATATTTCATATACGAATATTAATAGACTTACATATAACATAAGTCAGGATCAGATAAATTCAATTCAATTGCCTTTTGTGCTTGCCAACAACAACATCTGAAACTCTTATGCTATATTTCATATATAAAACTATTTCGGATAGATTTAAAGCTCGTAGCAGTACTTCTATATTCATTTAATGACATCAAATGAACGACATCAAGTAAGTTAAAAACCACTATATACCTAATTGTATAGCAATATAGTATAGCTTATATGTTTATTTAATAGATTTTTCTCATCGTCTTTTGTTTTTTTTTTTAACTTGAACATCAATCCTATCATTTATGAATCTATTGGCTGTCACCGAAATGGTTTGTTTTATTGCATATAAACACGGTTAAATTATAAGCAAAAACTAAAATGGAGATTGATTCAAAAGATAGCACAGATGTCTGCCACTTTTAAATATTAAACTTTTTCTGTGAAGAAAATTGTCCCTATAAACAAAAGAACTTGCTTAAAAATGTTTGAATGTTATCATAACTAAGAACCATCATATGTTACAATGTTAGCAAATATTAAAACGTTTGGCTTTTATTAAAAATAAATTGTGAAAATACTTAACAATGACTGCCAAATTTTCAAAATAAATTATAAACTATTAAATTAAGTTCTTTATAGAAACTTAAACATAATTTACTGTAAATTATGAAAAAAAATTTCTCCAATAAAACTGTTTCATTTTTTTTACAGGCAACGAACCAACATGGAATACTTTTAAAAGTTTATACCCAAAAACCAATTTCCTCAATATCATTGCAGTTAAGTGCAGCACGCGGCAACATTGACTTTCAAACTTTTACTGGTGAGGAGCCTCAGACCCTCAGACCCTAATATGCAACTTTTTGTTTCTAATAATTTGAACGCAAAATGAAAAATCTGGTTTTACGTTTTCACATTGAATTTTTTTTGGGTACTTAAAGCAAAAAGAGTTAATTTTACTTTTTCCAAAAGAAACAACGAGATTTTACAAAAAAAAAAATCAAACTTAAGAGAGGAAAAGAATGTTTGCAACAAATTGCCACCAATTAAATTTATCTTGTTGAAAACTTTTCATGTAATATTTATAGACTCAACGCCCTGTGGTTATACACACAAGCAAGACAAGTTGTGAACGCAAAGAAGTTCTTCGTTCGGTACTTACTACACGCACATATGCAGTACGCAGTGAGCAGTAAGCAGTAAGCAGTGAGCAGTGAACAGTAAGCAATGTTAGGAGACACAACGCAAACACAGCCAACACACACACACATACACACACATGAGATAATATTTATATGCGCGTATAGCAGATATTTTGTTACTCATACGCAGCGTAAGACCTAACCTAAGCCGGCAAGCAAAATTTTTCCACAGTGCAACTGTGTTACTCAATTAGTTTTCATTTCCCTTTGGGTTAAAAATTTTAAAACACTTTGCAGCAGTGACTTTCTTTTAAGTTTCTACTGATTGCACTTTACACATAACGAAAAATCTTAGTGAACCTTCATAAAAATGTATGAGTGCGTGCTGTACGAGGACTAATAAAATTCAAAGCAATTGGAGCACTTCGGCTTAGTTGGCGTTCTGTACTATTCTATACTATTATAGCCCATTTTTTTTGGCAGTCTGTACGTAGCTCATTGAAACGATTTCATTTACTGTGCAAGTAGTAAATAGAAAATAAATAAATAAAATAAAATCAAGAGCAAAAGTTGGGTGCTCCTGCGTTTGTCTGGTCCGCTACTTTTATGTTTCAATTAATTAACACGAAACCACATAAACTTCGCAGCCTGTTATATCCTTCGATTTGGCAGACGGTGAACTTTCTTTAAGAAGTATCATTAACCCGAGTATGGAATAAGTTAAATGTACCAAGCAACGTATCAATGTTTAATGGCAATTTCAAAGTGAATTTCGTATCAATAAAAGTGAATATACGTACATGTGAGTATATAAATATTTCTAATTGTTTTTATGTATTCGATAGCAACAGTGTTTTTGGTATAACCATAAATACAAAGAATAATATTGGATTCTTAATAATCCATTTAAAAGACATTTAACTAAGTGTCTTGAATTTCTACATATATTATATCAAATGAAAAATAAATAGAGTAGCAGGGAACATAAACAAAAATATATTAAACCAGAAAAAAAATCTAATCTAATTCAGTGAATTAGAGTTTTGTTCGCGTTAATGTATAATTCAAATAAAATTAACAGAGGTTTAATTCATATTAATTGTTTTTATATAAATTAATTAACTTTCCTTTAAAAAATTACAAATTTAGATGGTATTTATTTTTAACATTTTTCAGAAATAATCTTTGTCAAGCATTCCTTTTCAGTGGCATAGCAAGGGGAAGTAAAAGTTCTTTAATACCACAGGCAATTATAGACCCCAAGATCAATAGATTCGTTATATTTTATTATTATAAGTACTACATTTAGTGTACGGTTTTTTATTTATGTGAAAAAAATGCACACAAATAGTACACTTAACAGAGTCTAAAACACATCCGAAAATTTTAGGTGTTTATGTTGAGGCACCCAAACAGTAAAATTATAGAGTACTGGTTCCAACACCGCTCACTGTAGATTGAAGAATAACCTATCGAAATTTGGAATTCAATCCAACTCATATTGCAGGTACTGTAGAGAAGAGAGAGAAACTGCATACCATGTGCTTGGGGAGCTTCCGGCACTGATGCACAAGCGGAAGAAACACCTAGGAGAGTATTTCATGGATCATAAGGATTCAAGACTAGGAAAGATAGGCTCTATAATATCTTTCATTAAAGAAATCAGGCTTGGAGAAACTCTCTAATCCGACGAAGTGGCGCATTAGATCTTTTAGGTCGCAGTGCACTATCTTTTCTTTTCAATAATAATAATAATTCCAACACTTCATACTTCAACACTTCATTTCGGGGTTCACTTTAGTAATCTTTTCATAAAAGTAGTGAATTTTATAACGAGCTTTTACAAATGTAGTGAACTTCTGTAACGATCTTTGAATCAATGTAGTGAAGTTTTTAGTATCCATAAAGAGACAGTAAAATGTTTTAGGTTATTTTAGTGTAATTTAATGTTTATCTAAAAACACTTTATTGTAATGATTTTAATGCACATTATTGTATAGGTTTTGTCTAGGTAAAACAACAATTTATTGGCATTTGTGATAAAGAAATAGATTTAACAGAGTTGAAGTTGCGGGTAGATGACCTTGACGCAATGAAAATTTAAAATCCCAGCAATAAAAACTAGCAACTTAAAGTTATATCTTACTTCTTTAATAGACAAATGGTTCAGAAATCTTGGATATTGCAGGAGATAGTTAGAACTAGAAGACCTTAAATTATGCATTGTTTGTTGATCGTTAAAACTCCTAACACGATATATATTAGAATAAAAAAATTCCATAGACTAACTATATCTGATTTAAATTACACAATGCTGTCTATATCATATTAGTAATTTTTTCAAAAACAAAAAAAAAATATATAAAATAAACTAAATGTTGAGAATTCAAAATTATCCCAACGTCAAAATGCCAATTTAAGCAGCAAGTGTGTATTTTGCTTTATCAAATGTTATTTTAGCTAAAATCCTTGAAAACTAACTAAATTAATCTGATAGAAACTATAAACTTTTTATCACTTTTCACTTTGCTGTCGTGATATTTCGCTTAATTTTGTTTATAAAGAAATTCTGTGTTAACTTTCGAAAATATTTCCAATTCTAAGCAAAACATTTATTATGATAATAATAATAATAATAGGAACAACAAGAGCAACAAACATCAGTGATACACAACAGTGATATTACAGCATCAATAGCGATTGCAGCAACAACGAAACCAACAATAATTTTGCAGTTTACTGCGTTCACTGGGAAAGTAGAGAGTGCATAGTTTGAAGTCGCTTGAGCGACAGTTTCATCAGTTGACGATGAAATATTTACAAAATGACAACTTGATTGACAGCTGCTTGTCAGCCATGTTTAATGTAATTTTCTCTCCCCTACCATGTTTGAATGGTGTAGTTGTAATGCAAGTTTATAGCAAGAAACGTAGGTGCTTTTTTATACACTTGAGCTTTTATCAAATAATCAAAAATAAAAAAATATAAAAATAAATAAAAAAAAAATAATAAAAATAAAAGAGACAGAATATAACAGAAAAGAGACAAAATTAAATTGTTTGAAATATTTGATTATCACTGCAACGAAGGATTTTTTGTCCTTTTAATAATTTAATAAATTTCGTAGAAATTAAGGTAGCAATGAAGAAGTTTAGAGTTTTAATTAGTTATATTACATTAAAGTAATATGATATAAAGGGAGCTAGAAAACGTCGTATATAATAGAGTATACAATAAAAAAATATGTTTAAAATGCATATCTATGGATGTTTGGATAAATATTCTTTAAATAGATATTAAATACATAAAACATTATAGATGTACTATCTATTGGAACAATACTAGAAACAATACTATGCATTTTCCTCTATGTATTAAAACTGTCCTAACAAACATTTTATAATTTTATTATTATTATTTTAGTTTTCACTTTCGAATACTCAAAATAATTCCATCACAAATTGACGCAGCGTTTGAAACGTTCAACGAATTTTCAAACGTCAAAAACTAGATGATCGTTTTAGAGGACCCGGATAGTATCGATCATATTTTTGACTGTTTTAGTGAAGATGCTCGGGATCAGTATCTGCAACTAAGCCGAAATCGACTAAATCAAAGGAGAAAGTTGGGCTAAGAATTTTTACTAAATCAATGTCATTGCATCTATTTTGAATTGAATTTGAAATTAACTAAGTTTATCTCAATATTTGTTACAAAAATTCCAATATGACACTGTAGATTAAGCTATCACCTTAACATACATCTTAGCTCTTGCAAATCTTACAAATGAGAAGTGAGATTGCGAAATATATTCTGAGATCAATACTCGTACGTTCTGCATTGATACATAAAACAAGGAAACTACTGTGTTAACATATTTCACTTGATGATGACTTGAAACTTCCAAAAATGGGACTAATTCTTCTATTTATTAAAAATTTCTTATTTATAAAGAGTAAATTTCTAAGTCCATAAAGAGACACAGTAGACCTCAAAGACCAAAAAATGCTGTATGAAGTCATCCGCACACAGTTCCGCTGCCAACTTTTTAAAATAGATCATTAAATAAATCATTAAATAGTATTATCCGACTTCGGAAATATGCCAAAAGAAAGTTAATCTTTACTTCCATATAATAACATCTATAAAAGTTTCTACTGGAACACCAAATTTAGTTGAATATGTACGTGATATTTTATTCAGTAATTATATACCTAATTGCAGACAAGATTTCTATTTTTGTGCCACCCCGATTTAGCAACGAATATATATATATATTGACGTCTATTTAGATCAACTTCATATGCCGATATACCATAGATCTCAATATATCGAGATGTACATTTAAACCATTAACAAAACCAAAACATCCCATCTAACGTCCTCGTACATACAAGTACTAGTACATGCAATTTTTATATTAATAATATAAACAACTAATAATAGTAGGTGTCTCGATAGCGTATCTATTATTGTTGGTAGTTTACATGTAAATATAATAAATTTCAAGCTTAAATGTCTATATTTTACTATATCTGCCTATTAGCATAGTAATAGAGCTGCTCAGAATGGACTTTACTTAAATCCTATGTCAAATTGAGACGTCCTAGAGATAGGAATCGTGCCCAATAGCATGTTGAGGGCCATATTTACCAAAGATTGAAATTGAAACCAATCGTGTGATAACTGTATTTGATATTCTCGAACTAGTGTAGTTGGACGAATTTTAACTAAAGGCAAATCTATCTCTCGCAATGTACTATAGTTCAAGCAGCAACCTATACCATACAATAGGTTTCCTTGGACGAACCAGATTGTACAGTTTAAAAAAACTATTGCACCTGGCCAGAGAAAGGTACTTCTTCATTAATACAATGTACATCATAGTGAAATTGTTTATATTTGTATGCAAATTATTCCGTCATCTTGTAACGTCTTTAGACTATAACTTACTTTTACTTTTCCTATTGAAATACTCCGCAAACCTTGTTACTTTTGCGTACTACGGCGTCGATGTAGATTGGATTTCGCGATATATTGGTTTAATGCATAATTTGATAGCATTTATTGTTACATGCCCTGACATTTATTTATGCGAATTGGTTAACGTGATAATTACATCACAATGCATTATAAATGAGATGGCCTATGCAATTGTGCGGCCATAATACGCTGAAGTTGTAAATTGCATTTGAACATAATTTTAACGAAATTAAAACGAAATGTTTTGTATCATTAAATTTTAAATAGTTTCGTCTGTTTTGCATGGTGGCAATTTGGTACTTCGTTATTACTTCACAAACATTTGGTCAGGTCAGCACAAGCAGCACTTTAAACAGATCCAGTCCATTGCAGTGTAAAAGCGATGGATGAAATAGAAGCGCAATTAAATAAAATCAAATCGAAAGAATTTTATTTATTTGACATTAACATCGAATATTGAACATGAACAACGCGCATAATTTTCATCAATAATTGAAAGGTATTTTAAGCACGATGTACATATATCAACGGCACATCACACAAATGCAATAAAACGCAACATAAAACATCACTTTACGGTGAATTTACCACTTCAAATATTAATAAAAGGAAACTAGAGAGCTCAACTAATCCAAAAAAGTAATAGGGTTCCATATTCGAACTGTATTGAAGTTCATTTTTCATTTTAACAGATATTAAATTATTGTATTTAGATAAGCTTCTCTGCTAATAGAACTACCTTAATTTAATTGACTCACATTCTTCAATATTATTCAGGCTAGACAGAACCCTTTATTATGTTCCATATTCATATTATAAAGCTTGGAGATTTTCTCACTGCCACCTAAAGATTAAGGTCCTTGTTAGAGTACCACACCTTCTGACAAATTTCTCGAGCCGATCCTTGGTTATCCTTAGAATCCCATTCATCCCTATAAATTGAGTACCTATATGAATGTAAAGAGTTGTGGCTGCATCTTATTACGGTAGTTGGGTTTCTGATCAATGCTACGGGCTAGATTAAGTCTTTCCCTATAAACCTTCCCATACTTCTTTTTGGCTTATTTCAGTTCATTCAATATTATATCATTCATATTTCTTTTCCATCTTTCACTCCTGAATAAGAGGAGTTTGATGACTCTAAAATTGTCAAGGCTCCAATAACAACTGGAATGAATAACTAAATCGACATAAAATTATACGTTATTTTCTTTCACAATTATAATTTTATTGGTTCTGGCATCATTTGCGAGAGATATAGCGTTAGACCTGAGAACCTTTTTCTACAATGGTTTAAACGAATATATTGGTCATAAAATCCTATTGCTCGGCAGACTAAGATTCTTTAATGATTTCTTTGCAAAAGATAATGATGTTGGTGTATTAATGGTCCAATTATTCCATATTAAATTTCATAAATTTCTTATCTAAACACAACAATTACAAAAGATAAGCTTGTGCTACCCACTGACCTAGTACCCAATTTACAACCGCCACGAAACCCTGCATTCAAGGACTAACAATATTTTATTTGTATACAAACGAGTGTGGAAAAAATTTTTTAAATAAAAATCAGAAATCCAAATTCAAATTAAAAATCAAAAATCAAAACCAAAATCAAAATCAAAACAGAATCAAAGCTTAACAATTTTAATCAATGAACAAAAAATTTGGAATTTTGTTATTTATGCATTTATGTGCAGTCATTGCAGGAGTTTTTGTTGTTGTTGTTGTTGTTGTTGTTGTACGCGATGTTGCTGCGATTGCAGTTGCATTTCCTCTAACAACACCGACAACACCAAAAATAATAAAGTGCAAAATCCAAACAAGCACCACAAATCATTTTTTATTGAATTTTCATGAAAATTTTAGTTGCAATATAAAAATAAAAGGACACAAACTTTTTAAAAAGGATTTGGGTGGACAAAAATTTTGTGCTATTAATATTGTAGATTTCTGTATTTTGTGTTGTTGCTGTGTTTTTTTTTTTGTTTTATTTAAGTTTTTTATTATTCATTAGAACAATATAGACTTTGTTTAGACTGCAAAAAAGCAATAGAAGAACGAAGTGCATAAATAAAAATAAAATTCGCATTTGAATTTGTTGCAAACTGTGAATTTTATGCAAGCGAAACAGAGTCCAGTGTCCTGATCCTGGGCCTGGTCTGCATTGTGCATTGTGCATTAAGCAGTTGAATGGGTGTTTACAACTGAAGCTGGCTGTACTTTATACACCTCAACAATGCGATTATTATTCCTGCGCTTTTTAGTTTTTATTGAACACCCAAAATTTAAAATTCACTATAACGCAAATTCATCCAAATCACAACAATTTACTTTATTCTATTATTCTAACTGATTGTAAACTATTATTATATGTAAATCAGAAGGGACAAGAATACACCACGACCTTTGACATATATTGTGCTATCTCCGGACGTAGTCTCATAAGCTAACATAAACAAATTAAGAAATTTCATATATCGAAATATTTTTCTATATTCAATATAGCAGTCCTTATTTAATTAATTGAAACTAAAACAGAGATACTAAATGTCCTTAAATCTCAACTCTGAAATGTGGTCGATAATCGGAGCATGCTTACTTAAAAGACAAAAGGTGTTTAAATTAAGAAACCTCTTAATATTTTTGTTGAGAAATCAATAAAGCAGTTTTGATTATCTTCGATCGGGCTATGATTTTCAAAATAATTTATATACTATAATTTTAAGTACAAGTGCATTCGGATAACTGGATATCTGCATAGCCACTTAAGACTTATAAGGAAGTTAATGCACTCTTTGCGTTTGCTTCATTTGCATCAAAACTCTTCAGTTTGACTTCATAAAGACTCCGATCTTATGAAGAAAATTAAGGCATCTTCTTAGTTATTTCGTTAGTATCAATATTTTGCAGTCCCATGAATGAATCTTCTCAATAAAACTCTCTTTCTGAGAGTCCTTAACTCTCTTTAAAGAAAGTTAAGGACCCTCAGTTGTTTCGTTAATATCAGTATTTTGCAGTTCCATAAATGAATCTTCTCTATACAACTCTCTCTCTTTCTTTCTTGTGAATATTCTCTATACAGAATTCGATCTTATTTTCTTGTGAATATTTTATACAAACACTTCTATTTTATTCTCCTGTGGAGGGTTAATAAAGAAAATAAAATAAGGACTCTCCTCAGTTGTTTCGTTAGTATCAAAATTCCACAGTTTGATAAGTGAATAGTCTTCATTCAGACGACTTCACGATCGTTTCGTTAGTTCTTAAATTTTTCTGAGGAAGTATTCAGACAAGTCTTACTTTATTTCTACTAGCTAACACAAATATTAGATTTTCGTGACTTCAAACTAACCTAGAGTTAAATATCTTATAGCAAAACCTAAGTTTTAGATACTGAATGCATTTATTAAAGTTTGGACAGTAATAAAAACTAAAGTCAAGATAAATTAATTTAAAGAATTAAAAATATTATTCATTTAAATTATATTATATTCTTTAGTTTATGTATTATATGTATTTGCTACCCTCGCATTTCAGCCCTTATAAATTCACAGATATGCACTCTTCCATCGTTTTCGTATTTATGCAATTGCTTCAACTCTAACGAGAGCACAAATAATAAAGAAAGTATATTCGCATTTTCACTTCAAAAACTTACCAAACACTTTGCTGAGTCCATGTTTGGCCATTAAACTCTTATTCTGCGAATTCTCAATCAGACTGATGCAGTTCTGTGATGAACAGCGTCGCTTCACCGCGCACTCAGCACCAATATTTGCCATGAAAGCCTAAAATAAGGAAAGAAAAAAATTAATAAAAAGAAATATTTTCGATTAAAATTGCATGCAAAATTCACTGTGCAATTGCAATTGTCAATAAACACCACAAGTGGTGACAGGACAAAAAACAGAAAAAAATACCAGGAAAAAAGGAGGAAAAATATCCTTTCCACAATATAAGCAACGAACGCGGCGTGCTGCTTTTGATTTTTTATGAAAAGGTTTTTAATTTTATTTATCAAAACTTGGAAGCCAGAAATTTAAGAAGAAAAATTTCATATAAATTAAAATATTAAATAATAAAATTTAAGAAATAAATGCTAGTAATTGCGGTTAAAAGATTTAATAGCTTAAGCTAAAGTATTTGGATGCTTAATTTCAGCACCAAAACCGACAAGCGTTTTATTCCAAAGCCGATCGTCAACAGCTTGTGTCATATGCAATATTCATCCATATTTCAATGTCAGTAAAAAATAAAAAATAAATGGATTACTGATCCCTAGCAGCATTAGTTGGGCTACAAACATCGCAAAGCAACAACAACAACAACATCGTTACTCCCGGCCTACAGACCGATAGTAATGTAATAATGAATATGATGCAATAATGCCAGCAGTGATATATGTCTGTAAGAGTTTTCACTTCAGAATTATTTCACAACATCGTTACTAGAAAATATCGTTACAAACTCATTAAAATTTAAAATAATCCGTTCAACTTGTACCTGTGCACTGCTTTCTATATAATGATATATTCGAAAATCATATGTTATTCCAAATTCCAAATTATTTCAATTTACCCACTCTTCATGTTCTCGATTAAAAAACCAAGTTTTACTATTAGCATTCAAAACGGTATCTTTAAAATGCTTATGACAGAAAATATATTAAGCAGAATATATCCTAGGAATTATTCTGGATAAAATGTCAACTTTAGCACAACCATAGAAGATTTCAGAAAAATAAATTAGAATCCTTTTGATTATAGTCAAAAGTTAGGAATCACAGAATAATATATGTACAGTATTAGACAGTTTTCAAGCTTTCCTTTCTGTTTTTATTTTGTCAATTTTATCAGGTAGTATCTAACGATTTGATTCTAATTTATACTATAAAAAAATATTGATATACTTCTACAAACTACCTACTAGATAATATAAGTACTGCTGAATCCTCTTCAACTGGCTTGGTTACCCAAGGGCTTACAACAACAACACGCATTAGCTTGAAAATTACAGAAACTTATTTGTTGATGAAAATATCTATTAATATATATATAATATATGAACATATTTTACTTATTGCAGCTTTTGTGGACATTTGCTACAGTGGTTTCAAAACCATGTAATAAGAATACGCTGACTTCATTGAGTATAGGGAATAGGGAAAAAAACTGGATGTTACCACAAATATTTTCTCAAACTGCACATAATACTTTTAAGAAAAGCTATTGATCGCCTCAAGATTTGTCAATTACACAAGCAATGTGGAATGATGCAGACGAAAACATATCTACTCTGTTTCCGACTACCGTATTATCTGAATCATTTCATCCGCTCATCCGCATCATTTTATTAGTCAGATAACGACAAGTTTGCTGATTTGAAACTGACATACTTGACAGAAAAACATATTAAAAGAATATCACATCCTATAGTCTTCAATTGCAAGCATACCGTACCTAACATTATAAGCAGTTTCCCATATTGTCAACAGATCTACACAACACTGTCATATTCTAGCATGTCCAGGAAATACTGATTGTAGCTGCAACAACTAAACTCTGTCTACGATTAATCAATATTTATTCGCATTAACACACATCACATCAAGATCTTCCTAAACACATCTGTTTAACAAGCATATACAAGGTAAGTACATATAAAAATATAAAAAAAACATTTTAAATTACTTAATATACTATTTTGTGTAGAGGATAAACTATTAGACAATCCATAGCCATGAGATTATGATATTCACGAATTTACAGAGTCGTGAAAAATCCAGATGCAGCTATTTGCCTAAAAGAAGTCTCTCGCACCACATTTGACGGTTTTGTTTTGTTCCATATATCGTAACGAATTTTCTGCTAAGATGGATAAATTGGAAAATTTGCTGCTGTTCAGTTAAGGACTTTCACAGAGAATATGTTAAGATGTTTCAGCATTCATTTCACAAAAGCGACAAATACAAGTCTCTATAAAGCATGTAAGGTCTCTGTAGTGCTAATATATCACAATGAATGGAGTATATTTGAGACTGACTTGTATGGGTTGGTGATGCACTAGGCCTGTCTTTGGTCTTGACGGTTCATCTAGTATTTTTCAAATGGGTATTTCTTATAATGTGAAAAATTTTTTACTATTATTAGTACGTTCCGAGTTTTTGAAAACCTACATTTAAAGATAATTCTATTAATAAAATTCAATATCAATGTTAATTACTTTTACTATTAGTTTCATAGTGCAGCAAGAAATGTTTTGTTTCCACTAAAATTAAGGTACACATTTTATTTTTTTCCTCATACTCTTTCCTAACCTAATCCGTGTGCACGTATTTGTAATTATAAATTAAATTTATTTATCATACATTAAAGTGTGTATTCCTAACAATTGATCTATATTATATAGCTATACTCCACATTACGTCACCCATATTTTTAATTTAATGACAGCACATACCAATGTAAACTCAAATAATTTGTGACTGCGTCATATTGAAATGACAAGGCTCTTGAAATTTGACTCAGTCTAATTTTTAATTACTTTACTATTACACACCCACTCCTTTCTTATCATACTATAACCTACGCATTCTATCTCCTACTACCTTTGCCATTTCTCATCGCTGGTGATGAGTAACCGCTTTGTATTTTTGCTTGTCTACTTTCCTTAACGATAGTGGAACAACCTGGTTTACAACAACAGGAACTACAGCTTATATTTAAATGTCATTTGTATAACTTTTTCTCACCTCGAAAAGTTTGCACGTTTCACTGTCCGTCAAGCCGTGCTGCAGATTCCTACCAAAGTTTTTAACAAATTCACACAAAGTCTCACATAATTGCGTCTCCTTCCGCTGGCAAATGTTCAGCATGCAATGCAGTAGGCGCAAGGCGTACCACTTGATTTGCTTTTCCTTGATTTGAGGTGCGTAATGAGCAAACAAATTTAATGAAATACGCAGGGAACTATAATTTTGTATAAAAAACGAAAGCACTTCATTAGAATACTTTTTCATACAGAAAATTATTTTACAAACCGTTGATTTCCATTTCGTTTGATTTCACCATACAAATCCATTAGAATCCGACTCACCCGAGTCTTTTCCAAAGTTCGAAAAATCTTATTTAAATTCTCCTCAGCGCACATCCGCACTACCGAATCCAAATCCTCACAGAACAGGAGGAGCACATTGGTCGCCTTTGAACAATGTGTGGCGTAATTGTGATGACTCGCTAATGCGGGATGCGTAATGCAGTCGGCGATGTGCTGAAAACACGCAATCTTTTCTTTTTGGCTGGCAAAGAATAATAGTCAAAATATGGTAAATTACTTAAATAATTATGATAATTACCTGCATTCCCGATTCCGCAGCTGTTCAACGTAAGCAGTAAATGTATTGACAATATTAGTTTTATCCATTTTGCATTTGTCTGCTTATCTTTTGCATTTTATTTGCAAAAAATTTTTATATAAGAAAACTACGCTTAAAAGCGCATAATAATAAAATCGCCAAACTATCTTTTAGACTTTTACATTTGTTTTTTGTTATTGCATTTGGAACTTTTATAAATTAAGAAATTTATAAGCAATTGCGTTTCCTGTTATTTACTAATAACAATGAAAATAAACCTACGTCGCCTATGGAAACGTCAAATCGTTGCGAAAAACATATGTTTAGCGATGACACTATGCCATATGATTCACGCAAAGGTTATCGATTACTATAAAATACTTTTGATATATAGAGGGCGCGCTGTTCAATTTTTAAACATTTTGTGTTGATGAAAATAAATAATTAGTTATTTTTATTTAAAAATAATTATTTCACGGGCCAATTGATTGGACAATAAAAATCTTATAAAACTAAATAATAAAATGTTTTTTTTTAAAAAAATATTATTATTTAATAACTGACCAATTAGCCCGTGAAATAATTATTTTTATTTAATAAATAAATAATATATTATTTACAGTCTTTTTTTCCTTTCTTTCGATTTAATATTCTTATTAAAACAAAATTTTTAAAATAAATACAATATTTTTTTAAATATTGTATACAAACTGCGATATGAGTTCTATGCTCTCGATATAGAATTTATATACATATATACATATTTATATGTATATGAATAAATAAAATACATTATAAAAAATGCGGTACCAACTGTTATGGTATTTTAAGATGAAATTGTTTTTTAATTAGCAAATCAATTTCACCAATGATTTCAAAGAAAGGCACATGGAAAATTAATCGTTTGTTATGTGGAAGAAACATTGGGATAAGATATCAGGATTAACACAATCCAAATCACTTATTGGTACATACATTAATAAAAGATACCAGGATTGTATAAACCTATCAAAAGAAAAACTTAGAATCAACACAGGAATTCTAACAGGGCACTGTAAAGTACAATACCACCTTATAATACAAGACTGGGTATACATACATACATACATACTTAAACTGTATACTACTTATATTGACGCAACAAGGCTTACAGACCTACTCTAAGCACAGAAGGGTGCACGGTCGCAGTACCACATCTGACACCGGATACCCAGTCTTTCTATTTAAGCCAGATTTAAACGCGAAAACAAATCATTGAGGAGGATTAGAGGTTCTTTTGACTTTAAGAGCCGATTTTACAGAATGAAAGGGAGTACAAATAAAAGGGAATATAAATACGAATATATGGGTTTAGATATGATTCAATATAGGAATTATGAAAGCACAGGGGATTATTTAAAGACAAATGTGGATTAAGGATGGTTAGGATTTTAATTGAAGCGACATCTACCTTCATGATTTGTAGTTTGAGCTCACACTTAGATCATCAACTTTGCTGACCTGATTTATACGTAAGTCAGTTTTAAGACTTAAATTAAAATTGTCAATTCGGTCTTAAATTATTGATTGATATAAGGTCTTGAACCCGGCCTATCGTAACGGCAGTTCAGTTCAAAGCTACAAGGATTTGGTTTAAAATCGGTTCAGTGTACAATCTATTCAAGATCCTCAGAGATCAGTATTATCATTATTGGCGCATTCATCGCAAACTGCAGAGACCTCTGAAAAGAAATGCTGCATCAGATCGAAACTCAATAATAAATTTCTAGTTGTTGGCCTATAGCTGTCTATTTACAAGCTAAATATTCATAATCAGCTGTGTATGTCTTTACACGGTCCTCGATTGTAGTGCTTTAACGCAGACTAAAGAATTAGAATATATTATTTTATATGATATAATAGGCTATCTTATGGGCATATGCATCAGATATAGGAGAATGGGTAAGGAAGCACTTTTCCACCATGACTGTAATGTAAATAAATTAAGATAAATTGAGATAAATAAATAAAGTAATGTAAAGAAGAAATTTGGTAGGATATAGTAGGTGATTGTAACAGTATGAATGGTCCGCATCATATCCTGGAAAATTGGAAGGAATGGTCCAGTATTGTCTGTAATGTTAACAAAGAATAACAAGAATAAATTTAATAAATCGAATTATCTTTCTTTGAACCCACAATATATTAAACCCTATTGTTATTGTTGCTTGCGTTTCAAAATTCGACGAGGTCGTTCCCGATCGCTGGATCCTGGTAAACAATTGAATAGTTGATTCAAGTTGTACGTAACCGTTTTGATTGCTCTTACCAATACTCACTTTTCTCTCTTCATCTTCATCTTCTTGTTCATGAGTTAGTGCTATTACGCACTTTTACTCTATAATGGCTGGGGGGCTTATCACTACCCCACACTAGGCTAAGAAATCATATCATTTATTTATCTTTTAGTTGATGACGAACCTTATATCAGCATATCTTCCTTCCTGAATCCAGACGTGGACTTGAGGATTGTTAGGGCGGGTGAATTGTTTTCTTTAAAATGACATTTAAAGAAAACTATTTCTGAGCTTACTTAGATTCTATACTCATAAGATTACATTGAGACGAATGATATCCTTAGGGACGTCAAGATTGATTCGATCAAAAAAAACATAAAGAATAGATCACTGAAATTATTTACGAAAACTGATAGGCTTACCAACACCGCGTTATTGAATCTCAGAATGGTTACAGACTCCTCGGGAGGGTATGCAGATCTGAGGTCAATTATTGCTTAGTCTAATGAAGTGACAAACAATAATTCAGTCAAGGCGTAGAGAGGGGTTAATAGAGAGTAAAAGTGCTCAAATGCACTGACTCAACTAGCCTTAATATAATAATAATTATTAAAGGTATTATACTTAGTAATAGATTACATCCAGCGCTGGCGTCTTCAATAACAAAAACAACAACATCTTTTATTTATACATTTTTATTATTTTCTTTTGATTTCTTTATTTAAAATATATATAAAACTAACAATAATTTTCGATATTTACTTAAAATTTTTTACGAACTTTAATTTCATCATTTTTGTTTATTTATTTATTTTTTTTGTTTTGTTTGGCAAACTAAAATTGTAATAAGCAATTATAAACTCTTATTTATAAACCCATTAAGAAAATTACAAGTATTCAAAAAAATTTTTCCCCATATACATACATATACATATACTCTATATATTAGTTCTTTTGCAGTATATATCTTTCTTCAATATAATTAACTTTAGAAGTACTAGCATTATATAGAAAAAGATATTCATTAATCACAGTCCATTTTTAAGATTAGTTGAAGTATAGAAAGTGTCCAATTATAGATTCACAAATTCATAGATTCATAGATTCATAGATTTTTCGGTGTCGGTACTTTGGAGCGTTTTTGCAATGTAAATGGACGGTAAGACGGTAGAGAGAGCTAACTTAAATACCCAAAAGTGTGTATAATTTTTGTGCTTTCGATTTTAATTTGTTTTAATTCAATTTGTTTTTTTTTTTTCATTCAATTTGTTTTAATTCTACGCTTATATATAATTAAATCTGCATTATTTACAAAATTAAAATACAAAGTAAAAATACAACCTAAACCTTAAAAAATAAAATAAAAATAAAATTTAAATAAAAAATCACACCACTGTGCACAGTGGCAACATTTCTTGTTTTTCGCTTTGTTTTTGTTTTTGTTTTTGTTGTTTTTTTAATGTTTAAATAAATTAGTTCGAAACTTCGAAAAGATGTAAGAAGATATGCACTGAAGAGCAAGGAAACATAATATGAATAATTTTGACGAGGAGGAGGAGGAGGAGGAGTAGGAGGAAAAGGAGGAGTAGCTAATGCCGAAAGTGTATGAATTTTGTAGAGAAGTAACTAGAATTTTCATGCTACTAATGTAAGATATAAAATTTTTTATAAATTTATATGTAGATAAACAATATATGAAATACAAACATATAAAACAGTTACAGTTAGTTAAGCGCTATAAGGTAGGAATTATATACCTATATCCTAAACTGTTGTATATGAAATTCAGACGAATTTATGATGACTACTTTATAGGCTACTTTATGCAATACACTTACATATATTCAGCCTAAATTAATATACCAAAATAATTACATTTAATTACTTTAAAAATAAACTTAATTCTTTCCACTTCACAGTTCACAGTTTAACGTTATGTTATTATCCTCGCTTTGCACGCAGCACGATTAGAGTCAGCACCAAGAAACCCAAAACCCAGCCAAGTGTACTCAGAAAACCGCCATACACGTCTCGTTCGACGATCTCCCAACCACGCGTCAGTATCGAACGCAACGAAGTTGTGGCCAACGTCAACGGCAGGCACAGCGAAATGTACCTGAAATAGCATATGGAAATGTGTGGAGAGTGTCATACTCGTTTTGTCTGATTAACACAACTGCTCACTGCTATAACTTACCTTAACACGACTGGCATACCCTCAATGGGCCAAATAACGCCTGATAAGAGCAGCGTAGGATAGAATGAACCCAACGCCAATTGGATGGCGTTACGTTCCAGTTCGCAAATGGATGATATAAGAAAACCGAAGCACATGCCGCACATACCTTGCAGCAACGTTAGCACAATGACCCAGAAGAGCTGTCCGTTGTTTGTAACTCCAAAAACGACCAACATGAAAATCAACACAAGCGCTGTCTGTCCACACATAACAACGAATTGGGTGATCACATGCGAGAAGAGAATTTCTCCAGGCATTACACCTGCCACCCAAGAACGATCGAGCAAACCCTGAAAAGCAAAAGTGTGCAAACATGTCAATTATAATGATTATTTGGGATTGTTTATGGCGTTTGTGTGGCGTTTGTGGCGTTTGTGGTATGGCGAGAAATAAAAATAAATCTTCAAACATCTACAATCTTCAATTTGGCAAAATAAACATTTTCAAAGTTACACATGCGCAAAGCACAAATAATCAAATAATCAAAATATTCCAAAATTATTCAGCGACCATAAATGAAATGGAAGTGCTGAGCTCGAACGCATTAAACATTTTAATCGATTCATTTTGACCAGAACTCTTCGACATTTTTCGACATTTATTTCGATAATCGAAGTCGTAAAAATAATATTAATATTGTATTTATTGAAAATCTTTTATATAATAATTGTAATTTTACCCACCTCAGTACGTTCAGTAATCAAAACCGATGACGTCAATGCAACAGCCAAAAAGAATACAATACTAAAAAAACATAAACAATAGAGAAAAACATTAAAATTAATTAAATTATATATATATATCTACACATTTATATATAATAAATTCAATAAATAAAGCCATTCTTAAAATTAATAAATAATAAAAAATTGATCTTTTAATGTTAATAATATATATACATCATGGAAGAAGTAATATTTGACATTGCCGAATCTTGAACACTCTACACGTAGTGTCATTGAGAGTTCCTTAATAAGAACTTTCAATTTAGAATTAAGGGTCACTAAAATCTTAATTGATCGATTTCATTTTTACAATAGTTTTTCAAGAACCATGAGCGTTGCACAGCTGAACAACCAAAATTAAATAAAACAATGGATGAGACATACCTAAGACATAAAAATATACCACAACTCGATGACAACGTTTTAACCGGGTACAGTAGTCAAATAGTGACAACGCTTTTAAAACAAAGTGCTAAATTGGATTGTCAGTGGCCCATTATAGCAGACTTCATTGTTATGCAGACGAAGAAACTAGGAATCTCCTGAATAACTTACGCTTCATCCAATATTTAAACCTTAAGAACCTATACAATCTCTTTGATAACCAACAAAAAAGCGATATATACAAACATATTTTTGTTATTAATGTCTAAATATTTTCATATATACAAACTACTCGTTAGTTTTAGAAACTGATGGTTGTCTAATCAAACATTCTAGTCTTGTTGTTGTTGAAAAATAGCGAAAAAAGGGTGCATTAAAGACATTGTCTGTAACAAACACAGATATATCCTAGTAAAAATTTCGCCTAAAATTTCTTCAGTCAACTATTTAGAAATCAATCCATCGTATCTGAACGGACTTACTTAAAAGAGCCGATGTAAGTCTAACTCCCAAGGGAATGAACTGTCACTGAAATTAAGATTCGTCTGTCTCAAAAATTTTGGGGCTATATCGTTTTAAAATAATGCCACAAACATACTAACAATGTCTTCGTCGGGCTTGCGTAGATGGATTGTAAAATATTTGAGTATGTTTTTGCAGTTCTCTGATTTAGTTATAAAAAGAGAAGATATATCTACAAGAAAGTATAGTTTGTGTAAGAGGGAATTTTTTTCTTAACATCACTTAACCCACCACTGTGGATATGTCACTGAATGATTACATCCATTTTTCTAGTCAAACTTATCAAGTATATACTATATATACTAATATAAAAAATTCACCAATAATTAGTGAAAATAATAAATAATATGATATAGATAATTGTTATAAAAATAATAATATTAGAGGAAGAAAGAAATAAACAAAAATTGAATAAAAATATTTTAAAATTATATTTTTCACAATGTTTGCACTTACGTCAATATCACACCCGGAGCTACGAAGTCTGTAAATGATGGATTCATATTGCCATAGATGGGGTCTTTAAATTGTATAGGCACATCACCCAGTTTCGGATTATTACCACACTGATCTAGAAGACCCATTGCGAAATCACGGTATGACAACAATATATCGCGATTCAGCATAACACCAATCTGTTGATTGGACATATCCAACCAAACTTTGATTTCCGATTGATCAATTGTTTCTTCATCAGAATCTCGACCTAAATAACCACAAATATATTAACTTTCTTATGTTAGTATTAAAAGGATATGAACTGGTATTTACCCAATGCTGCTCTCGCCGTAAATGCATCCGTAAAGTTTTCTGTTATGTATACCGCACCCCATGCCTTACCAACTCGTACCGCTTCTTTAGCTTCTTCCAAATCCGTGTAATATGTTTTAATAACACTTTTATTCAAATGATTCAAATAGCGACAACCCAAATTCGTGAAATGACAACCATCTTCCCAGTAGCAAGTCTCCTGAAAGAAATAATAAAAAATGTGTTATAATATATATTTCAAGATCTGTCCAGTACTAGGTAACTTGATACTCACAGTGTTATTCATTTCATTATTCACAATTGCGAGATGTAAACCTTGTGGATCACGTCCAATAGCCAAACAGAATAGAATTACTTGCATCACAGGCAGTGCGAAAATAAACAGCATCACACCGACGTTACGCCACATACGCAGGAAGTTTTTACCTAATAATGCCTTGATTTTGCCCTTAGATGTGGACTGAAATAGTGAAATTGTAGTTGGAGGGAATAGTTGGAGGAATTACAATAGTTGAACTAGAGATTTGTATTGTCGTCTCAGTTGTAGTACTCACCTTACACAAACTCGCGTAGCAATCTTGACAGCTTTCCTCATCGTTGGGTTGGTTACGTTTTGTAGGTGGTGGTTCGTAGGGTTCTTGATTTAACTGCGTATAAATTGGGTTTTTGATATTTTTTTTATAAGCGAATTGTTTTGTGGTTTATTAGAATGAGAGAATTTTATGCAGGTGCACATGCGTGAATAAGGAAAATCGAGAATAGATCAGATTTTAGTACAAGATATAGGAATGGCATGAACATGGACATAGAAAAAAAATTTTTTTTTTTTGTAGGAGGAGAAGGCTATGTATAGAATATAACTTAATTTCTTGCTAAGAGTATATGTACGGATCTACCTTTTCATACTGAAATATATTTTATATATATGTTTTATATGCGATGTTTCTACGTGCCAATGCAATCTAACAAGTAAATATTCCACAGTTAAATTTGAGAACTATCAAAGGAGCTAAAATATCTACATGTAGATATCTCGCAAATGGGTTTGAATACTAAAATACTCACGGAATTACCACGGAACTCTTTATAATAAGATACCCCGACAGGTATTACACTCAATCTACCTGCTTTTAGATTTTGTAGTCGAAGACTGGAAAGATTGTAAAGCTGACTTATTGTCCGAATACTCGATATTATCTCGTCATCTATTTAAATGCGATACATTCTTGTATCCTGCCGTAGAAACATGTGTTTTATAATAACATAATAATAGTAAAATGTATTATTCCTCAACTTCGGTAATGCTATAGCTAAGCCATTTAAAAAGATCAAAAGGAATATACAAAAAGAAATGAGGAATAAAATACTTGTCACTTCCTTGAAGATTTTGAATTAGAGAAAAAAATAGCTTCTCATGGAGTAGTTTTGAAGTTCTGCGCAGAAAGGAATAGTTTGTAAGAAAGAGAAACAGTTTATTTTTAAATTTTCGAAAAATTGGTAATGAATGACTTAGGTACCTTTCTGCAACCAGTCATTCATCTTAAAATTCACTTAAACCTCATTGTTCCCTGTTTTCTAAATTTCTTCTCACATAGCTCTTTGATATCTAAGACAGCTTTTCGTCAGTTGTTACTTTACGGTTCGTTACAAGAAACTGCACTATATTTGGCACTGGTTGTATGGATCGACGTAAAGATTTAAGCTTAATTGTTCTATCAAATTATAGACGCATTATCTAATCTTACTTCATTTAAAGTATTATTTAACAATTTACTGATACTTTGCAGCATCAATGAATCAATTATCTTCAAAATAATCAATTAGTACTAACATTTCAGATTTATATGGAATACATAATGTGCTATAATAATACTTTTACTTATAAACGAAAATTTGCTGTTATGATGATCTATGAAAACGAAATGATGATTATTTATTCCAATAGTTTTATGACATACAATATGTAAAAATATATATATTCATATTCAACCTTGATCAAAAAGTCTTCAAAAGAGGTTGTCACATATATCATAAATGCTCTCTCCAAATTTTAGCACTTTGCCTTAACATTTGTAAGAACATAACCCCCCTCTCCCTCTTACACTACTATTCTTAGGTTTGAGAAAAAAACAGTACGAATACCATTAAACAGCCACCAAATACGTCTGATTTGGCGCCCTATGATTTCTTCCTATTTAAACGATTCAATAAAGCACTGTAGGAACCCGAGATGAGATGATCAAACAATCAAATGTGGCTTTGATAGTTGTACAAAAATCATTCAATGGAGAGTACATCAAGAATAAACTTGTATTTTTAATTAACTGAATAAATGGCTGAAACTTTTTGATCAAGGTAGTATGCTATTTATACTACATATATTTATAAATAGATGTTAAGAAATATGTCCTCATGTATGTTTTGGTTGTGATAAAATTTTATAACAAACCGTATATATGGATCCATTTGTATCGTTGATCAGAACTTCCTTGCTCTGATGGAAATTGAGTCCAACAACTCCGCCGTCCTGACTGGAACCGGGCTTATCCATCTTACTGCCGAATGCCATGGCATGCAATGAAATATTATTACTGTGTCAGTATCAATTTTTGATTAAAGGAGCACAACAAATCAATCACCAACAGAACATATGGAGGATGGTAAAATATTTTTTGTATTGATTTTGATTTTGTTTTTTTTTTGTTTTTATATTTGTTTTGTTTTGTTTTGTTTTAATGAAATCGCACATTAACAAATCCAATTAGCAATAAAAAACCATAAAAAGAGAATAAATTTTAAACAAAATTAATTTCAAAAAATGTACATGCGGTCAGGATTTTTAATTAAAAATAAATCAATTAAAAATAAATGTTAGCTACTTTTCTTTCATTTAAAATTTAAAAATAAAAATCAATTAATTAATTTGTAAAGTTTAACTCACCTGAAGTTCACATGAGAGATGTCACCCTTCTGACTTTGGATACGTGATAATTTTAAAAACACTTCCTCCAGGCTAATGCATTTGTACATCGATAAAAGTACGCTTGGTGATTCCTCCGCCAAAAGGTGACCAGAGCGCATTAACCCAATCTATAATAATGGATAAATTATATATTTTAGCTAAGTATTTATAAAACTTAGTTTTGTTTACATATAAACTGAGTATGGATAGTAGTGACAAGAAAGATAAGTAGAGTAAGGGTGATTGGAAGCGGTTCTCAAAAGGATTCATTATCAGTATAAAGAATCATATTGGTTGGTTTCTTTACTATGAATATTGATAAGGTAAAGTTATAGAGAGATAAACATACTCTAGTATATATATGCAACATTCCCAACTCAAAAAATATCCAGAATATGTTAATTAAACAGGCTATAGTGTTTCCAACTATATTTATATAGCTACATATATCGAAGTGATATTTTGGAGTATACTTTGGTTAGTATATATAAATGCATATAATCATATTTTCAAAATCCAATTAAGACAATATACATATCACTTGAGTTCTCTTTTCACTATGAAAAATTACTTTGCGCATATTTTTTTAGGGAACCCTTATAAACCCATGTAATATTCGCAATATATTCATTAGTGATATTTTCACTTTCACTGTTTTTACATAAATTTAAATATACAATAAATTTTAAATAAATTTGTTATCTAATTATATACTTACTGTATGCGCTTGTCGTGCTTCTTCAATGTAATGTGTTGTAATAATAACGGTCTTTTGACCAGCTTTTGTGATATGTACCAAATGATTCCAGATGCTCTGTCTAAGTAATGGATCTACACCAACTGTTGGTTCATCCAAAATTAATAATTCAGGATCGTGCATAAGTGCTACAGCAAATGAGACACGACGCTGTTGTCCTCCACTAAGATTCTTTACTAAGCGTTTCTCTGATGGTAAATCGAGGAAATTTAATAAGAACTGTAATCGCTCCATGATTTCCTTTGTTTCCATGCCAAAAATCCAACCGAAATATAACATTGTTTCACGTATAGAAAATTCACCATAAAGCGCAATCTCCTGTGGCATGTAACCAACTCGTTTGCCAGGTACACCAGATCCTCGTGTACCCGGTTTACCGCCAAGTACATATATATCGCCAGAATCAAGACGACGTCGACCAACAATGCAGGAGAGTAAAGTAGTTTTGCCACAACCTGAGGCACCCAATAGGCCATAGCTAGAAACATAAAATAAAAATATTTTAGTTGGTATGCCAGATAAATAATACACTATATCAATAAAAATTATAGGGATGTATGTACACTTGATAGTTAATGTGTATATAATATACTATACTATATTTTTATATAAAACAAAATGATGAAAAATGAATGATTGAAAAATGAAAACAAAATATTACTTACTATACAAAAGACCATTAGAATTAGTTTTTGCTATGTAATATACTTAAAAATTTATATATATGTATGTGTATTGTAATATTATTATAAATACATATTTACAGGAACATGTAACAAACCTAATATTAACAAAATAAAAAATAAATGGATGGAACTACGGAAGGAAGGGTAAACCTTTAAATTTAAACAATTAATTTTTAATAAACTGAAGTTTTGGGTTCATCATAAAGCTATTTTGGATATTATTAAATATCCATAATCAGTGATCTTCAAAACATCTTTTAGTTTAAGTATCCGTACATAATTTTTGGATTGCAAGCATCGAACTCTATCAAATTTGAACCATGGACTCGTGAGTTAATTTAAGCCACATATGCTATATAAATAATTTTATTAGATAAGTTGTCATATATGTACTCATCCACTGATAATGGATATGTAATGATATCTGGAACAATTATATGGTCCCTTTTCTGTTTAAAATAGATTTTATTTACATATATAATAGAATATGTAGTTTAGTTTGTATAATATTTTATATTATATTATATATCGGAGAGCAAAAAATAATATTATTGTGCTACATTCTTAAACAAGAATTATGTTGAAATGCTTAAGTGGTTCTCTATATTTTTTAATAGAGATCTATTGCTACTACTATTAAATGGGGAAGTCATGCCTTACAGTGTAATTCGTGCGCTGACCATTGTGCTTCTTTTAGGGGTTCTTCTGATCTGCCTATCAGGGCTTTGGCGCACAAGGTCACCAATTTGACCTTACTTAACTGCTACTACTATGTATATTATATCTCGTATGTTATACATATGTTATAAATAAATTTTGAAAAATATTTTTAACAAAAAAGATTCAGATACATCGTATTCCATAATTAAATTATTCAGACATAATTTATATGTGATATATAATATTTAAGTGTTTACAAGTGTCAATCATTTGCTACTCGTCTACTCGTCTATTCGTACGCCGAAAGTGTCACTGTAATTATATCACAGAATCTACACTCGAGTCAATGTTAAGTGGCAGCGGTTCAAGTTAAATTCAAACAGTTATCAAGAGTATCGTAGATACCTTGAGTTTCTGACTTTTGCACTTTGCTGAGCTAATGTGTTTTTATTTTTTCAATAATAAATTTTTTGTTTTTATTCAGAAAGCCACAAAGAGAATACATAAACTGAATTCGAGGGTCTTACATCTATTCGTGTGCGCACGTATGACTCGACGTCGAAATGTAGGTTGAATCGAGTTTAATTTCGATTTTAATTTTTTCATTTTTTGATTTTTTCATTTTTGTTGACAAAACGTTCAACAAACTTTTAAGAGTTAAACGCTTTGATCTTTTACATTTCGGATATACTCATATATATCATTGGATTTATTATTATAGCTTTGACTTATTTTGCTTATCTGATTTGTTTTGAAGTTTGCCTATTACACACAAAATACTCGTCTAGTATTTTAATTTTAATTTTAATTTTAATTTTAGCAAAGTTTTAATTGTTGATATTTCTATTCATATTTTTATAAATTATGTTTTATATCAATAAAACAAATATAATAATTCAGCTGCTTAGTAGTGGATTTTGTGAAGAGAATCTCAGGAAAACATGTATCTAAAATTCCTGCACGTATGAATAACTTAAGATGTTGTTAGGCGTTCAGCATTTCAAATTCATTTTCAAATCACAAATTGGAATTCTTCTCATTATACTTGACTTGTATTGTGTATCTCAAAGTAATGCACCAATTCAATTTATTTTTTTATGACTAAAAAGATACTTTTAGATTTAGGTCAATGATTTTCGCACATAATTTGGGCTCGACAAAATATTTTTCTATAAATATTTGTGTATCTTCAATGCAATAGTTAAGTATATTAATAAAAACTATCTTGTCGCGTAAAATCATTTACACCATTAAATACTTTTAATGGGACTATCAACGTAAATGATTAACCAAGGATAGTATTTTTGTCATATTTTAAACTTTGGCAAATATTAATTGGCATCCCCGCTGATTATAATACATAACGAAGCTGTGGAACTATTTGGGTTGAGCTTCGAATGTTCATTAGGTAAGGATAGGCATGATGTACTGCATATAATAAATAAGTTTTAATTATTTACTTTTACAAAGATTCATACAAACAATATATGAGTGAGTTTTTAGGAAAATTTAAAACACAAAATTTTAAAATTTATTTACATGCAATTAAATATAATATTAGTAATGAAATATATCGAACATTACATTTTGCAGCTATTGAAGAAGTTTCAAGATTGATTAGCACTTAACATATGTAGGTCTCTTTCTACCTTTTTAAATATTTGTCAGTTTGTCAGTAAGCCAGTTTGATATATGGATGTATACTAACTGTATTATATTAACCAAAACTCTCTTTCCTTATATAAATTTTTCGTTTCTTGATTATTCTTGTTAATGGAGCTTAAATAGTTTTAAATTAATTCAATTCTTAATATATATAGTATATATTTAATAATTAGATATTTTAGTTTGAAATATATCCAGTGATGATATAAATAATATTTAGTTATATATAATGCTGGTCCTTTCAAATAATAATACACTGAGAATTAAGGGTATAGAAAGTAAACATCATAACAAATTAAATGTATAGTATTATATATAAAATTGCTATCAAATTTCTAGTTAAAAAAATTTTACATAACAACATTGTTTAAAAATTTTTTATTAAAACAGTTTTACATAAGAATATAGTTTAAGAACCTTTACTTAAAACACTTTTACGTAGGAATATAGCTCAAGAATTCTTATTTAAAACCGTTTTACGTAAAAATGGTTCAAGATATTTACGTTTTACGTAAATATCTGTTAAAGAACTATTACTTAAAACCATTTTATGTGAAAATTAGTTCAAGAATTCTTATTTAAAACCGTTTAACGTAAAAATTACTTCGAAAATTATTACTTAAAACAATTTTACGTAAAAATTTGTTCAAGAAGTCTTATTTAAAATCGTTTTACGTAAATGTTTGTTCAAGAACTATTACTTAAAACCGTTTTATGTGAAAATTAGTTCAAGAATTCTTATTTAAAACCGTTTTACGTAAAAATTATTTCGAAAATTTTTACTTAAAATAGTTTTACGTAAAAATTTGTTCAAGAATTCTTATGTAAAGCAATTTTGCATAACAACTTAGTTTAAACATTTTTACAATCAGTAAACAACATTCCTTCTGAGTTGGAATATTTCACTTAATAAATTCCTACATCCACTTAAACAAACATTAAACGATATTTGTGCACTGCAGTGGGTAACTTTATTCAAAATTATTGACGATATAAATTACGAGGCAAAATTAATTTTTCCATTTGCTAATTTTAATTACTACATTAAAATTATTATTAAATTATTATTATATATTTAAAAAAAATTTCTATAATGTTGTTGTTGTTTCGAGAAGAATTCCATTACTTAACTATTCCACATAACGAGCTGCCATTAAATTAATCGTCCAGCAAAATTACTGCCACTTCCGTCAGTTGGCTCCGTCCGAAGCAATTCCCGAGTACAATTAATATTTACGTATTGACATACAAAAAGTCATATTACGTATGTTCATCAAAGTGTTAAACTTTTAGTTCTAATTGATTTTTATCCATTAAAAAATTTGATTTGTTAATTTAAATAATGCAAATAAATAAATTAATTAATTATTAGTTTTCGCAAAATAAATATTCGAATGGTGGAATTTGACATTTCTGTGCTATCAACGTCAAACTCATGGCGTCAAATTCATTAATTAAATATTTTGTATATAATTTGTAAACAATTGAGAGTATATTTTCCTGTATGTAATAGTTAAGACGTCATAATGTTTGCAGTGTTTGGCATAATAACCTAAAAAGTATAATAACACAACAATTTGAAGCTGTTTACTAACATATCTCGTTACTCGTTTAGTTTAAAAGAATGTCTCTCACCCGATTTTACAACTCGATTCGAAATCATACCTAGGTACTAACTAAAATGCAGAGTTCATAATTTGATGAAAGTACGAAATTGAGAGTCTAATATTAGTCCAAAATGATATCCATCTTGTTAAGTTCCGTTAAACTAACTAAACTTAAACAGTAAGCAGAAGGTATATTTCAATAACGCAACCAAACATTATGGACACACATTCGTCTATCAACAAAAAATTAGGCTAAGATGACTAAGATAGCATAAAGATGTTGACTGAGGTTTCGAGATATGGGAATACTCTATAAATCAATGATACATTTGAAGTCAAATTGTTATGCTGCCATCAGCCCACTGTAAAGTGTAAACTCCAATGATATTTGGATGATATATACACTAACTATTTCAACTTTCCTTTAAGTAAAATAATAAAAGTCCTTAAGCAATTTAGATAACCTTTTACTTCAATTAAATAGAAAAAAATGAAATGTATGACTTACCCTCTTCCCTAATCCTCTTCTTTAACCCCCTTCCTCCTTTTTAAAGTAAGCAAGTAGAGTTTGCAAATAACAACCTACCATATATATGCAAAGACTTACATACTTCTAAATGTAAACAAATTAATGCAGATATGTGAATCGTATTTTAAATGAATGAAACGCAATACAAAGGCATCAAAAACTTAATCAATTAAGTAAATAGTAATAAACATTCCATAAATTGTCATTAATTGCCTATTAAAATACAAGCTGAGCTCAGAGGGGCAAATTTTGAACAAGTTAAGCTTATGAAATCTAAGTATAAATATTGAGTTAATTAACTTTTGATATTAAATATATATTTAGCGATCTTAACTATTTTTGTAAAATTTTCAAATATTCAAAAATCAAATATTCTATATTGAATATTCTTTATTACTTATATAAAAAACCAATTCTTAAATTTCGTTTTAATAAAATATGACTCATAAATAATAAAGTCCATAAAGATATTAGGTAGGTAGGTTGAAGTGGCGTCCTTGTTTCCAAAAAGCCTTTTGAGCTCAAATAATGACCAATTGTGGTACCACAGGAATAGTATTGGTACGTAAATAGATCTAAATCAGTATACAGACAACGCCGAAAAAGGTAACGACTCCCCCATTAGATAAAAGAAAACCAATCTGACAGTTCTTCAAACTTAGCGAGGTCCCTAACATTACAGGATGACAGTTCAGTCATGTCGATGAGAAAAGGATATCTGAAGATTTTTGATCTTCTACTAGCTAAAGAAGGGCATTAACACATGAGATTGAGCACGGTCTCCTCCTCACCCTTAAAAGCCACAATCTAGTCAAAAGTCTTCCTATTTCGCAGTGGCCCGTCAGCCCAGATACCGTAGTGCTGAGCAGGTTCCGCCTTAGTTGAAGTAGTTGTCTAGTTTGCTCTTGTCTCAAAACAATCTAGATATCTGACAATGAGGTTCATCAGCCATAAAGATAATGCACTCATATACTATAATATCTACAAAATCTATTGACAATGATGATATCTATCGTTATTTTCCAGATGTCGCACGTTATTAAAACATTGAATTGGGTAGTAGGTTCCGCTTTAGTTAAAAAAAGTCTGTTTTATAGTTAAAGGAAACTTCCTCTATGAGTTCGAAATTATCTTATTTTACATAACATCACAACAAGCTTTTATTAATTAGTTTACTTTGTATTTTAAGAATTTTATTAGTCGCGTTCTACATTTTAAGTATTGAATAAAGATATTCATAGTATCGTTATAATACTATAATTATATATAATTTTTTATAATTAAGATAATCAATATTCTGTTATATGTAATAAATTATTTGGAGCAAGTATTCATAAGATAGCAACTATTTTATTTTATATTAACTATAGTATCTATTTTATGCATAATCTATAGATTGTATTTTTTAAAACTGCATTTCTAGTTTTAATTTAAATTTAAAGCAAACAATATGAAACTACATTACTAAGTACGTAGGAGTGTTAGTGACTTGACAAGAAATTATTATACAACATTATTGAATAAATCAATGATACAGAAAAATTCCTATAATATAATGTAATTGAAAATTAAAGAAATATTTATATTTCCGTTGTAATCACACAACTCTTTTTACTGAAATATTTCATCTTCAATAGTATTCCATTGTTTGTGCTCCATGTTGTAAAAGCTTGAAGTATAATTATTACGTTATTTGATTTCACTTTCCCATAAAATTGATTACAATTTGTACATATCTGCCAACAATTTGAAGAAAATTGTTCACTTAGTTACACAAGCGAAGGCTTTCTTAGTCACCTCAATGAATAAAACTTATAAACTATTTGAGGGGACTCAAACATACTTTATGTATTGCCTCAATTAACACTTCAAAACAGTTTCAAATCTGCTAAAAAGAAATTCAAATATTCTTGGTAATGAGATTGATGAGTGACACTTTCTGTTGAATGATCCAAAATTAACTCAACTGTTTATAAATCATGACCTTTGTATAAAATATACGGATATATTAGCATCAAATCAAACAGATATGGGAAAAGATATTTTGATATAAGATAAAATAGTTAAATAACAATTTAATATTTATAATTACAAAGGAATTATGAAAATAACTAACTAATCTATTTCTGCAGATAAGTAAACCTAATGGAAAATGAGTCTGTAAGCTATATCAAATTTTGTTAAAAACGCGACTAATGTCTTCATGACTTGTACTATTTATCCATGTCAGTAATCATAAATCATTTGAAAATACCGTGCAATAATTCTAGTACAAAACTCGCATTCATAGACGGTCAAATTAATGACAATTAACTTATAGGGCGGCATCGTATACTTAGTTTAAGTTTTGCCGTTTTACGAGAAGGATCGCTTAACAACCGCTAAACGCATTAAAATCGTAAAAACTCGATACTAATGTGATTCGATTTTTCACTTGGTAGATATGTCAACCAAAATATTCACATCTCAAGTCCACAAAACGTTACTGATTGGGATACAATTTGTTCTGGAGATGTGTTAAGTTTGTACTCTTTTTAAAAATGATGAATTTGAATTACATATGTATTATTTCTAAAAGATTGTGCTACAAGTCTTGAGGTTCTTGAGAATTTCACGTAATGTTGAAGTAATTTACATACCAAAATATTTACTGCGATTTGTCACCATAAATATATTTTTCAGAGATTATGTTTATGGGGACTCTACCTATATTAGAGTAGTCAACAAAAATGATCAGGCTCCCCTAAAGACGGGCCTCTCGACAGTCATGTGTTTCTAGATGCAAACTTGACATCGAATTTTGTGTTAAAATTTAGAATGGCAGAGATGTAGTCAATATTGTTTGGAATCGAACTGAAAAGATTTAAAATGAAAATGTTGTCGTAGTCACTACCTTTCCCAACTGTAGTAGCTTTAAGTCTAAGATAAGTGGTTTTTGTTTACAATTACTTACTTATATCTTGTTCAGAAGATATGGTCAAACTTATAGACTTTAAAGAAATATAAGTTCCATGTTTTATAAGAGCCTAGTACTAGCACGGACAAGAACATAGTACTATATAAGCCAATAATATATCTGATATACAATATTTAAATTGTAAAATAAAATAAAATATTGATACCGATGAGTAAAAAACAGTTTTGGTCAAATTTAGAACTTGTGAATATGGTTAGGTGTTCTGGTGATAATAAAAGCTTGCTACCAAGACTTTATTGAATAACAGTTGCCTTTCTACTACTGTTACGCGATAACAGTACTGTTAATAACAGTAATTAGACTAAAATAAGTGATTAGCTATTATTTTTACTATAATTTTTAATAATTCTTATATAAAAAAAATGTTGTTTATTTGTCCCTGAAGTTGTTTAACACATAAGTTTACTATGTGTAAATTAAATAGTATTTAAATGATTTAATAAAATTGCTCTTAGTTTGAATAGTTGAATAGTATTACTCACATTGTGCCCTTTGCTACTGTCATGTTGAGGTTGTTGAGCACTTGATTTGTGCTTTTCTTTTTTCCATAAGCTTTGAATGCATGCCGCACCGACACTGCGGCTTGTGTGTTGCGTGCCCATTGCTGTGTTCCGCCGTCATTATTTGTGGCCATGACAGGATCACTTGTACTGAAAATAATATATGTATATAAATAAAAATTTTATTACGCTTTGCTTATGAAAATAATAAAAAATAAATAAATTAAGTCTAGTAAGTAACTATTGCAAACGTGTTTTTCAACTCCTCAATACAAAATAATTTGTTCAAGTATATACTCGTATTACTTTAAATAAAAATTGAAAAAAAAAAACACTTTAATACATATATTAAAATAATATTATAAGTAGGCAAATATGCGATACTAATGAAATTGAAATATATATAGGAAAAAAATCGAATATGACAAGGCAAGTTCGTTGCTCAAGTTGTTTTCAAATATAAGTGTTTATGTGAATAACTAACAAGATTTATAATTAATAAGTAAGTATTTTATAAATGTATAAAATATATAAAAATAGACTTACACGTGTGTATTTAATCTGGATTTAGTAAAATATTTAGTAAAGAGCTTTTGCTAAGAGTAGTGAAACTACAACAACAAAAACTCATTTAATATTTTTTTAATTAATTGAATTTTTGGCTGAACATACAGCTGTTTCGAATATTGCCAAATACCCATCATTAGTAGTCTTGGAATTATTTTTTGTATTAAATTATTCGTAAATATTTGTTTGAGACTGCAAGTACCAGGAATCGAACTCGTGTCCTGCCAAATTTGAAGCTCAGAGTCAGCACAACTTAACCAACTGACCTAAAGCCGTACTTGACTTTTATGTTCGCACATTTTTCTGGAGTTTTATTAATTTCATGTGAAAGTTTTATTAAGAAATTGACTTGCTGTGTTTATATTAAGAGGCAATCATAAACCAGCTAGATTAATTGAATTAAGTATATTTTTATTTTTAATAAAATATATAAAATATATATTGTAGTAAAATATTTAGTTTAAATGAAAATGGGGTATATACATGGATATACATTTCTTTTCCTTAAATATCAATAAAATACAGTTCAGCAAGTCAACGAAATTACAAATTAAAGTAAAACTAGTTTATTATGTGCAAATTTCAAATATATCTAATATATCTTTATTACATATCTTTTGCTTGAACATCAAATTTCATACAACAATGTAAACACAAAATAAAACATAAAATTCCGAAACTGTGTCAGCAGTGCAAAAATATGAGCAATTTTTTTTTTTTTTACTCCCGAACAGACAAACCTCAAAATTTCGTGTTATTTCATATAACAAACGTCACACTTTATAAGTGTGCACAACAACAACAAAACAATAACAGCAATCACACAATAACAACAATCACAACAATAACAACAATCACAGCAGCAACAGCGGTAATAGCAACAACATAAACGACAATTTCAAATTCGTACTTCAACATTTTGACCAATGTATAATAATTACTCAAGCATACACTGACACTGATACACTCAAGTATTAGCTAAAAGCTTTCGGTGTGAGTTTATGTCTAGCGATTGCTCAACACTCAACAACTCGCTAGTTAATCAACGAGTACTCATAAGTTTCTTGCTGTTTTCTGTAATTTTCAGTGCAAAATTGCATTTCGTATTAGCGCATATGTTCACGGTTGTAAGTCAGCTTAGCTATGAGGCGATAGTAACACACTTATACACTTACACACTTACACACTTACACACTCAACTCAAATAGTCACACTAACCGAGTTTAGAGATGGCGGCAATCACATTCGGGCACACATGTATGTGTAGTCAGACCAGACACACACTTACGTACGTACAATGCTTCTAGTGTGTTTGACGTCTGTGTTTGTGTATTTGTGTCGCATGTGCCAAAAAAAGCACAATTATTATGCAAGTCTTTCAAGACTTTTTATTTTAATTGCAAATCTGTTATACATACGCGTATATTGCTTAGATGCACTGTAGATACATTTACATACAACTGTCTGTCTGCAATTGTCTATTAATATACATAAAGATCTTAAATGCCTGTTATTGTAAAAAATATGCTTCTTTATTCGCTGAAAGTAATTTTCAATATTTAAGCGCACTCAATGCGCTTCCGCATAATTAAAAACGTTATGATCTTAAAATAGTTCATGAGATATTGTCGTAATAAAAGTCACAGTGAATTAGGATCAATAATGAGATATTAAAAAATGTTTGAAAGTACTCAGTATACATTTATGACAAAATATATACTAATAGATTATAAGATTCAATACATTAAACCATGCTTGTTACTTAAGACTTTCATACTACTTATAATTGCAGTTTTTACTTGCGATAAAAGATGGTAGATAGTAGGGACAACGCATCTTAAGAGAGATAGGAATCAGTGAGCTGTTAAAAAAATTATTTACTTCAAATCACAAACATACTTCTCATACTTTCTAAACGGAACTTAACGTCACTATTCACTTAAAGAAAAGCTTAGTGGATTGATTCTTTCATGGACCATTTTATATAGTTAGTTGTACCTAATATTTTCGTGCGTTAATATTTTGATTTAACAATTTTGTTTAATTATAAAGCACAATGTAGCTAAGTATTTAGGTAAATGTATTCGTTAGTTGTACATATTCCTTAGTGAATTAGTCTGTTGTGACACCACAAGATCACAGTAATAATTCTAAAACAATACATGGAAACAGTCATGGAACATTTCATGGAACCATACAGTAAACAGTCGTTATGCTCGCAGAGAATCGTTAGCTACACATGAGATGTTCCTTCAGCTAATAATAAACTAATGTTACCATTCTTTTTTTTATGCGGTGAATAAAAACATAATCAGTATTTCATAATATTCTGCTTTCTGTGTTATTGTAGCTTTTTCACTAGTCTTAGAATGTAATAACCATTATTGCGAAATATTGGCTTAAAATACAGTGTCTGGTGTTACCTATAAGGATGAAGATTTAATTTCTTTGAATTGAAAGAAATTTCTCTAATCCTTTTTATATTCCATTTTGGCAAATGAATTTTGTGTGTAAATATATCACATCTTGATGCCTTAATATCAGTGTTATTTAGAAATATATTTTTGACTTCTTAATAACATACTTAGTTGGGCACAATTACAGACATGATTTATTCTTGACTACATATCTTAATCTTCTCTAAATAGCCAGATAGTGTCGATTGCGCTCATATCGTTAATCATCCGGCACTTTCAGCGAAGATGCAGAAGCGATAGCAAGAACTAAATCAAATACCTTTATAGTCAGAGCAAAGAATTTAGAGTACTCTAGATTCTTTGATGAGAACATTGTTCATTCGCTGAAGTTTTATAGATTTAACTATGTCAATTTGGTGGAATTGTTTATATATCTTATTGTTAATTCGTTACTCGTTAGTAACGTTTACGAAACCGTAAACCTTCTGAAGTGTTTTTTTTTCTTCAGACTATGAATAGCTGATGTTTCACTAATTTTTTAATTTATTAATCATTTCTGTTTCCATATCATATCAGTCTCTGATTGTTATAACTTTTTGGAATATTCCATTAACAGAAAAAATGCTAAAGATAAATATTTATTTATCATTTCTATTTAAAGTAAGTAAAACATGATTAACAACCGAGAAATTTCAGTTAAACCTGGAAAAACCTGTGCATTATTTAGATCGAAAAAAATTTTAAATATCAAAGAAATATGAATTCATTATCAATTGTTTCTTTTGGGTCAAGGTTAATTTCGCTAAGTGTTAATGAAATTAAAAATAAGTTAACCAATTCAGTTCACAATCATTGAACCTATTTTAACCCAAAAAAGAGAAACAAAAAAAAATTATTATAATTAAAATGCAGCATGCAAAACTTCAATAAAATACAGAAACACAGAAAAGTTAAAAGTCTTCAGCCAAATTCGATTCAAACGAAAATAAATGAAGCCAAAAAACTTTTAATCCGAACTAGTTCAAGGTCACATATTAAACGCACCTTTGGTTGAAGAGAAAAAATATGGTTAAAATGAAATTAAAAATATAAATAAATAAATCAAAACGATTTTGTAATATTGTCAACACTGCGGCTTGATTATATTAAAATTTCCATTTATCATTCGCTTGTGTATATTTTAAGCAAATTCACGCCCGACAACCGAACAACCAACAAATGTGGATTATTTGCGTTTGTGAATGCCCGTTGCTATCGCTAATTATTTTTGTAAAATTTTAATTTTTTTTCATTTCATTTGATTTCATTTGATTTCATTTGTAGAGGAAAATCGATTTAAATAAATAAATATCAAAAGTGCAAATATTTATATTTTACATATACGATATACGAATCTGTTTCTCAATGATGTAAGTGTATTTATCTGTAATTTAATATGTGCTTTGAACATCCTCTGTATAAAATAACACAACTATAACAATCAGAAAACAGCAACAACAACAACAGTAACAGCAACAATAAAACAAATAACTATGATGGTCAGATAATATTTGCATAAATATGTGTCAACATGCAAAAAATATCTCAAACTCAAAAAAAAATGGTGTAACTGTGCTGTGATAGTGAATATGAGCGCAAATTGATGTGTTGAAAATTCACACATCTTTGATATAATATTACATACGAAAACTTAATATATATTGTTCATAAATAAACAAATAGATATCTGCATGAAGATAAGCAATAAGTAAATAAGCCAACAAGCCAGCAAGCACAATGAAAAGAAAATTATGTGCAATGAATTAAGTTACTCATACGTACGGAGGTAAAAACAATAACTGACAGCGAAGAGTTCATCTGCGTAGCTTGGCTGAAGCACTGTAAGAAGTTTGTTGCTTAAGTCTTTCATTTAAGCAAAATTAATGACACATTTCCATACGCACAATTTTGTTGTAATGAAATGAGATAAAATGAGATCAACTGCAAATTGAATTTATTTTTAAATCATACATAACATATATATCAATCACAAAAACTTTTGACATGTTTTGAATATAGTAAACACTCTGCTAAAAAATCGATATAATGAAATTATATAATTTTTATATATATATATATTGAGCAGCTGCTCTCAATGCCAACAAGTGATTAAATTTAATATCTTCT